TGTAGAGGTCGGTCTCCCGACCTCCCGCTTGCTAGGCTGACGCTCTACCAACTGAGCTATTGACTCTCTGGGCTTCCAACCTTTTATGTAACGTTTTGACCTATTTTTCTACGGCTGCGCGGCAACAAATCCCTTTCTGCATGTGTTGGCGCGTGTGCTTTTCAGCCCGTGCTGCCTCTGTTTTGGATTCGCTGCTTGCCGAGCTGACTCTGGAGGATTCTGGAGGCACCGTTTCCACATAGTGAACCCTTTAAGAACTAACCTGTTAAGAACTTGAGGGTACCCTCGTTCATAATTCCCATATTTTCCACCTATAGCACTTAAGAACCCCAGGGTAGGCTGGAAAAAATCTTAATCGGTTCTTATCTAACGGTTCAGCTGTACTCCAACTTTCACGCATCCCTTCAGAATCAGATCTTACTGAAAACAGGTCTAAATGTTGCGTAGTCTGCCTCAAACATGGGGAGTGCAAGAAAATACCAGTAACTAACACCAATTTTCTAGACCCAGAGCCTATGGGATGAGATAGGCCGATGAAATGGTAATTCCCCAGTCATCACGATCATCATCACAAAATTCACACTAAAAATTTATATGAAGTTAGAAAATGTGATATATGATATATGATATATATATATAAATATATATATATATATCATACTTATATTTATTTATATATATATATATTTATAATATTATATATATATATTTTATGTATGTATCCCAGGCACCCAATGTTTCACCCCAAGCGTCACTGAGAGTCTTGGAGGTCCCTTCCTTTCCAAATTGGAAGCGCCCTTCCCGACGCACCACCTCCTTGACCAAATTGACGACATCGCACCGGAACTTCCATGGCTCTTCAGGGCGTGGGTCAGCCCAGGCCAAAAAACAACCGTTGTTTACTTTGCAAAAACTAGAATACTATGCGCACACATTTAAGGTAGGATTTTGGTAGGCTGCTGGATCTTCTTGGGTCACCCGAAAAGAAAAAACGGAAGATCTATTGCACACACCTACGCCTATCGACCATCAGATGTCCTGCTGAATCTCCTGTGGCCATTTCATCACGCGAAAGTCCATCCAGGCCACCATTTCCTTCCTCACGGCCCAAGCCAGGAAGCAAACAAAATGTACATGCAAATGATTCCGTATAAATGAACATTTGGTTATATAGATATAGAAAAATGTATGTGCGCATGCATGCATGTGTATGTAGGTAGGTAGGTATGTATGCATGTATGTATGTATCTATGTATCTATGTGTATGTATCTGTATGTATCTGTATGTATCTGTATGTATCTGTATGAATGTGTGTGTATCTACATGTATGTGTTGCGTATCTGTATGTATGTGTCTGTACGTGTACGTATGTGTATGTATGTGTATGTACGTGCATCTATGTGTCTGTATCTGTATGTCTGTGTATGTATGTGTATATAATATGTAAATGTATGTATCTATGCTGGAATGTTGGAATGTCTCCGTCGCCAACGTCTGGCGTCCCAGCATCTGCTGCTCTGGACACCATGGCAGCTCGGGCTCTTTGTCCCAGTCGGAGGTGTAGAACGAGAGCAAAGGAACTAGCCTCTGCTGCGCTGGGCCATCAAAGGGGATGGGGGTTCATTCACAAAGAGATGGGACATAACATTCGGACATCAACTTGAAACTAAAATATGGGCTATACATGGCATAGCGTCGCTCAGTCCCCACCCAGGGGATGAGTATGGGGTCTCAGAGTTATGGACTGTTCCCCCCTGTGGTGTGGCCTGTGGTCAGATACACGTAAATGCAGTATATATATATATATACATAGTGTATATATATGTATATATATGTATATATATATATATATGTGTGTGACTTAAATAGTATAATATATATATATATAGATATACATATACATATACATAGTGCATGTGTATATATATATATATATATTATACTTGTGTATATTGCATGCTTATATATATATACAGCGTGTAAATTAAAGTATATTTGGTACATGTATATATATAATATAATATAATGCAAACTATCGTAGGTCTTGCATCGTAGCACTTTTTTTGGATGACTATGTTGTTGACTTCTTTTTGAGACATCGGTCAGAAAAAAGTAGTTCTCAACCAAAACGCCTACTTTTGCAGTTATACGGTTTCCCAATTTTCATTCATTTCCCCCTGCATTCCCATGTTACACATCCAACCCTTTTTCAGTCGATTTTTCTAGTGTAGGTCATCATGTTTGATAGAACGGAGTGATGCAATGCCCCAAATCGATTGGGTCAACCACCACCTACCCTGCATCCACCATAAGCAAACAAAATCGAGACACTAAACTCTGACCAGCCATCTTAGCTGTTCAATCGGCTTTGAAGTGTCACTGGCAGACTAACCTTCAAAACGCCTTCAATAAATTTCAAAACGCCTGCAAAAAAACATCAAACGCCTACAAATGGCAAAACTAGGTCACATTGTTCTGAATGTTTTTTTTACAAAATGCAACAAAAAAGGAAAAATTGAGCATTTTGCCTTTTTTTCCACAGCTCTTACAGAATTAAGTCTTTGGATGAAGCTTGGTGATGATGGCAAATTTGAACTACAAGTATGTCTGTGCGCGCATCGCCCTTGTTTGTGGGAACCAATTCCAAACTCCAGGTTGCAAGCACTGGAAATAAAGCCAACGACCGGTTGTTGGATATATCGACGAAAATGTCTACTTTTTGAATTAGCGTCCAGAAAAAGTAAACACAAGGGATCGGCCAGAAATTCTTGATCTTTTGAAGACCTAGGATGAAAGGTGCATAGTATATAATGTGTAATATATGGTGTATATTGTACATTTTAATGTTGGATACTGATTATTTAGTGAGATCGGACCCTGTTGTGATTTTTTTTCGAGCATTATTAGGTATCCTGCAAATGGTGGTGGGGCTCTATTGTGATTGTTTTTTTCTCACATTGATTTTTTTCAGGAGGATCTTTATCCACCTTTATCCACCTTTCTTTGGGTAAAGCTAGTCCATTTACTTTAGAAAGCAATATCCATGTTAAAGCCTTGGAAATGCAAGGTTCCCGAAAGAATTAGATACCTTATTATATAATAATTAAACCCTTATTAAAAACAGCACCCAAACAATTTTTCAAGGGGGTACCCCATGAGTGACCAAGATCTTCAATAAAATAATTGTTTGGATGGCACCCTACTGTGCACACAAACTTTTGGGGTGAAAAAAACACAAAACCCTTTATTCACCTTTCTTTGGGTAAAGCTGGCCCATTTACTTTAGAAAGCCATGTTCATGTTAAAGCCTTGAACATGCAAGGTTCCCCAAATAATTAGATGCCTGATTAAACCTTGACTAAACAATTTTTCAAGCGGGTACCCCGTGAATGACCCAAATCCTCAATAATAATATAATTGGTTGGATGGTACCCAATTGTGCACACAAATTGTTGGTTTAAAAGCAACTTTAAGAAGATATATTTAAGGTTTAAAAGGAAAAGCAATTTAATGTAGATTGATTTCAATTGAAATATTTTCTTATCAGTAGATTTCTTTGAGATTTAAAAGGAAAAGCAGTTGAATGTAGATTGGTTTCAAGTGAAATATTTTCTTATCAATAGATTTCTTTGAGGTTTAACAGGAAAAACAATTTAATGTAGATTGATTTCAATTGAAATCTTTTCTTATCAATAGATTTCTTTGAGATTTAAAAGGAAAAGCAATTGAATGTAGATTGATTTCAATTGATTTTTTTTCTTATCAATAGGTTTCTTTGAGGTTTAACAGGAAAAGCAATTGAATGTAGATTGGTTTCAAGTGAAATATTTTCTTATCAGTAGATTTCTTTGAGATTTAAAAGGAAAAACAATTGAATGTAGATTGGTTTCAAGTGAAATATGTTCTTATCAATAGATTTCTTTGAGATTTAGAAGGAAAAGCAATTGAATGTAGATTGATTTCAAATGAAATCCTTTCTTATCAATAGATTTCTTGGAGATTTCAAAGGAAAAACAATTGAATGTAGATTGATTTCAATTGAAATTCTTACTTAAATCTGAAGTGTTCATCCTGAGTTCCCCAGACCTGGTCCCCAAGAAAATGCCGAGTTATTGAGCAGACAAAAAAATGACTCATCCCGCTGAGGGCAACCAGCAACACGGTTGCCATGGCACGCACCATATCTATATATATATATATATATCTATTTATATATATATATATGTATATATATATATCTGGTGGATATATATGTTATAACCACCAAAAATTCACGCATGCAATAGTTTTCAGTAGCATTTGGAGTAGGATAATCAACTAAATACAGTGAATGGACTGAAATTTGTGGAATTTCCCATTGTTAGGTTTTATTTCCACGGGAAGACTAAACATCAACACATTTGTCCACCTTTGGCATGCCAAATGGTTCATTCATGATACTTTGGTTCCTAGGTTGGGTATATACCAGTTCTCCCTCCATTATTCCAAGCTCATCAAGGCTTCTTTCTACATTGCAGCTGGGGGAAGAAAACAAAAACAAGATACATTCATATACATTTGACCCACGAGTGAAAAGTATGCAAAATGGTCTGACATGAATGACATTTTGTGATCCTACAATTAGTACAATTAGCAGATTTGGGTTGCAAAACGTTGTGAACAAAACAATTGAAGGCATTGTGCAAAGTGAGTACTTCAGTGCTCTTCAGACCATGCTAGAGAAACATTCCCGTCATAGCAAAAAGGCCCCTTGAAGAATTCCTTCAATGACGGCTTGACGACGTAGCAACTGGTTGAATCAGTCTCCGATTCACCGTATTATGAGCTGGACAATACTGGGCATAACTAGACTCTCTTGGCCATTGCAGCACTTGGTTGCATACCAACTTTCGCTTCGTTCGTGCATCCAACCAATCCAAACAGGAGTGGAATTTCCCCATAAATGGAGGTTTCCCTGAAAAATCATCTATAAATGGGTGATTTTCCATTGCCATTTTGATTACCAAGGGGTAACTGACAAGAAATCATGTCAACCCTGGATGAATCAACCTTTTTGAATTAAATTAATGAAGGGACTTTTTGACCTACTCCAGAAAATGATCATCTTCTACTGCAATGGTATACCCCCTGAAGCCAACCAAGAGTTTTTAGATTGCTGATCCATGAAGCCGCTAGAATACTCTGTACGCTAGAATATTCTCAAATTCATCAGCTTTGCCGCCTCAAATCCATGAACCCCCCCTCTGCCAATGAAAACCTGGCTAAATCCCCCCAATCCCACAAGATTTTACAACTGGTGTTTCCATTCAAATCTTAATTTATTGAGATGTTCCCAGTAGAATCTCCATTTACTAGATGATCTTCCCATTCAAAGCCACATTTTTCATGGGGATTGCCACTTTCCCCCGCAGATCAACCCAGGCGCATCACCTTTCTAGAGCCGCACTCCAGTTGCACAGGGCCCACGCGAACGCCCAAGGCATCACAAAGGCCGTAGAGGCTGCGCAGCTTCTGTAAACTATCCAGGTGGCCTTTCTTCCTGCCATCGCTTGGGAAAAAACAATTCTAGGATGAGCGAATTGGTGTTTTTGGACTGGGTGAATATACTACCCAAAGTGAATTACGGCTTGAGGGATTGATTATCAACAATCATGATGGATCATACTAATAACATCGAATAACAATAGTAAGAGCGTGTAACAAGATGAATAGTAGCGGTTTCAAACGCACTAGCAATGGCAATTAAAATAATTGCCTTCCAGGTGAAAAAATAATCCAAATGGGCCAACTTGGGATAAAATTTGGGTTGGTTGAAAGATGTTGAAAGGAATATTGCAGCTATTTGGGTCTCCTACAACTTGTCCTCTCATCCAATTCTGGAAAACGTGGGAGCTTCCAAAATTTCAAGAAATTGTATGATATTCCAAATCTGAATGATGAATATTATCATAATATGTTATCATAATATATTCCAAAACTTGTATGATAACATATTATAATATAATTTTGTCTCTTCAGTCAGTCTTCTTGGCCACCCCATTATACCCCAGTCATTCATCAGTGGATTGACCTGAGGGCAAATGACAGTAAACCTCCCCTGGAAAAACCCCGCATGGTTTAGGTTTAGTGGCTGCAAATTATCCCGTAAGTCAATTCCTAATAAGCTGTTGCAATGTAGCCTTTTTGTTGGGTATGACCAGTTGAAACGGAGAAATGATTGCGTTGCCAAATTTACACAACATGTGTTTCAAATGTGTTCTCTTTTTTTTTCTCTCTCTCTCTCTCTCTCTATCTGTATGACTAAAATCATCTTAAATGTGGAGGTGATAAATGTCAATGAACCACAAGACTGTCACAAGCCCTCCATGGCCCTACTCCTACCTGGTTACCTCACCGGAGTCCTTAGCCAAAGATCATGATTCCCAGGAGTATAGCACACCAGGTCAAAACTGGCCTCAGTTCTGCCCCTATTATCAGCCCACAAAGAATGTAAAGATGTAACATCCTACTGACATAGTGGAAACGATGTTGGGATGCTATTAGCCACCATCCACCACCACTATGTAATCATATGTAATCATCATGAACCATCATTAACCATCCCTAGTGGTCACGACAGACATGAACCATGCATATATATATATGCATACTATGCAAAAATATTGTACTGACAATTACGGTGTGCATATATATATATATATATTGTATGTGTATATATATATATATGTGTGTATATATATATATATGTGTATATATATATATGTGTGCGTATATGTGTATATATATATATGTTATATATAATTATATATATACACATAATTATATAGTATGTAGAACATTCAATTTTACTGAATATGTTGATATGTATACATATGTTATTCATCTTCATGAAACGGTCCTTTGTTAAATCACCGTTGGTCTTCTGTTGCGACGAAATGGCCGTAAACATCTTCATGGCTTCTTTGAAGACCTCCAGGTCATCCGAAACATCTCCTCAGGGAGGGGATTGACCGATGCCTGCATGGATAATCCACCACTGGTGTTGTGAACCCCAGCTCGAAACCTCCATTCTTGATAGGTGTTTGACTGTTTGGAAAAAAACAACTCGCCGCATTTGAGATTGCACTGTAAGTTTGTTTGGAAGATTCACCTCCATTAGGCCCGGTATTGAACAGGTTGATAAAGAATCCCGGCAGTGGAAGCTGGAAACGTAGAATGAAACCACGAAGTCCGTATGGATCCGTGGCAAAGCAGGAAGCTGCCAGCTTGCAACAGGAACATCATCTTTCAACCTTATGTTTTGGTAGGTCTAAGCTGAATGTCCCACAAAGTATACAGCCTGGTTGGCGGCGTCACCGCAACCCATTAAAAATCAATACCATGGTCAAATATGTTCTCCCATGTCTGGGCATCTGAATTAAAAAACAAACAAACAGAAAGCAGCCAGTAGAGTTGGGTATATTATTATGGTGTATCCCCCTCTGCCATGGTCCTGAACCCATCTTAAATTCCATTTTTCAGTATTTAAAACCACCGTCCTGGGCACACCACAAGACAAAATCAGGCCCAGCCTGGCAGTACCAGGACATTGAAGGTCTCTGGCGACTTCTTTGGCAGGTGCTTCCTAGGCCGTGCCATGCAACGGGCTCGCCATGTTGCTTGATGATATGGCCCACTCCCACCGTGATGTTAGCATCACCTCTGAGAAAATAATGTTTTGCAAATTAAAACCCAACAAAGATGGCATTTCATCAGGCAAAAGGGGATGTTCAAAAATAAAAAATTGGATTGAACATATATGAATTATGTATATAAACCTGGAATGAACCTGGATTGCTGAGTCAATGAGACCCACCCCTGGTTGCAATGAATCTACGGGGAATATGTTTTTGAATCCCCTTTGTGGCAGTGAAGCGGCCAGTTGGGGGTGCCCTGTTCAAGGCGGCTTGCCGGCCCACTGCTGACTCGGGCAGGAGTCTGAAACCATTCCATGTTGGCCTTCTGGTCCACATGGATGTCACTGATCCTCAACACATAAGCAAAACATCAAGCAAATACCAATTTCCGGCCACACATGTAAGTTCGGAATGTGCAACTCCAATCTTCTGATTCTGCCTCTGCAATCATTTCTCAAACCAGCACCAGATGCACAACACATGGTCAAGGTGAACAGCTTCAACCATGGCTCGTAGCCACTCGTAGTCGCACATGTGGAGGCAAAGCCATGCGTTCTATGCCGCGAAAGCCACCGAAAAGGGACGGGAGATCTGATGTGACTTCCTGAAGATGAACATCACAGGATACCGATGGGAGTAGAAAAATGGGTCAGTTGGTCAGTTCAAACTGTGACACCTGGATTTTCACATCAGACTGTGGCACCAAAAAAGGGGATCAGGCGGTATCATTACGAAGAAATACTCACTAGAAAACTAAATGACATGGCGAAAGTGACTGTGGTAACACCCTCTCCCGGTTGCTAAGAGCAACCCCCCCAAAGAAAATCATGTCGTATATAGAGGGTTGAACATCAACACGATTGGCACATCTATATCTGAACTCTGCACATCATATGTTCTCCCCTCGAGGTGTGGATGTTCGATAAGAACGCAAACACACACACACACACGCACAAATTATATATTATGACGTATTCCGCATATGATGCCGTCAACGATTCACGAAACTCATGATATTGCAGAGCAACCGCCAAGAGGAAACACAACGTAAGCATCTATTTCTATTGCACCTTTGGAAACACAACGTAAGCATCTATTTCTATCTATTTCTATTGTATCTTTAATAATATTCTTTAATTACTTCCAAAATCAACTAACAGATATGACTGATTGTTTATCTCCTGGTTTTCATCAATTTGGTGCTTAGACTGGCCCATTTCATCTCCAGAGTCCTTTGGAAGTTCGTCTGAACATGGCTTCAGCAACAGCTTTTCCTGCGGCTGTCAGATTCTCAAGATCAAAGCCATAGCCATAAGTCATAGGGCCATGTGGTCCATCCATGAATTTGAACCCCAAAAAGACTTGGTTGATCAGTTTCATTGGATTTGTCTTGTGCGACTCTTCAACCTTTCAATCATACCGTGTCATCTTTCCGCGCACCCTGCGTCCAAACCCCAGAAACTCCATACCTTCGATCCCCGATCACTGCCTGCCTTTAGCTTCAGTGATGCCCAGCCGGTTTGAGGACCCTGACCCTCCAACAGTCTGAAATGCAAGCGCTCGCCCTTTAGCTCAAGTTGTGCCACACGGGCACCTGCACCATGGTTGAGGAGGCAGCCATTAGCCATTGGTGTTTCTTTTTTGATGGTGCCTTTAGTTCCCCATCAACAAAACAGGCAACCAATTTTACCCGCGTCAAGTGACCCAGGAAAGGGAAGGTGGCAGGGATTGGTAAGAACAAACACGAAAACGCAAATGATGATGGGGCCCGTTTCTGGATGGATGGAACACACACGATGGACAAGGAAACCTGCAAGAGTCGGGGCTGTTTTGTGGATGAGTGTGGGTAGATCTATAGGTGTGAGACAATTGATTCAAACAATAACAATAACTAATCACGGTGACCAAAGAGAACCAAGTTCTAGAAAGCCTTCTAAAGGCATTTGCTGCAACAGCACTGACCCCGAGAAAGTTTCAAAATCATCACCAAATGACCTGTAGCCAGGCGTTCCTGTAGCTTCTCAGATGTCAGTTCTACCTGGATGTGGAATCAAAATGACCCTGTGGCCCTGGGTCTTGGAATTGAGCCCACTGGATTTGCAAAGTTGGCAGTTGATCATCGAGATTCAGTGGAGATTTGTCACTATCGAAACAGAATCGAAGGATGAAAATCGAGCGATCAAAGTGCAGAATTTCAGGTTCCAGGATGGAACATGTTCAGTTCACACCCCTATATTTCCAGGGAAAAAACCTTGGTTTCCGGTGAGGATTTTCCCGACTAAACCATCCCAGCTCAACACTCTGGTGGCGACTACCCTTGGTTTCCTCACTACTTGTTTAGCGTCTCATGTGTGCCCTAACACCACCAGCCTAGGGATCCCAAGGGTAAACTAACATAGGTATGTGGAAAGCCATTGGATGCTTTCCGGACGATCAAATCTCTTCGCTAAAGCTGATGTTCCATGTTTGAGCCAGGTACGTATATTCAAAAATAGCTATGGTGCTATTACTACATTTGGGTTTGATTGAAAATGTCTGAAAATATAACGCCCCAGACTCCAATGGTGATTTTCCCCCATGAACATTACAATAATTCTCGAATTTCTGCACCATTTTCAAATAATTACATCCAAATGTCATGTATAATTTGTTGGTTGTTTATTCACATTGTATGCATATAATGCTGCATATACTATATCCATATCGACACTTGTTCCGATCAAATTGTTGATCTCTACGATCATCTTTTCCGCATTCTGAATTTCTTAATTTCGTGTATCCCATCGTATGTATATAATCGATTTAAATCCCAAATCCCATGTTCAGTGTTAATTTGTTGTTCGGTGATGTTGAAACTATACGTTCTGAGTATTTCCCCCTTTATTCTTGGTTTATACCATCATTTTCGCTATTCTGTATCATATGTTCCATGCTTTTGAGGAATGTTCCGCGTATTTCCCCACTAATATCCATTCATGGTCGGTTTATACCACCATTTCCCCAATTATCAATTGGGGATTCATCGCACAGAAATGGATTAAATCTAGGCTGCGCCAGCCCTGACAACGATGCCACCAGTCTGTTCACCACCCACCACCAACCAGATCGGGGCCATAGCGTCGCGTCCAGTAGAAAAAGACCCGTTTTGATCATTCAAATCCATCGAACATGGTAAATTTGAATCATCAAGAGCTGGAATCTCCATCGAACATGGTAAATTTGAATCAGGAGATGGAATCTAACCATGGGAAAACCTGCTCCATAGTTCTGGTCATGGTTGGTCAATACCAAAACCTTGAATTTGGGTTCATTGACAGCCGAATCTAGATGGTTCTGTTCATGTCTGGGATATTCAGCAGGGTGCTAGGGTTTTAACTCATTCCCTTTAATTTAGCCTTGGGGGACCCACTCGTTTTGAGTGATACGCACAAAAGAGCCGAGGGATTCCAGCATCAATCATCAAACAACAATGCCAAGTAAGTCCTTGGATTGTCTTCTTTGACCGACAGATGACAAGAACCTTGAAGATTAACCTTGGTCATTCCCATCCAGCTAGAAAGCTTGAGCTGCAAACAGCTACGACATCCAAGAAAAGCTGAAATCTTCGTTCAAAGTACATGATTGCCCTTTTCCAAGTGATAAGTTAGACTATCAAAGGATATCAAAGGATATTGTACGATTATTGTACGCCCACCGCAATTTTGCTGAGAAACGCTGGGAATTTCGGATCATTTCGGCCCAATCATTCTGAGATCTCACCAATTTCTTGGAGAATTGGATTCAAATGATGCAACGTCTGAAGTGTCTCACGTTTTCTTGCCACATCTATCGATTTTTTCTGATAAAAGTCACCTCAACTGCCCGAAATCCAAGTCCAAGAATTCCAATATGGTCCGTTTACTAGGTATGGTTTGACTATAAAAAAAGGCGACGTTTCAGTTTGCAATTTGTTCGTCATTATCAGAAAATAATTAGCTGCTTTAGCTTCTCAAGAATCCCTAAGTCATTATCAGAATCTATCAAAATTTGTTGGGCAATTTGTTGGTGAGTATCAGAATCTATCAAACTCTAAGTCCAACAAAGTCCAACAAAGTCAGGTCTCCCCACGTGTCAGGTCCAAGTCTAAGTCCCTGAGACTGCTGGGAAACTCCAGCCTGAAGCCCGAGGTCAAGGTTAACGCGAGAACAAACACAAGGTGGACGCGTTTTGGTTGGGTACCCTCCAATAGTTCAATATAGTTATGATAAATATATGATTATATGACTATGTGATTTCTATAATATATTTATGGAGTATAACTGTAACATAGTTACGGACCATGGCCGTGTATATACTAATTACCTTTAAACATGGTGATTCTGAATAGCTGTGTGAAATTACCAGAGGGCATTCCAGTGGAAAAGAAAGGATCACAATCACACGAACAAAATGAACATAAACATCACTGAATTGCTCTCAAGTTCTGATATGTCCAATGCCTTGGATGTAAGTTGGTACAACTTTGCAGTGTTGAATAATATCAAGGAGCACTGCTGCCACCTGGGAAACATCTAATATATATGATTATATATATATTATATATGTATATGCGTGTGCATTATATATATATATATATACAATGTATGTATGTATGTATGTATGTATGTACGTACGTACGTATGTATGTACGTACGTACGTACGTATGTATGTATGTATGTATTGTGACGAAATGCAGGCCATGTGTACGGGCTGAATTTGGGATGATTTTCTCAAATTCAGCCATCATCTGTGGTGAGGGCAGTGGAATGGAATAAAATTGGGAAATGTGTGATGGTTTAACTAGGCATGAACTAATACCAATGCCCACTTTTGCCGCTGCATGGGTCGTCAAAGATGACCAGTACCCACGTATGTTGCATAACATCCTTTGAAGCTATTCTGCGATCAAGCACTCAAAAGCAGTTGCCTCTTCAACATTCTTCCGAAAACCCGCAAAGAGCCCGCTTTGACAAGGCTTGCCTCGCTATCGCCAATACTGGACCCAGCAACCAATGAGTCGTTTCCAGGTTGGGCTCCCTAGGCCCTAGGCCCCTAGCCATCCTCATCGATGGCCAATTCATCCGTTAATTTCACCGGACACTGGAAGACTCCTGGCTTTAAGCCTCTGTTACATCAGGTTTATCCAAGGTTTTCCTATCTCATTTTTTTGTCTTAAAACAATCCAGAAGAGTGGCAAACATACAACACACTCTTTTTTCAGAAAGAAACACGCACAGTATGATGATGTTCCAAGCACCATCATAGCCGACCTAGCCTGGCAGCGCCTTCTGGACCAATACCTGGCTGAATGGGATCGGAAAAAAAGTTGGGATTTGTGGATTTTCCCTTTGGAAAAAACTATGGTTTATAATGGTTTATAGGGAAAGACTATGGCATGGTTTATAATGGTTTATAATTGTCTATAATGGGAAAATATCGATTATGATGGTGTATGATGAGATGTTCCCTCCGGAAATTTGTTGCAACACTATTTGGACAATGGCCATTTAGCTCGATGATTTACATTTACGGAAGAAGACATGCTGATTGTCCATGGCTATCTATCTATCTATATATATATATATCATGCTATATCATGAAATTACCCGGGGCAAATGGGATGTATATAACCATCATTAAAGAAACACCATTTAAAAACCGTGAAATTCTGATGATCCTTGGCCAGTGAGGTCGAAGAAAGAAACACGCCTCGTTTGTGCAGGTCCAGGAAGAGGTTCTTGGCACCGGGACCTGCAGTGACAGCATTGATAGCTGGTAGGGATAAGCAAGCGAACCATCCAACATCATCCGGAAAATCGACAGTTACAAGTAAAACAAGGTGAAACAGATTTGAAAATATGTGAAATCTGGATGATTCCGGATTCCAAGATGCTGTGTGCCCTGTGTTTTGCTGCCCCCATGGCTGGGCCATAGGGCCAAAGCGCAGTCGCGATGGCATGGCCTCGGACGATGACAAGGTCACCTTTCAGCTGATTTCGTCAATTTATCGCAACAAGCACGAACTCACCAATGGGATACGTTCAGAAATTACAGTATGACATAGTATGACCATGTATGACCCACATTCCCAGCTCGTTTTCAATAGGTTTAAAGTTTACAACCATGTGGCAGCATCACACATTTTTGCCGTCCAATATTGCCGTCCAATATTGAAAAGAAACCTGCAAGGAGTGCATGAAGGCGCACGTATGTAACGTCATCAACATCAGCCCTGATCATAAACCCCTGGCCTCGTTGATGAACTTTGAATTGGACAATATTGACTTTGAGACTATTCTTGTGAACCTTGTGAACCCGTCCTTATTGCTTTAAGGATTCGCAATGTAAATCTGCCAGAGAGATTTCCGAACTGACCAGTTGGCCCTTATATGGACATCCGGACCGCATGAGTTCAGTGATGAATCAAATTAAATTGTGGCAACATTCATAAACATTATCCTATACTATACTATATCGACATCCTAGACTGGAACGAATCTTTGACTGCCTCAATCTAAACCCCAATCATTTAGCTCCCTTTTGGTGATTTTGGCTGCCCTGTCTGCTTGGATTTTGGCAGCACACCCTTGGTACTTTGAGTGTCCAGCAGTGTGAACCTGCAAGGCAGTTCTGGTTCAGGTATCTGGGACTTCCAAGGATGTATCTTGAGCCACACATTTTGCCACATGTGTGCTCACATGTCTTCATATAGGCATACATGTGTATCTATAGACGTACGAATTGAGGCGTCAGTCTGCTTGTGTGTGGGTGTGTGATAAATACATACTTTTATGCCAGAAAAATGTTCCAGCCAATAATGCACATGCATACAAACAAATACTACCATTCAAACAAACATGCGCTACTCTACATATAACATGCACAAAGTAACGTGCATATACCTTTACAAAAGGAGAATCATGTATAAATTTGCGTATATACGTATGCATCCCCTATTACTAACCCCCCTCAAATACTAAAAACTAGGGTCCATCTCTAATTTTGGAAAATTTCAGATTGGCCAATTTGATTTTTAATTGATCCCCTTTAGAAAACAATTCAAAAATAAATAAATCTACCATTTGTGGGTTTTGCCCGCTAATGATAAAACTAGTTGACCCCGGAGTATTTATTATTAGGGTCCGTCCGATTTTTTCTAGTTTTTTTAATAATGGTTTTAATTTATTAATAGGGTCCGCTTCGAAATCAAATTTTTGGCAATATGTTAATCGCGTTATATAAGGAAATGTATATAATTTATTTTTAAATCGAACAAACTAGTTTTTATTATTAAAGTTTTAATTTGATTAATAGGGTCCGCTTCGAAATCTAATTTTTGGCAATATTTTAAGCGCGGTATATATGGAAATTTAATTCATTTTGAAATCGAACATACTAATTTTTACTATCAAGGTTCTAATTTTATTAATAGGGTCCGCTTCGAAATCCAATTTTTGGCAATATTTTAATCACGTTATATAAAGAAATTGAATTGATTTTGAAATCGGAAAACATAGTTATTTTGTTATTAAGGGTTTAACTTTATTAATAGGGTTCCCTAATAATAAATACCACCCTAATACTAACAACTACCTGAGGTGTTTATTAATAGGGGGGGGACGTTTAGTATTAGGGGGAAGGGATTATATATATATATATACGTGTGTGTGAATGTGTTTTTAAAGAGTATAAAAATATGTTAACTGGATACATGACAAGATATGCGGATATATGTATATATATATAAATTTCCAAGGTCCAGCATACATTCAAAGTCCGCATGGTTAGGCATTTGGAGTCCTTGTGCCTGGTACCCAAGAAAGTTGCCCATTAAAACGTACCTGCAATGGTTCCCCCAGCTACGAGTTACGTAAAAGGGGGTTCACAAATCATTTTTTATAATTACCGGTTAAAAAAATAGGATATCCATCTATGATTATATTTGTTTCTCCCAGTTATAGTAAACAATTGGGATTTCCCACCTATGTACTCCCGGGTTTGTTCACTGCAAGGTATGAATCCATCAACATCTGGAACTGCATGAGGGCTCGGCTATGCTGCGACCTCCACACTTCGGAATTCATAGCAAGACTCAGTAAAAGTCCTGGTATGATCGCCAAAATCGGTACAACTCTTGGCAACTGCGATATCATACGATATCACATATGCAAACTACATTTACAAATCTATTAGATGTATTTACAGATATTTACAGTATCTTCATCTACATATACACATACAGTACATTTATATCTAAGGCACAATTACAATCAAGTAACATGACATACGTGGAGTTTCAAACCCTTTTCTCGCCATTTGCTTGTTTGCAACCCTACACTTTTCACCCCCGTGTTTAAGCTTAAAGTATAATATAGTATAATACATCCCCATCTTGTGATCGCCTCATATTTGCTCATTGAACCATCAATTCCAACATGTACAGCATCTTTGTTATTTGGACAGCTATTTTGTAGCATGTAGCTTCAAATCCCATCAAATCACACCCATTTGTTGACATATTCTGTGGCTCCCTTTAATTAACTGATATAGACACATCCCACCTCCTTCAAGGGAAGACCCAAGGCAATGGCTGCAGAACCAGCACGGCTCAGCCTGCCGGAGTTGAGCAGAAAAAAGTGGTGCATAGTACTGTTCCTCAATGGTCACCTCGACCAAAAAGGCTGATAAATCATATTCTCGCACTAGGAAAGGACAGTTAAGTATGCTAAATGAAGTCCACTATATCTGGACCAACCCCAAATTGGAGGGTTTGAATCTCTAACTCCATGGATCAGCCGTCATAGCCGGCTACTATGCACTAGTCTCAAGGGTTTGAAGGGGGGCCCAAACCAAAGCACAGGAATTGGCTTTCTGGTGGACAAAATTGGCAAGTGGTGGACTGGGCCTTGAATCAGCCTTGAAAGGCCTTCATTCATTTTCATACGATGAAGCGCTTGAAGCGCTGGTTTTCAAACGCTTTGATAAACACAAGGACGAAGAGCAGTCAGCGGGGTTGGTTGGATGTTTGTGACCGGCCTTAGATCTTACGAAGGGGATGGATTACCCAACAAAAATAACTGATGCTCTGCCAGGTAGAGCAACACCTTGAAGAAAAAAATGTCGTGCAGTTTCACCCCACGGAAACCGAGAAACAAATGACTCGAATCAAACAGCTGAGTGCTTTCTCATACCTTTGAGGTGTTCGATTCATAAATACCAATATAGTTCAAACATATAGTTATAGTTTCACAGATGGAAAATGGCGTGCATGTGGGGCTTAATTCATGCGGATGAGCCAATCATCATGAACCACTCATCATTGAGGATGTATGATTGGGTTTGCCACGCTTTATATAGATGGTTGCTCTATACTCTATACAACCCATTGACGAACCAAAGAACCAAAGCAAGCCTCACGCAGCAGTTCCAAAGATGTCCTTTGTAAAACATGTCCAAACATCACCTTTGGGTGGTAGTTGAAAATGCTTGAAGATGATACCCGTTGGGTAATGGTCGGGCTAAAGGGAAACAAAACAAATGAACAAAACACTGAAACCATGGCTGTTACCCCAAATATAGGGGTTTCACATCGGTTTGTTCAAATCATATCAGTCAATTTCAAATCATCATTTTATCCAGCAGCTGCCCCAGAAACCGCCTCAAACCTTCAGGATCTGTCTGGCCCAAACGCCGCCTGAAGACTGATTTGGGAAGACCAAAAATGTAGTCCGCAACAATCGCCGAAATTTCTCGGGATCTGAAATTTCAAGAATGGTCTTAATTATGTTATTTCGATCTTAGGATCGATTTTCGGATTTTCGGAAACCAACCATGTTTAATCCAGTTTTGATCCGTTTTGACAAACATTGACAAACCATTTCAGTGAAAATCCTTGATGGGATGTGACCTCATCAGTTTCTTTACCCCCGCGAATTGTGATGTCAACCGTGGAGTGGGAGAACAAAACAACACACACTGGCTGAAGAATTAAAAACATGATTTTTAGCACCCCAAAAATGGTCACGAAAAAAAAGGGATACCCCCCGAAATGAACAGCCTAGTGACTGATTGTTCCAAGGATGGTTGGCTTGATTGGCTCTCCTTGAAACAGCAAAGCAAACAAAAAAAACAAAATCGTATTTCTTCCAGAGAAAGGGGATCGGCCTTCGTCAAGTACTGGCCCTATGGATTCGAATCCCCAATAGTCTGATGCATATTGTTGGTTTTTCTGATGTTTAACCTCAATGTTTGCCGACAAAATTGGAATTAAAACTGAACAACCATGAACAACCCAAATTTCACATGGCAAAGACTTGGTCGTAGTCGTAGTCGTCATCATCATTTCATCGTAAAGGCATTTGAATTTTGAGGATCATAGTGATATTCAATGATATCCATACGAGCTAAGATCCAGGATGATTCCCCAACATTGTCCGATTTATGGAATCTATGGCCCAATTCTTGATGAGGGTTGATGAGCCCCCAAATTTCAGCCAAATCCATGGAGCTAAACTTAGGCCCCAGCAAGCATCGCAGGACAGCGGGCCTCGTAAATGCTTAAGGTTTAAGACTAAATTTCGATTAGTTGCAGTTGGGGTTGCCCTTCTGGTCGAGGGACATGCTGGTTATCCATGTTTTTCATCCGAACATATTGGGGGGTAAACTTTTTCTTCAAACCCCTAACTGCCTTCCATAAACCTTTTTTACTGTGGTCGACAGGATTTTCATTAAATTGTTCCACTAAAGATTCCTGCTTGTCCCTCTTGGCCAGCTCTGCAATGTGTTTGCCGGGTTAAGTAAGGCTTTCTCTTTTCTGGCGGTGTGCGGTCAAGATTCTTCTCTTCAGACTGCTGTAACGCAGCAAGCAGAATTGTTAAGTCAAATCTTACCCCATCAACAAGACAAGACTTGATGTCTTCGTTATATTGAGTCCATTGAGAGGGTGTCGGTTTGTCATATCTATGGGTCTTCTCAACTACTTCTTTTTTGGGGTGTTGCGCTAATATCTTAATTACTGCTTCCAAAACGAAATGGTCACTCTCGAAAAAGATGTCCATCCTACTTTGAACGTCGGACACGGCGCTCTTCCAAGATTCCCTGGATAACCAATAATCAATCTGGGCAAATTTGATCGCATCATATGGTGGTCCAACTTCACGCATGTACGTATGTGTCTACGTATGTATATTGTATATATATATATATATAACTGTATGTATATGATTAGATATGTATGTACGTAGGTATGTATGTAGGTAGGTATATACATATGCATGCAATGCAAATGCATGTAATTGCATGTAGGTGAAATATGACTATGAATATTTCTATGTATGTGTATGCATACGGATAAATATGTGATCATATGTGTATATTATACATAGATGTAAATGTATTCTGTGGATGCGTATACCTGTATAACTGTATAACTATGTATATGTATATATATATATATGTGAATGTTTAATATACATTGAAGTATATATCAGCGAATGATCCCAGTGCTCCATAGCTCTGAGCACTGGAACCCACAAAGTTCCGTCCAGCTCTGCTCGTCCTTGACCAGAGCCTGGCCGCAGGTGGTCATGGTTTTCATATGGAGGTTTCCTAAATGGGGGTACCCCTAAATCATCCATTTTATAATAGGATTGTCCACTACGAACCATCCATTTGGGGGTGCCATTGATGGAAAGCCCCATATGTTTTCCCAAGAGTTACAGTCTGACAGTAACCATTCATGGGATTTCGTAGTACCTGGGCCATTGTTTCACTAAAAACATCTGATTGTCACCACTTTGACTAGTAAGTCACTGTTGTGACATCTGTGTGTACTCTTTGAAATGGCTCAAATGAAACGTATTCTGCTGGTTCAATTCCAAATGTTCTCGCTGAGGAAATCAACGGGCCTCAATGGCCTCAGTATCGTGGATTAAGAGGTTTCGCTGAAGTACCTCGGTTTTTCTTGGCTTCGTTTTCCAAAAACATGGTGGCTAGTTATTGCACTGGAAAGTGTCACCATGTTTGGGCTGATTCGCAAATTATGATCTTGTTATTGCAGATATATTTACCTATGGGAAAATGCTCCGGCCCCACAGATTCACACATGTGGGTGCCGGCGCCTCCCATCCTCGGGTTGCTGCGTTGCTTTTTCAGGTACCAATGAGCAGTGCCCACAACTCTCTGTCCTCTTCCACTGATTAATTGGTTTACAAAGGTTCCCATATTGGGATTTGAACATCCAAATGCACAATGAGCCATGATTCGTAATTAGCTTAAGTCCCATTTGTGGCAGGTCAAAAACCACAATGTGTCTGGGTTTAACCATCAACGACGAGGAATTTTGGGCGTTCATTACATGATATTACATGCATTTGTCTGAAAATAGGGTACCACAAATTGATGGAATGTCTTCGAATTGCCTTGATTTAGGGTACTGTATCCCTCCCCACTATATCCTGACTATTGTCGGTTTAGACTCCAATAATTTCCTTGTTTCATTGGTCAAATCCAAATGTTCTGTGGCCCCAATGCAACCGCAACTCCCGGGTGGCCACTACCAATTCCACACTTGGTGCCTGGACAGGGCACCAGGACTTGACAGGTGGTTTCTTGTAACTCTTTGCAACACTTGTGTCCTCCCCCCAAAAAAATGAACTTGAAATAGTTCTGAACTGATGTTTTTCTTGGCAAGTGACTATATGTTCTACTATCGGGACAACACTTTCTGAATATCATTCACTTCCAGCAGCCACGAAAAGGCCATTTGTACTGGGATCATCATCTTTTCCAATGTGGCACCAATGGACCCCCGGAAAAGGCTGGTCCCAGCCGGCATCACCATCCCAAATAGGCGATCATTATTTGTTGCTATATCCCCATATGATTCCCCATTTTAGATGGTGAAATCCCATGAAATTCGCATAGTTTACTGTTGAACTCGCCACGGATGATCTGCCCCAGCTACCATTCTGAAGCTAGATCCTGATCTGATCCTGTGGGTCAGGTAGAAGCTAAGCTCATGAGCTAATGACTTCCCTTGTAGATGGAGGTTCGTACTTGGGAATATCATCTATAAATGTTGAGCTTTCCATTGCCACCTTAAAATACCGAAGGGTAGCTGGCTAGATTAAGAAATCTGATTGGAGGATATTGGAGGTATAAAGATTTTACAAGCGGGGCCCAGTTACAAGCTTGTATACAAACCTCATGAACTATAAATATCTACCACAAACATCCACAAACGATAGTTAACCTAGTTGTTAAAATGTTGTAAACCAACTTAGCTAACTACGGGGGGCACACCTCGTAGACGTGTGTTCGACTGCAACCCTGAGCCCCTCCGCCTCGCTTCCTGCTGCCCTCAACATGTCTGGCACCTACGCGAGCAAACATGATTTTGGGAAGGGCTTACAACACATGAACTTCATGCCTTACTCTTGGCACTTTGCCTGGGCTCTTGCAAAATGGTCAACATCGTTATGATTCTGGAAACAAAGATTGATCCTTCTATTTCTTGAAACCTGATTTGGAAGAGTAAACTCTCTTATCACCTATATCTTCCATTTCACCACACAAAGAAGCTCATGTTTCACTGTTTCACCCACTAACAATGAGGGAACACTACAAATCCCTAAGTTTGTTGGTCAAATCCATGTATCATCACATATTTGTGTTGACTAAATTCCACTGAAATTCCCTTTTTGGTTGTTGGGAAACTATATGAAAACCAGCTTCACAAGAACCCGCCAGGCGTCCATACCAGAGAGGTCGACACTGCACCAGCCAGCGCCTATGCAGCTGGGAAGTCTTTCCACACGTGGGCCGGTCGCATTTTTTGTTGAGAAATCCATTAGTTTCCATTTTTATGGGGTTACCCCAAAATGGATGGTTTACACTGGAAAATCCATTATTAAAATATATTAAAATGGATGATTTAGGGGTACCCTCATGGTAGGAAAGCTCTATTTTTGTTGGGTGGAAACTCCTCGACGATGGAACCAACAAAAACAATCGCTTTTCCAGCCGAACATGGGGTGTCATCTGAGAAAGCCGGCGACTGGACCGCCGGGAATCAGAATCTCTTCTGCCTTGAACTCAAGAAGCATGTGCTCAAAAAAAGGTCAATAATGTGGGTAAAATAATGCCATAAACCACCCATTTGGGAATGGTTTAGAGCACCTTATGGATCTTATGGTGATTTGGGGAATGGTTTATGGCAGTGGTTTTTACCCAGAAAAAATCATCAATGCCATCAACCCAATGTGACATGCTTCATCCCATTATATCCCATTAGCAACGGACATGTCCCGCCAAGAGGGGAGGCCATCCGGAGACAAAATGGAATCACGGAGGTAGAAGACACCCAACATAGAAAACACCAAAAATAGGTTGAACACAATATGTTAAACTATGTTAAACTTAAACCATGTTAAAGCCAATGATGGACCTCTAATTCTACTGGAAATGGGTTGGAACGAATAAACGTGTATACATCATCCAAAATCGGAACTTTATTACTTCATTGATCTTCATTGGGTGTAGCACATGAGTCACCAAAACAGCCGCCTGGAGAGTTGCATCAGCACAGCCCAGCCAATCCTGTGCTTTTTGTTGGGCCATTGGGCCGGTCTGTGGATCATCCCAAATCTGGTTGAACATAAAAACATATAAAACACATTTGAAACTTGAACCAATGATGGTTATGGACATAAGTAGGTTATGATGTACTATATGATGTACTATAAGTTATGTAAAAACATATAGAACCACCATCATAACCTACATAACTTCTAATGTACTATAAGGCATGCACCAACACTTCTAGATGATTGCATGATGATTGCATGATTGCACAAGAACTAAAAACCATAAGCCCGGGCTTGCAAGCCAACCGCTTCCGTTCCGGTTTCCTGGCTCAGCAACCAAACAAAAACTCGACAAACTGGAGCAACAGCCAGCTATATATGGTCAAGGTATGTCAAGGTGGCGAGTAACTTTCCAAACCCGATACATAAAAAGGGTAAGGCTATGTAAGGCTAGCATATATGTGCATCCGATTCCAAAAGGGAAAGAACGATTCCAAAAGGGAAATAATGCCTCCGATTCAGAAATAACGACTCTGAGAGGGAGGCGATTCTGCCCCTTCGAGGCACAAATTTCTGCCGCAAGGAGTTTCTAGGTATAACTTGAAAATGGCACCCCAATCAATAGCATTGGTGACGGCTGGCCCAGAGGCAGGTAGCAGTGTCTGAAGGACTAGCGGGTCCCTGAGGCTTTACGCACAACTCAGCTACTCAACCTACGCAAAGCCAAGCCCGATGTGGTTGACTATTGGTTGACTCAGTTGAATAATATTTGATTGCATGTGTTCAACTCAAAGGAGACTCCCATTTTGCCATGGATTGGTTTCATAGAAATATCAGGAAACCAAAGTTGCTACTAATCATATAAAAAAAAAAAAAAAAACTATTTGGCGGAGAAGCCTGATTTTTGTTCCATTCAACCAATGATCCCCGAGGCTGGATGGGGATGTTTGCCGAATGGCTGGTGAAATGTCCCATTTTGGCTACTTGACTTGGTGGAATTCCCAAACAGTTCCCTCGCTTTCCATGTCCAAATAGCACATGTCCAATCTTGTTTGTAGCATTCCCTGGTATCCACATTACCCTTCGCTTATGTCCTCCGTTTTGGGGTGGCGGTTACCAAATCGCAGTAGTTGAAAACCACCTTAGGGGTTTGCTTCATTTCTGGTTGAACATTGCATTTTGGTAGGGGGTCCCTACCGGACATTTGTATGTTGAGAGCAAATAATCCATACTCTGAAATGCAGTTGGGGTAAGACAAAACCACGTATTCTGCTTTAAAATAATGCCATTTATTGCATATATTAGAGATTGATCCCGTAAAATATGTAAAATACATTAATTTTGGGATATGATTTTGTGATAATGCAAGGTGGTGCCGCCAGTCCCCAGTCATGTTTCTTGGTGGCCCCTTGGGCCCCAAGCCCCATTAACTTGTTTGATATCGGTATATATATATAAATATCAACCATAAACCCACCTTCTGGCCAGAATGGGCCATATATTAGATCTGGTTGGTGGTTGCAACCCCTCTCAAAAATATTATATATATATATGTATATATAGTCAGTTGGGATGATTGTCCCATATATTCTGGAAAATAACAAATGTTTGAAACCACCAACCAGAGATGGTTGCTCAACCAGAGATGGTTGCTTATTTTCGCTGAATTATACATGTTCCTATCATGTCCCTGTTAAATCATGTCGGTTTATGCATTCATTTTTCCAGGAAATCCATTGGTTAAGTCCCAACTGTTCATGCTCAATTCCCAAACTTTAATGAGATATGACTGATGGAAATATCATGGCATATGTTGAAGGATTCCATATATCCATTATGCTCCCATCATATCATGTCCCTCTTCTTGTTTATACTTCCGTTTTTCCAGGAAAATCATTGGTTAAGTCCCAAATATTCATGGTTAAATCAGGTTCAACCCCCATTTTGTGTGGTTCAATCTCAATTTCGCTTGGTTCAATCCCAATGTTGCTGGGATAAACTGCCGAGCAGCCGCCAAGCTCAAGATGTGCACTGCGTTCTGCACTGTGACGTGACCCTGGCGGATGTCGGGGGGGTTCCATGGGTGCTCAAAAAGTGGGCATGATGTGTGATTTATGTGGGATTAACCATCTTTTTGTATTTTTTTCATGTTTTTCGATTGAAGAACAACAAATAGGGATCTTACATGATCTTACCCCGTGAACATCCATGAACTATATATGAACAATGGAACTCCGGGATATACCGAAAATCCCGGCGGGTGAGCCTGGCTCAAGCCAATGTCGGGATGCACCACACCAGGAAGCGAATGAGACACATATGGAAATACGATGAGGCACTGTGTTAAAAAAAACGGTAAAACTATGGTAAAACCCGTGGTAAACTTCACCAACAATCAATGGTGATCTTGTAAATCTATGTGAATCTGTTTTCATGGAGATGATCATCCCTTAGCCCCACCTGCGGATGTCCCAGGGCGCGAAGCAGGGGTAGAAGCCTATGGCCGGGCGAAGCATGGAAGTTCTGGGAACTTGTCCCATTCAAACACCATCCCACTATAGGAAGCCCTACTGAGAGGATCCATCTTCCAAACTCCGAGTCAAAAATCTCAAAATTTCTTCAACACAGCTATTGAAGGCTCCCTTTCTGCATGACTGGCCGGATTTTTTTCTTGCCGAAAGGGATGTTCTCAGCAAAACATCACCAAAAGCCCTAAAATCTTTCAATTCAGCAAGGAGCCAAGAAACAATCGCCTGACTTCAGCAAAAACACATGATGGGTCGATTTGTTTTTTTTTATGTTTTTCACGTTTTGCCAGGTTTGCCCCGCGCCTATTGTGAACCGCTGCTTCCAGTGGACCTGTGGGAATCAAATCTCCATCCATTCCACTCCGTAAAGAACGGATAGATTGAACCAACCATCTTAGAAATATCCTATAAATATCCTATATATGGGGTATGAATATCCTATATATGGGGTATGAAGGAAAATTCGGAAAACTATGGGAATGTTCATGAAGAAGTAGAGAAAACACGATAAACACAGGGCTCGGTTCCCGAAAACAGACTGCAATGCTGGGTGATTTTGGGATGATTGTCCCTACTGGTCCCTACCAACCGCCATCTATTATGATTTTTGGCACACACATAAAGACACACACACATATTCAATCATATTCAGACATATACTTCACGAGGGTGTTTCTGAAATCCAATTATAAATTTTAACTATGAAATTCACTTACAATGGGATTACCCAGAGGCTCGCGCTCTCTACCTCTCTCTCACTTTCTCTCTCTCTCTCTCACTCTCTCTCTCCCTCTCCCTCTCTCTCCATCTCCGTGTTCTGTAGTCATTGGTTCAGCTTGAGACAGTCAGAAAATATGACAGAAAAAATGCAATCGGCCACACAACCACACCTCTGAATATGTCAAGCTGGAACCAAAATCCCAAATCCCTGCGGTTTCGAGGCGGAAAACCACTTTCCAGACACATCTCAGGCAGTCCATTTGGTACCCTGTTCATTTGATTTGCTGCAGTTGGACCGAAGTGTTGTCCTGGGAGCCTTTTGCATCGGTCTCGATTAAATCCCTTGTTTTGCCAGTTGCCCAAGAAACCTCAAGTTTTGCTGTACCAAACATCATTGGGAGCTTTTGTAGTCAGTATGGTCTTCATTTGATGCTCTCTTTACGCAACGCGCAAAACCAAGCCAAAAGAACTACAAAAATCGATGAGGTGTCCGGAGGAACGGAACATTTGTAGGTTGTATCATGACTACTATTATCATTTATTAAATTATGTGAATGTTTGCTTGTTTTAGGTTCGCATATTATCATAGGTTCCGCGTTGGATTTCAAATGATGTAATGAGTGTTGGTTCCAAACCGTGGCATTCTGGTGAACATCCACCTGATCTCCCTGTGATTCCCGGCAACTCTTTAGCAAGTCGCTGGAAGAAATGGGACCAGCCTTGGACATTTGGACTGAACAGACCAGGGGAAAACACCCAAAATCCAATGGCGTAATTAGAAGGTGTATACCCGGTTGTTGTTTTTTCAATCACGCCCATATTTCACTTCAAATGATTCAAACTACGCAAAATCGATCAAATTCATGCGGTAAAAAGTGTCAAAATATAAAGTAGTCTAAGACGAACATGTTTGCAATGGAATGATCATCTTTCAATTCAAACTGCCTTCGCCTTTGCACTTCCAAAATCTCTCAACCACCGTTGAATTGAACGGACTCAAGAAAAACTTCCTGGCAACTAAAATGTCGGAGATTCACACAAAGTCAAACACATGCACCGCGGCACGCGCCCTCTGGACATTTTTCACGGATCGGCGGACACGATGTTCTGTTCTGACAAAAAGGGATGAGATTCTCTAAGAAGGTGAAGTGGGCTCAGTCCCTCTGAACAAAAGAGCCATCTCAAAAACATTCAGAATACGGAGGTTTCCTACAATATGGTACGAGTAATATGGGTGTCGGGTACCCCAAACCATTGGTTTTCCCACTGACAATGGGAACCTCCATATGGAAGCTTCAACCGAAAAGTCCTCAACCTCACCATTCTGTGACATTCTGTGTATGTCTCTCACCTTTTTGAAGGGCCTCTCATCTCCCTAAAACTCAAAGATTTGCATGCTTCCAGAAGGACCATGCAACTTTTACAACCTTTCCAACTGGGAAGCAGGAAATACTCCAAGCGCCAGCCATAACTGCCGTAGCATTCCTTGAAAGATGTGGCAAAGCTCACAAAACATCAAGAATGAGCCTACTATCCTACAGAATGGGCTCCCGAGTCATGTTTATTAGTGTTCAAACCACATTTAACGATATTAATATGATTTATCCATCATAAGTCCTCATAATTGAAATTAATATGATATCTTTGCCAGGCCCACTTGCCATGCACATATGGATGATCCATGTAGCTTAATAAGGGTTTGCCACTCACTTCAATGGAACCTTTCATTATTTCTGGGTGATGACCACCTCCATTTTCAGGCTGTAACGCCTCAAGTATTTCAAGTATTTCTGCTTCTTTCTAAGATGATCTGAGTTTTTTCAGGTACAAATCCATATTGAAATCATCAAAATCCCTTCCTGCCCTGGCATGCGAGACTTCCAGACTTCCCAGGAGATAAAGGGTGCCCTTCTTTCGCCAGCTGCTGAAAGCCGCTGAAATTGCCTGTTCCAGTCGCAGCTAGCTATGCAATGATGTTCATTCAGCTTCATCAACTCAAACCTGAAAGTGTGTGGGTTTCAGCACTTTTTGCGTGCAAGAAATTGGACAACATCGGAAAACCCATGGAATTTGCTGCAAAAAAGTTGGTTGAAGACGGTTAAATTCCCATAAAAATCCTGGGCAATCGCCCAACTGCGCCATTGAAAAAGGACCCCTTTGTGCGGCACAACTCGGCCCAATGGCCTCTCGCGCAGCGATGTATCCAGGTTGTGCGTTTGCACATCTGGGAGCCCGAAATGTTGATCTCTGGATGGAGCGAAGAGGTCCCAAGTGGGATCTTGGACACAAACTTTTTTTGTTTTTTTTTGGCATGTAAAAAGCATTAAAAAGCACTGAACAACATCCTTCTTGGGATGGTTTGGGGTATTGGATTGATTTGGGGTATCCATTGGAGCTGGTGGGAATGTTGTGCATCCAACCAGCTCGGGGGTCACCTTTAATAGAGGCTTGGGTGAGTCCATATGGGGATATGGCTGTAGTTTGGGGGATGAACATCAATTTACCAGCTATTTTTATGGGTCCACCAGGGTACCAGGGGTTTTGACTACTCATACCCATATTATTATATAATTCAATGTGGTTTTTTGTGAGCTACCTTTCGCTTCACCCGGTGTTGAGATCTAGTTTTCCCAAGCCTACTCCGCTGGGCAGGGGCCAAATCAGCCAGCTTTGTCCCAAGTGGATCATGAAAAATGCCACTGGCTGGGAAGGAGACGTATTGATCTTGGTCAACCAAAAGTCTGATGTTTGCTCAGGGTTTTCCAACTTACAATGAAACCATATCAACATGAGATGAATTCACTGGTCCTGGGAACATATGATCGGTTCACCACAATTGGAGTGTTTTTTCTACCTCAGCTTCAAAGAGATAGGAAATCATCTGAGGTGTCATGACATATGACAGTAGCCATGGGAAAGAATTGCCCGATTGGACATGGAAATTGTTGCGCTCGTTGCAGAAACGTGGAATAGATCTTGGTTTCTAGCAATCTACAACTTTCCATCGGACGCAAGATATGAAAACTGTGGAAATTCAATTTTCGGGAGCATTTCAAACATGTTCAAACTGCCAGTGCACTCAGACTCAACGGCCTCTATGGTCCAAATGTAATTAGTATGTTTTGGGAGACCTCCCAACCTTGGGATAGTATAACGACATAGTCCCCTAAGTGACAGGTGGAACGGCAAATGCTACACCCCGCACACTTTAGCCACCTTCAAACCTGATTAGCCTATACCCAATTCGGCTCTACATGAGCCATGCACTGAGGTATGATCCAAAAGAGACATGTTTTATGGCGCAAGCGGCGCGCTGTACAAGTGGATCGACCACCTGCTGCAACAGATTCGGGGTTTGAGATGGATCATAGAATCTTGAGACCCAAAAACCTGAGAAAAAACATGTCTTGTGATACCCCTCTGGTAAACTAACATAACTGTGGACAATCACCATTTTTTAATGGGAAGATCAACGAACTAAATGGCCATTTTCAGTCCAGTGATGTCCAGTAGTCCTTTCAGGGAACCAGCCAGTCGTGCATCCCAGATTCACCCAGGTTGTCCACTCTTCTCAGGATCCATTCTGAATCAGTTTGCATCCAGTTGTGCATCAGTTTACTTCGAGATGTGCCTTAAAAGAAAAAAAACTTGAACATCCTTGAACTATCATAGACTCTATACCAAAATGAGAATTGGAAGACTACTTTGCTCTGAAAATGGGCCATTCTCAGGGTCGAGCCGTTGGTCGAAATGGTAACCGCATCATCATTTCGTCTGCTGGAGGTCTAACGCAGAAACAAATTGTTGTCCCCACCAAAAAAGTCACCAACCTGAAACTGTTTGCCAAACTTAGCTGTCTTAGCTAATCTTAGCCTCCAATCTAGTTTAAGAAACTATTCATGACCATCCTAGCTTTCAGTTCAGTCAACTATAATTTCCCTCCCCCAACCTTCGCATCTTCCCAGCCAGCCTGAGCCCCTTTATGCAGGCTCCAATCTGGGACCAGAACTGCCTTCAGACTGATCACCTGCGAATTTCACCAACAAAATGGCTGGTAGAAATCAACATATAGGGATATCATGGGGATATACTATTGAGTTTCAACAGTTTCGCCTGAAAAATAGCCGTTTTTACCCCGATTTTTTGCCTTTTAGATTGGGAACATGACGATCAACGGAGCAACGAAAAGGTGGGACTTCAGCGACTTAAGCGACAATTTTTGGGGGGAGCTTGAAGCAAACCAACAAAAACCTTGGGAATTTATGGGAATTTAAGCAACAAAGTGCAATAATAAGCGATAATCAACGATTATCAACCAATATCAATTATTTTTGGGAATTGAATTTAAGCCCGCAAAATTGGGGATATCAACCAAAAAACATCGATATCAGCACAAAGTTGGATTTACAGTACGCTAAACTGGAGTTTAACATGTTTTAGTTGTAAAAATATTTTAAAGGGATTTCATCACAGCACACCTTAGGATAGCAATATTGTTAGTGCATCAAAGGCATCAACATGTTCGGCTGCTGGGAACATCAAGGAACCCCCCAAATCAACTGGAGGGGGTCTTGTGTGAGACTCCCTTGTTTTGCTTTGGCAAAGTACGGGATAGATGGATGGATGGATGGATGGATGGATGGATGGATGGATGGATGGATAGATAGATAGATAGATAGATTAGATAGATTAGATAGATCATATATATATATATTATTTCAGAGTATTTTCCCATCATCTTGGGTTCTATAATTGTTTCAAAATGTACCCAGCTCAAGTGCTGCCAACAAGCAACCCTTCAAACATTAGCAGACTATATTTTATATACATATACAAAATACAAATTATAAAAGTATATAATGTTGACCGGATCAATAAACCCTGCCCGAATAGTGATGTCATTCGCTATGTAAATGGTGCCCACCAATTGAACAACCTAGAGCTTGATCAACGGGGTTTGACGTTGTAACACTACTCATCAATCTATATTCTCTCTATGGATCTATCTATCTATCTATCTAATCTAATATAATCTAATCTAACCTAATCTAATCTATCTATCTATCAAATTCTATTTATCTAACTAACTAACTATTTATCTAACTAACTAACCAGCTAACTAACTCACTAACTAGCTAACTAACTAACTAAGTAACTCACTAAAACACACAAACACACAAATTTACACTTTTACATTTATTCAATTTTACACTTGCACTTACTTGGTAAGCCCAGTCAAACCCACTCCCAGGGAGTCCTCCTTTCCTCGCCTCCGCTGGCACCCGGCGAGGAAGCTTCTTCCGGCTCGTCCTTCTGGAGGAAGGGATTGCTCCCAGCGGTGACAAAGCCACTAATCTCCTTCCTCAGGGGCCGAGGTCCTGGAGATGCCTGGAGCCTGTGGGCCACCAAGTCGTCGCACCCAGGTTTAAAAAAATCCCCAACACTGGGCTGCGAAGGATTTCAAAATCCAACAAGTTGCTCCAAAATGTTGTCAAATAATAGTATAGATAAGGAGATGGCCGCAAAAAGCCATAAAGAAAACATGTTCAACACGCAACCCTGACGTTTGACCGTGCTGGAGTTGTGGAAAGGTTGCGTATTTCCATGTATCTATGTGGGTAAAAAGGTTGCGTATTTCCATGTATCTATGTGGGTAGCGATGTTCTTCTTGGTGGGCGAACGTCCGGGCTGGACGGAACATGTATGTATATGTATATGTACATGTACCTGTCACACTGTACATACTATGTTCAACGTATTGTTTGGAGGGGGTGGCGGGTTTGATCCATTTCGAAGATACAGTAAGTTGAAGTTAATATCCCACTCAATGCTGGATATTGTCCAGATGCTGTGGGGGATATTGTCCCTTGTGAAGATTTATCTTGAAGTTACTATCCGATTCAATATATTATGGTTCAGAGGGGGAGGCGGATTGGATAATTTGAAGCTAATATCCCGTTCAGAGGGTGTGGTGGATTTGATCCCGTCGGAAGATAAGAAAGTCTGAAATTAATGCCCCATACTATAATATGTATATATGTATATTATATATATATACGTATATTGTTCAGATGGGGTGGCGCATTTGATCTGTAATGAAGATAAGTTGAAGTTCTATCCATTCAATATAGTTCGGAGGGGGTGGAAGGATTTCTCGGGGATTTGATCCCCTAGGTCCGGAGTTTGTGGTGGTCGAACAGCGAACGCTATAAAGCTCACCTGGTTGGTGGTTGAGCCTACCCCTCTGAAAATATATAAAAATATGAGTTCGTCAGTTGGGATTATGACAGTCCCAATATTGGGAAAAATAAAACATGTTCCAAACCACCAACCAGTCACCCTTGTTCATAGGTAAATCATTGCACTCTCCGGGCCATTGTCCATAGCTATTTTCAATTAGGGCTTTGTAAACAATGGAGATTTGCGGTCTCTCCACCCAAATCCCCACATCGCCCAAGGGCTTGATGGCATAAGGCCTTTCTCCAAGAACCTGCCAAATGTTGGTGGTTTACGCTGGGATTTTAAAAACATGTTGCTAAATTCATGTAAATTCCAGATGTTCATCAACAAACCTGGGATTTAAATGGGGTTTATTATACATGTCACTTTGTTTTCCTGTGTGTGATTTAATGGCATTTTCAGTGGGGAACAAAGTGGATTAGTGGGAATATCATGGAATATCAGAATATCACCAATCTGATGCTTGATGATGCTTGGGTGTGTCCAAGTGGAGATACCCTAGAAACGTCAAGATGAATAGGGTACACTATTGTTTTACTAGTGTATTTAGATGTATGTAGGATATGTAGCGTCTCTCTCTCTATCCAATCATACCGTTTTTCACACAAACCCGTATGAAGGTTCTGTGAACTAACGCTTAGTCAAAGGGAGGGGTGCAACCCCCTGCAACGATTTCGGATAAAGGTTTTGGAGTAGAGACTTGGGAGCTGCTGTTGGATACAGTCATTTTTGGGCCTAGTCTGATATTGAGACTGTATATAGCCATCCAGTTTTTGGGGGTGCGCAAGTCTGACACATACAGTCAGAAGACCATAGGAATACAGTAACAGTGAGGGTGAACAATGGCGAACTGACTTTCCTGGAGTTCATTGATAGTGGAGTGTGTTCCCAGCAAAGGCCCATGCGCAAGTTCAATCGTAGATACGAACAACAAAAACTTTGTGTCACTGAATTCCTCCAGTACCAGTTAGAACTCAACATCGACCCATTTGCACCTACCATTCACCGAACTTGACCCAGCGGGGTTGCTGAGTTTGCCATCCGGCCTCAACTAATTCGTTATAGGCCAAGGTCTCCTGGGTTCAACGGCCAGAAAACATCTTCGGAACAGAGATCCGTCATTAGCAAAGAACCACAGGAAAATAGGGACACCAAAAAGACACATGTGGAAGTACATGCTATGTTTCTTCAACAAACATTCCAAATCAAGCAACCAACTAAGTAACTAAAGTGAGCAAAAGTTCTTCAATGATTGCCTGGCTGCCTGTCAAATCCCCTTTTTGGAGTCAAACACTGCGCATGTTTCCAGCCATATAAGCCGTAATAGAATCAAGCACCGCCCAGGCTCTTTCTCATCTAGTCCTTGGTTTCGTGGGGCTCGGCTGAGCAAATCTGTTGTCCTTTCTGGTGGGTACCTAATGGGCTTCCCCGTTGGGTTGTGATATGCCGAAATGATACTAAATGTAAGTAATTGTTAGTATAATTCCCAAACAAATCATCAACAAACCATAATGTATCAGTATGTATCAGTCATATCACTTGTATGCCCATATTTCCATGGGTAAAACATGTTAAAATCCTTAAGTGCCTTAAGTGACTATAATCATCAACCAACCGGCTTTTAGCAGCTGCTGCTCACCTGGAATATCTGGAACTGAGACTTGGGTCCAGCTGGTACAGCACCTGCCAAGCATCTGCCGGTGAGAGCCTTCAGTTTCTCCTGCTGGGAACCGTCATGAAGGGCTGATGTGCAGGCTAAGGGGGTTGGGTCAATCATGGGCTACCAATGGGCCCAGTGATTTTGCAGAATCTAATCCATTTTAGGGCTAACAAAAATAAGTGTGACCCATACCCAGTTATAGTAGCCATCAAAAAGATAGAAAAGTGTTTCCAGGATGGTATAAATGATATTTGCCACAAATTTCCAGGTGTCCCACTTTAATTTATTTTGGGGTTGCTCCCGGGTTGCTGTGTTAAATGTTATATAGTTGCCTCAAAGACAATTTTTGCCTGATTACGGCATTGACAGGGTCATGTGAGCGGCCGACTGAGCGGCCGACAAGCTTACCTACGTGATTCCGGTCACTTGTTCTTATAATCATATCTTAATCATATCCTAAGAGTACTGTACAACTACTGTAGCACCCCATGGCTATCCAACCCTTTTACCAGGGATACTAGAGGTAAATTAGCTGCATATGGTTAAACATCGGGTGACCCAAAAAGGAATTTGCCAAGGCGAAAAATTACCCGTCCATGTTTGTGAAACAAAAAAACCTCACAGAACTCCAAAATCAAGGAACATTTTTTCGAAAAAAAATATTGGTAAAGGAAACTTGGCTACAAAATGCGGATTTTGGAGGAAAAACTTGGGAAATCTGCTGAACATTGGAAAACTGATGAAAAATGTCAGGGGAAATGCAGATTTGAGTCTATAGTCTGGAGTTTCCTTTTTGTGGTTGTCTTTTTTTGTTTATTTGTCCTCAGCTTTTTTAACATGTTTGCTTTTCTCTCTCCAACACGATTAAAAGAAACAAATCCAGACTCAACAAACGACTCAATCCCGGACTCAAATCTGCATGTTTCCTGACTTTTTTTTCCAATGTTCAGCAGATTTCCCAAGTTGCTTCCTTCAAAATCAGCATTTTGCAGCAAAGTTTCTTCTTTTTTTTTATGTTTATTTTATTTGTTCAGAGTATTCTGTTGAGTCTCTGTTTTCCAGTTGTTTTTATGTTTTTTTTTGTTTTGTCTGATTTATTTTTTGTTTTCAGTTGTGTTTTTGGATTGTTTTAAATATATATATATATATATAATTCTTCTTTTTTTCGGAATTACCACTTCTCTGGGCATCCTAAATCACAAGTCCATGTATGGGTTGGGAGTCATACATTTTGACCGGGGCACACCTATAATTAATCAATTTCATCGCCAGTGATGGGCCGGTCCCTTGGTTCAGCGGCTCCTGATGCTCTAACAGAAGTTTCTTCACGCGTTCCTGGGTGGTGAGTGAATCAAACAAATGCTTTGAGAGACGTGTGCAGCATACTTGGTATGTCTTACCCCCAAACATCAAACACCTCCAAAACCACCAACCTTCACGTGGTACATGGCGAATTTCCTTCCCGTGTGGCTATCAGTTACTTACAAATTGTCCTGTCACCAGCAGAAACAGAGCCAGGTGTCATATTGCTGATCCACCACTTCGCGCGTCTCTCGGTCAATGAGCTGCCCCGTCGCCTCACCTCAGGCAGCTATCGCAACGACAAAAACTAGAAAAGTAAAATCCTATGCTAAGATGACATTTCGATTTTGGGGCTAAACTGTATATATAATAATTAAAAATCAAAATGGAAACAACCAATGATCGCAAGCTATGATTGGTGTAATATGATATCAATTATTATCACAAGTAACTGTCCATCTGTGGCATATCCAATGATCATAATGGACTGCTAACAATAGTCACGGCAATAATCCTGAAAATTGCATTCTCAATAATGACACTAGGACAAGTAGTAGTGGCAGTAGCGGTAGAAGCAGCAGCAGCAGCACCACCACCACCGCCAAATAGCCAATAGCACTAGCAATAGGAAGGATAACAGTAGTAGTGGTTACCTGGGTTTAGCCTTATTATCACCATGCCATTGTCGTCCGGGAGATGTGTTGGATTTATCAATTTATCATTTGTAGAATTCTTAATGTGAAAAAACACAAACATATCACAAACATTCATAAACATCACCATCATCACTGATGTGAATGTTACCCTCTGGTAATTTAACATAGCTATTGAAAATGGCCCAGTCGAAATAGTGGCTTTACCCATTAATAAAGGTGGATCTTTCCAGTTCGCTATGTAAACGTTTACCAGAGGTTACATCTGGTACATCTGGTAGATCTGGATCAAACCCACGATGATTTCACCGGGGAGCTGTAGGGCTTGTAAAATTGGGAACTGGCATCATTTTGACCAAAATTCAGCAGTCCAATCTTGTCGGACATGCCATAGTTCGCCACCATAGCCTTGGTGAAACCGGGAAATGCTCCGGGAAAAAAAAAGGGAAAGCCTTGAGAATGTGTGGATGCTACTTTTTGCTCATTGGTTTTATCAAAAACTCTTCGAAAAGCTGCGAAGATGGTAGAGCGCAGCCGAACTTTCCACTTGGAACATCTTGGAACCAAGTCGCATGTGCCATTTTGGTGACCTGCCATCCGCTGAGGATATCACCCGTCAGGTTATCACCAGTTGCCTTTATGAAGATTTCGTAGCCAGATTGGGTTACCATTTCAGGTATCTTGCAGGTGTGCTTGTCCAAAACTGCCAGTCAAACCAAGTAAATCTATGTAAATCTAATCTTGTGTGCCGAGGGCGAAGTCTCGACTACATCCACCAAGAAAGAAGGGACTTGCTCCGATTCTTGGGTTAGGTTCTCCTTGGATGAATGGACTTCTGCTATAGGGGCTCTGCCTACCATGCAGTATCCCAATGTACCCAAGCAAAGGCGCTCAAAAACTCACAGAATGTATCTCCAATTCTCCAAACTTACAGTGAAGTTCCTAAAAATATTCCCTGCCTATTGGGACAATTCGCTACCACCAATTGCCGCCTTGTCCAAATCATCCGAAGCTCCAGTGGAAATCTTTCCCACAAAGAGCTCTTCGGCTGCTCGGCCGCCCAAAGCAACGGCCTGAGTACTGGCAGCCAGGCTGAACATCCCCTGCCCATTAGAAAGAAACACAATCTGAAACCAACCAATATCATCAAAAACATCCAACATCCAGATGTTGATTTGTTAAGCTTCAGCATTTTCAGAGCTGATTCTTAGATCGATTTGGTCCGAGGAACGATCTTGTCCAGAATCGCTTCCTGTGTTGCAAAAAAGAGCAGGGATGTCTCAATGGATTATATAATTCAGAGGGCCAGAGGGAAAATGTGAAACAATGGTTTTTAGATGTTGTTAGCCCCAAATGAAGGGGTCTCCTGTAAAGTTTCCCTTAAAACCAATTCTGGGAATGTCTAGACTTCATGCGATTGTGCACTTCAAAGGTTTGGATTGAACACTACAGCAACGAAAATACTCCGACTTGGAACAACGAAATGTTATACTCCGACTTGGAAGGTACCAATACTACATGTGAGCACTCCCACAGCTTGACATATCAAAGGTTTTCAAATGTTTTCAAGTACTTAGACCTTCAGTTGCCCATAGTGATTGAGACAGCTGAATTTGTGGGCAAAGCATTACAAATAAACAAAAACTGGCCACTCACTGGATGAAACATCAATATTTTGGGGGTCCTAACTTACCAAGTCTTGCGTCCTACCACCAACAGGGGACATTGGAAATCCACTAAACAGCTCCACCTAATCGACACTGAACATGCCCAGTTCACTCTCAAGTTGGAAGGATTGAACCAATCAAAATCCATCAAAGCAGAAAATAAACGATCCAAAAATTGAGCCACCATCAGCGATCCCCTCATCACCCCAGCATCCCCGTATGTGGGATCAAAATTACTGGGGCCCGAAAAAACAAAAACAATATTTTTAAACTTAGTCAAACCAGTAGTTGTCCATCATGTTTCACCATGTCCTAGCAAAAATCACCACTTTTGCGACCATGCTTTGGGTAGGAAACTGAACAGCTTTGGGCCGTGGGCTCAATATGATTTGATCTATGCCTGGTTCGAGGTAGTATCCAGAGGACCACCCGTTACCTGTCTGTTTTTTCCCCTTGATCTTATGGGGACTGTGGGCAAAGAAACCGCTGAAACCAACCAAAAAAAACATGATTCCAACGAAAAGTATTCCAACACAGATATCAGATTGTTGGTTATACCCCAAGAATATCCCATGCCCATTCTTCCATATTTATCATGGGTGAAATCCCACGAAAACCCGTCCAAATCACCGGGGAGTTCACCGCGCTACGGCTCCCCGCACCTTGGAGAACAAGCTCATCTCGGCCGGCAGGTACTGAGCAAAGCCCAAAGCCCCACTGGAGCGAGGCTGGATGGAGACCTGGGAATGGCAAGGAGAGATGGCCAGGAGCCAGGGTACAATGAGGGTATCAAGGCTCCACCATCACGAAGATATAAATATATATATATGTATATATATATATGTATATATATATATATGTATATATATATGTATATATATATACATATGGAGATGTAAAAATGACGTATGTTCAACTTCTATATGGCCATTAAGACTATTGGGATTAATATAACTTGATTTAACCAGCATTGTCTCAATCAATAGTGGGCATGGGTTTGTCTGAAAGTGGGATATGTCCCCAAAATGGCTATGTTAATGGACACAGTGATGGTAATCCGTTGGAATTTGGGGTATATATATATATCCTATTGTCAAACAAACATCTCCGTATGCGGGTCACATTTAGAGGGTACCGGCCTTGTATAGCTGGTCTAAGGGATATCTCGGAATATCCCACTGGAAAGATCTTGCCTTGTTCAAGGGTGGTCTATCAATTCCAATAACCACATTCAACCAAGGTTTACCAACTACGCCACAGCTTGTTGTGCGAGCTCTGCGTTTTGTAAAATATACCGTATATAGCCTTGGTAGTCAAACATGGCAATGGAACATCACCTATACATGGAAGTTTTAATGGAAATTTCATCTGTGAATGGGAGGAGTTTCCAGCCATGTTTGATGACACAGGAAGGTATTTGGGGGCGCATCCCACTTAGTAAATGGGCTATACCCCAGTTGTATTGGAACATCCCCACTTATGTATATAGGATGAAATATGGGTTGTATATGGATTATAAATGACGAATCCGATTCGTGGGGCCCGCTCATCCAGAATACCAGATGGTATCCCAAATAACTATCCCATTGTCAACCAATATTAATAATTAAAAATAAACCATGATAGTCAACCAATATTATATAATGATTATCAACCATATACAGTAAATGCTTATTAACCACTACCAATCTAATGATGGGAGAAAAACAATGCCCATGATCAAATCCCATCATTTTCATCGCCCTCTCCGAACGACCCTCCCCAGTGCCTTCAACAAGGGATCCGCATGCTCCAGGAACCAGCCTGACGAAGGCTCCGGTAAATCTTTGGCACACAAGTAAAAGAAACACCAGAATCAAACTAATTCATAGTATGTATAATATCAAATCTCAAATGTATCACATATAATATATCATATATCAAATCAAAAACCATACCGTATATCATATCATGTATCATACCATATACCATATATCATATATCATATCAAATCATACCATATATTATAGATCAAACATCATGTATCATGTAACTTATCAAATCAAATCATATCATATCATGAATATATGTTCATCATATCATAATAATATTATCTATATAACATAGAGAGAGGAATATATTGTATATCATATATATAGTATTCAAATACATATATCATATCAGGATTATATATATATATATAGATAGATAGATAGATAGATATGTGTCTGTCCATTGACTTAGTTTCAATGATCAAGATCAGTACACTGGCCACTGAATTGAAGCCTTCTCTTGAATGGAAGGGCCAGAGCAAAAGGCTACTGTGTCTGTCCAACTGTCCAAAACTCTGAAACCACCAAATGAATTTAATTGACGTGTCTTCCCACGGGTAAGATGGATGGAATGTCTCATTTCAAGATATTTGAGCGATATATTTGAAACATCATAAAACACGTTAGCATTGCATCAAGCAGGACGTTCATCCCTCAGGCTGCTGCAGACCTGCGACTGCATGACCCGATTCGTGAATTGCCACGGTTCGCTTGTCATCTTTGCTCCTTGGAATGGCAATGGACAAACCAATCGCCGTGGCAAATGTCATCTGGTTGTTCTCTCTCTTGTTGGTTTCAACCCATCCGGAAAGAAAAACACGATTATGACTCAACAGTTAACACCAAAGAGAATTCAGAAAACTGCAAGGAACTTCATTCCAGCGTCAAGAAATGAAGGCGTTCGAAAAAACATCGAAACCACCAAGCGGAGGTGTAACCGGACGTGTGTGTGTGTGTGTACGTGCGTGTGTGGGGCCCATACAGTGTATTCCCCAGTTGTGTGATCAGTTTGATCCTGTCGGAGTCCAAGTTTGTATCGGAGGCGACGAAAAAGAAGAGCAACAACCTCCCTCTAGCTTTGGTCTCGTGGACTTACATGACTGAGGATGAGATATGATATGGGAGAGTAGTGCCGCGGGTAGCTTTCTAAGGTTACCCCTCTTTCCAAGACATCAAATGGGCCCACCTGTCGCTTGCCCCTGGCCAAGTCTCATCAGGCTGTTGTTCCTTGCGGCATGGATACGTTCCAACTATGGAAAGGTACAGTATTCCAAACATCTCTTAACCAGTGGGGCCCCCGACTGAACGAACCAATGTTCATCAACTGTTCTTGATAAAAAAAACTAATATGACCATGACATACCATGACCATGGCAACTGGCAACAGCCACCTTTCCATTTTTGGCTGGTGGTTCTCCTGAAAAAGAGGGGTGCTTCATCTGTACAAACAGCACCTGGAAATAGAAACAATTGTGAAGCACATTTGAATGAAGTATGCGATTTAAGTGCTGATCTAATATGAACTCATTACCATCACCATCTCAAAACACAAAGCAACGCTAAGCCCACCACACTTTCCAATAATTATGGTATGTTGATCCCAAAATGGGACTAGATTCAGTTAGTTTTCAGAATGGTGCCATTTTCATGGTGAATTAATCAACATGATTAATCACCATTCATTGGGATTAATGGTGAGCTTCTGGTTCATATACCATATTCATCCATATTCATGGTGAATTATGGTAAAAGAATATACCAATGGTACCATATTCATGGTGAATTATGGTTAATTACTTCACCACACTATACCCTGGTTGATTGGTGTTCTGATCCCTTAAACTGGCTGTGATCTCTGGCCGCCGAGTGGCTTGGGCAATCCTCCGATGACCCGCTCCGTGGCCCGTTCGAAATCCTCCATGGACACCGAGGTCGCCGCCCGGCGCGCGGCAAAGATCGCGGCCTCGGGAAATCCTAAATGACTGATCTTCCATTGCGGGTATGGTAGCTAAATAATGTACAAAATTAATCACCAAGAAGTGATGATAAGTGGGATCAAAGTACCAGATTTCAAGTTTCAAAACCGGCTGTTGGCGGTGGCTATTTAATTTGATGTATCTGAAGGTTTGATAGAGGATGCTGCAGACCCTCGCTCATCATTAGTTGATTTCCACGATCATGCCAAACATATAATTGGGACAGCATACTTTAAAAACTCAATGGCACTTCACATAACCAACACGGAAAAATAAAAGAATGAACATGACCATATTACATTCATTTTCGAGAGTAGAGTAACCTGAGTCTCAAATATACATATATATTTATATATTTGTATATTATATACTTATGTATATATATATATTATATCCTTACGTATATATATATATATTAATATTATATCCGTTTAAATATATATATATATATTACTTATATATAATTATATATGTTATAATCGATTATATATATATGTATATAACTATATAATTATAATTCTTAATTGATTATATATACAATTTTAAATCTTATATATATATATACAGTACGGTATACGCCACCATCCACCTTCACCTAGCCGCAGGTATACCCATGCACCCCCGCCTCATTGCAAACATTGGCAATGTCAGCCCCAGCGAATCCTGGAGTCAGAGCCGCCATCCTCTTAGCCACATCCTCCTGCTTCAAGCCTGTCCTGGGATGTACCAAACAAAAACAGCAACAGTGGTGATATAAGAATCCCCTCCCCATAATGTTGAACACCCCCTTAGAAACCATGGTTTAGTGGGGAATGTCGACATAATTGGGACCATCTAGGGGATGTTTAATATTGGGGGATGGGATTATATAGTGATATTTCACGGTGATAAAATGGGGACATAACTAATATATATATATATATAACCTGATTCTTGGGTCTGTCTGAACATAAGTTATACCCCCAAACGACGCTGGCTTTAAAATCCTAAATCCTAAATGTATGAGACAATGGAGATAAAATTGAGTACAGTGTGTATTACTTGGATATATTGGGATATAGTTGGATTGAATGGGACACGGGATCGTCAATATGGTATATCTCAATTTATGGCACTTTTGAGGAAGATAACATTAATGCTTAGCAATGGGATTCTGACGGATTTTGGGGTACCCAATTCTCAAATCCAAATTTATGAGCACTGCTTGACATGTTGTCCCTCTACACCGGTTGGTTTTCATCGGATTTCCTCTATATAATGTTGTCTGATAATTCCCCCAAAAAATGGCTGGTATAACTCCCTATCATCATCAACCATGGGTTTTGAACATTGCCCAAATATATGGACAATGAAGTATATTGCACGTATTGGCTCCATGATGCTCCATGTATGATATGCGTTCATATGTTTCCCATTATTTACCAACATTTGAATTAACATCCAGTAATCAAACATGGCTTGCTGGAAAATCATCCATTTCTAGATGATTTTCCCATCTACACATTATCGTTTGATCACCGGAGGGTATTTTCTTGGAGATTTCTGGGGTAAATCTGAGGGGTTTTGCCAAAACCCAAGGGGAGGAAGGCTGCCCTATGCCGCCCAGCTACTCCAAGGTCAAGGGTTTCAGGTGAACCATGTAGATCTTCTCCCTCTCAGCCATGTCCGGCCTCGTTTTAAGCCCTACAGGTCTGAAAATCCAACGGGGGTGTCTTAAAATATCGGGGTATATCCCCAACTTTAGCCATCTCGGGAAAATGATGATCAACCATGGGTCAACCATGGGTTTTAGGGTGCCATATTAGACAAACCCATTTCTTGGAGCATCTTGGGAACATGGCTCTTCCATATCTAAACAAGTCCAGGATCTGTGGATCTACTGCTGAAACTACTGCAGTCAGCCGAACACAATGAACATACCCTCTGGTAAACTAACATAGCTATGGGAAATCACCATTTTGAATAGGTAAACATGGTAAACCATCTATTTCTATGGGCCATTTTCCATAGCTTTTTGTATGTTTACCAGAGGGTACCCACAAATGTAGACGAATAAGATCAATGAATCAATACATTAAAAAATCACACGGACATCTGGCTCCGCCCAGTCGCCGGTCGATCGCAATCTGTCGGTCAAAACCTGAGGAACCCCATGAGCTTCGTGGAATTTGGGCCACAGTTTGCCTGGAAACAATGGTAAATGTAGGAACATATGCCATACATGGATCTTATGGGTTATATGTCCATTAAAATACGCATAAAAGAAACATCAGTATATTATATATACCTATACATTATATCACGACTTAAGAAAGCAATTGAGATCAGCCAGCCAAGCATGCGGACGTCTGATCGGATGAACCCGATTTGGTCCCTACTGGCGCAAGGCATTCTGGTCGCTGGTCCCTCATGATTCACAGCTATCTCTGAAAACCACTGGTGTTTCAAAGCCAATCAGTTTGTACATAGAACAGACCTGAATTCATTGAATACAAGCAGATAGAATGGTTCTGAATAGTGAGTTCACCATGATGAAATTGATGATTTCCAATCAATCTAAGTGGGTTAACATTATGCTTAAATCCCCTTTTTGCTGGTTAATCCAGGTAAAACTCCGAGATGTTCCCATGTTCAATGCCCTTCCCCAGCTCCCTACAGCCCAGCTCCGTCACGCGGGGCGTCAAGCGACGTCCCGGCCGCAGCAGCGCGTTGTCCAAGATATCCACGCGGTTGGTGCCCGCTAGGACCACTACGCCGGTGGAGGAGTTGAAGCCATCCATCTCCACCAACATCTGATTCCTTCCGCCATGGAACGCCAGTTCTTTTTTTTCGGGGGGCAAAAGTGGTGGATTTTGTGTGCAAGTGAAGTGTGGTTTATTGTTTGGATATATCTAAAGAAGTAATTTGGATATAAATATATATATAATGTATATTATTATGTTGTATTATATAATATATATATATATTATATTATATTGTATTATATGTTATTTTTTCTGTGACACCTTTTTCACCGCCATTGGTCACATGGTCAGATCCCCTGTCTTAGAGGGAGGCGGCTGGGGGGGGGTCGTCTCCTCGCGCTTCGGCGAGGAGATCGAAAAAAACATATTATATTAAATTGAATATCATACCAGTATGGTAGATGTGTGGTAGATCTTGCGGCCAATTCTAGGAAAGACGGTTTGGCTCAACCCAACATGCGGGGGCTCTGAGTCTAGCACTCAAACTCGGTGTGCAAGGTGTTCGAACCAGTTTTTTTCAACAAAGATGGAGGTATATACAACTAATCACAATGGCTATATATAAGCCTAGTCTTATCAATCTTCTGCAAACACTTTGTTTTTACCTTTATGTTGAAGAGGCCCATCCAAATCTGCCGCCCAGGAGCGTGGAAGCCCCCCAAAAATGCCCCCTTCAGGCCGCCAAGATTCAGGGTGCTCTCGCGCTCATCATTGCCTATCGCACTGCTGAGGGGTCAAAGGTCGGGAAAAGCCCCTGAGCCAATATAACATTACCCATGGACTTGGGGCATATTCCTCCACAGGAACAGCTATCATTTGTGGTAAAGGGAGATATAGCAGCGTAGCGTACATCGATGATTAGGGTCTAGGATGGTTGTTGAGACATCGGGCCATGTCTCCTCTTCTTCTGGAGCAGTTACTGTAGTTGTTGACATGTTACCCTCTGGTAAACAAACATAGCTATTGAAAATGACCATTTAGAGTTGATTTACCCATTAAAAAAGGTGATTTTCCATAGTTATGTTAAATTACCAGAGGGTACATTCTAAGATCGTCTCCGCTGGCAAAACAGGATACAGTTGTGTGAAACGACCCACGCCATCTTTTTTTTGCTTGCTTACTCACACTTGTTGACCTTAATATCCACGCTTGTGTGTGATATATCCAGTTTCTGCTCCTGAAATGTCATTTCTTGCTGAACCACCCTGTTTTTTTCAAGGTACCACCTTTTTCTTTCAAGATGGGTTCCTCAGTGTTCATAGCTTCACTATGGTTCATCATGTCTTAATCCCACCAGTATTTGCTTCAAAAATGATACAGGTTGGGCATAAATACTATATGTCCCATTATAACTGAGAATGTAGTATATCCATTAGTGTCATGGACCTCTATTGTGGAAAATTGTTCCAAAATTATTGAGTATCTTGTGGATGGTGTGGGTGGGGCTCTATTGTGGAAAGTTTTTTCTCAGATCACTCAGATCCATTTTTTTCAGGAGCTGTGCCCACCTTATTATACACCTTTCTTTGGGTAAAGCTGGTCCATTTACTTTAGACAGCCATATCCATGCTGTCAAGCCTTGAAAATCCAAGGTTTCCCAAACTATTTTTCAAGGGGGTACCCCATGAGTGACCCAGATCCTCAATAATGTAATTGTTTCGATGGCACCCTATTGTGCACAAAAAAAATGGGGCGATGTTTTTTGACTTAAAAGGAAAATCAATTGAAAGTAGATTGATGTCAATTGAACTCCTTAATTATATAAGTTGACTATCCTAAAAATTGTTGCGGGGGGGCAGAAAATGGCGAGTTATTGAGTAGCCTAAAATTGTTGGAGGGGGGGGCCACACTAATCAGTAGCCAACATGAATCCCATAGCTCTAGTTTCAAAAAAGTTCTCTCTCCCCATCAATTTTCAGCTGGTTGGTGGTATACCTACCCCTCTGAAAAATATGACTTCGTCAGTTGGGATGATTATCCCATTCCCAACTGTTTCTGGAAAGTCATAAAAGCCATGTTCCAAAGCACCAGATATATATACTGTATATTTATGTATTTCCCATTCATTACCCTCTGGTAAACTTTAACATAGCTATTGAACATTGCCATTTATAGTGGATTTACCCATTAAAGATGGTGATTTTCCATAGCTATGTTAAATTACCAGAGGGTACATCCCAGAACCACCAACCAGTCACCAACCACTCAGAGCTTTCCAAAAAGGTCACCCGGAAAACGACGTCTCCGGTGGTCCCGGCCAAGCCTCCGGTGAATCCGCCCTTGCCGCGTTTGCGGCCGATGGCGTCGATCTCATCGATGAAGATGATGGAGGGAGCCTGGGGCAACAAACATTGAACCAATGGATTGGTTTAAGGGAAAATCTACAGGAAACCATGGTTTTTACCATCAACTATAGGGCTTTCCTGTAAATTTTCCCATCATCCAATTCTATGAAGCAAACATTGAACCGTTATGGGAATGGTGAATGGCAGCCTGGTGAAAGAAAACCAATGGGATATGATGGGATACATTGGCTATCTATAGATGATCATGCAATATTGATTGCTGGGTAAACTAACAGAACTCTCTCTCTCTCTATATATATATAAGTAGGGAAAACGCATTCAATTTCCCTATGAACTGCCGCTGGTTGGGGTCATAACCAACTCCTGAGCTTTCCCTGAGAAAAACGGGCACCCCATGGCATCCAAACCATCATGGCATCACCATTGAATTTTTGCTTACCCCATATTGCACCATACATGGAGAAAACCATAAATATCATATTGTTGTTCAGATACAGTACATCAATATCATCACTCCTACTAATTTCTTCCAATCATATCCTTGATATCTTGATTTGCTTTAGGAACCCGTACAAAAATCAAGATAATCCTAATTAGTAGACTCGCAAGATGCTGGATTAACCAATGGGAAAATAAGAGAAATCATCTTCAGCCAATTTCGGAGATCCCTATGAAACACCCTTAGTTTTCATATATACAGCTAACATTTGGGGACCCGCCATGACCCGCCAAGGTTCAGAATCACGTGCTTGCTTGAAGAGGTCTCGCACCCGGGAGGCGCCGACCTGAATTTCAGCGAGGTTTCTTGGAGAAACCTGGGAAAGACTCGACCCTTAGGTCCCCCTTTTTCTGAATTGCTTAAACATACTTAAACTCATATCTTCATGATGTTGAAATCCTATTGTTGTTGTTTGTCGTGTTCAATTCTGCTATAGCGTAAATCCACAAATGCTTGCCGGTCGGATCCCAACTTCTTGATGGCTCAACATATTTTTTCTCGTCACCTGCTGGGAAAGTAACATACATATGGAAATCCAGAGGTTGCAGATCACTTCTGAAGGAAAACTGTAAAACCCTTGGTTTTCTATACTTATGCTGGCGTGCTGGTGCATAAACTCTGATATTTCAAAATATTTCATCGTTTGCAGGGTATTCCATTCATCTCATCTCCCAATCACAACAAAACCTGAATTAATGAGACCCTGCAATGAACAAATCACCCAGATGTAGGTTCCAACCTCAGGACTGAGACAGAATATAAGACACGCATTGCCTAATGGCGATGAAGGGAACTAAACAATCTTTGTTAAAGACCTTTGGAACGTAGGAATTCCGAACCTGGACCGCAGAAAGGATATCAGTGGAATGCTCATAGATTTACAGCTTCCAACTGGCGCCGCTCGAAGAAGTACCAACCGCTTTCTCTCAAAAAAACAAGCAGCAAACCAACCTTTTGCTCTCGCAAATCATCCCTCTGTTTTTTGGAGAAAAACAACAAAACCTCTCTGGTTGGTGGTATACCTACCCCCTCTGAAAAAATATTTGTCAGTTGGGATGATTATTCCATTCCCAACTGAATGGAAAGTCATAAAAACATATAAAAACCATGTTCCAAACCACCAACCAGCTCTGCTTTCCCATGGTTCTGTGCGCCGTTCAGAACCTTTTCCCATTGGATGAGGCCAAGCGACTCCCACGTACATCTCTACGAAGTCAGAACCACTCCTTGGGCGCGACAAATTTACGGCTGAAACACGCTGAAACGAAGTTGATACCATGTTTTCTATGTCTTTTTATTCCTCTTCAATAAAAGGGAACATGCTCTTTTTTCCCCTCTTCAACCAACTCTTCGGACCCTCATATGGAAAGCATGTAAAAAGGATAACCACAAGATGTCTCAGTTTGAAGGGACTGCATCATACATTTCATCTTGAAGGGCTTGTATCATTCACTTTACAGTAACTCCAATTACTACGTGCGAGGTTGGTTCGCCCCAAATCTCCAATATACAATGAATGCCCTGAAAATTCACAACTAACCCCAAACCGCGGTTGACATATGATAGTTTTATCTTGATATAATATACAGTATCTTGTATTCCTGCCCATTTCAACAGTTCGGAAAAACAAATCCAGGGACGACCCTGAACCAAAACCCTGTGGCAATCATTGGCAATCAAACATGGTAATGGACAACGCCCATCTTATAGTCATCTTACCACCATTAGCAATGTCCTAGCAAGATCCTCGTAAACCCTTCCAATTACAAATACATTATATTACTGTGTATATATATATATATATGGGTATGTCTCAAAATGAGGAGTGCGGCCCGGGAAGTTTGACTAGGGGGTATGATTCGTGGGTATGATTCGGGGTATGATTCGTGGGTATGATTCGTGGGTATGATTCGCGGACCTTGATTTAGTGTTTCCCTGCATCCTCCGCGTATAGTTATTTACCCACACTTACCCCGAAAATGTTTCAACTGTTGGTAATTATACCATACGTGGAGCGCTCTGGAGCTGGCATACTGTTGACGCTGTGCGTGCTGCTGTCAGAGTGGTGTGCGCGCTTTGGAGCGGGCATCGTGGTGCCGTTGGAGTGCCGCTGCGAGGTGCTGGTGCAGGGTGTTGCTTGCTGTCAGAGTGGTGTGTACAGTTTGGAGCGATGCTGGTGGCGCTCAGGGTGCTGCTGCAGGTGCTGCCTGGTGTGTGCCCTGCTTTGGAGCGGGCATGCTGGTGAGCGGATGCCGGTGGAAGGTGCTGCTTGAGGGTGCTGTCGAGCTAGCTTGCTGGTGCTGCTGCAAGGGGTGATGCTTCAGGGTGCTGCAAGGAGGGTACGTACTGTACCCAACTCGTGCTGCAAGGGTGCTATGTGAAGGGCGCTGCTGCACGCTGCAGGGTGCAGCTGTTAGAGTGGCGTGTCCGCTCTGGAGCTGGCTGGTGGTGCCGCTGCAGGGTGCTGCTTCAAGGTGCTGCAGTTAAAGTGGTGTGTGTGCGCTTTGGAGTTGGCATGTTGGTGCCATTGCAGGAGCTGCAGGGTGCTGTTGTCGGATTTTTCTCAGAAGCAGCAGGAGGCGTAGTCTAGCCCGTGGCGAATGGTTACAAAGAAAAGAGCTCACAAATCACAAGTTCTGATCTTGCAAATGTACCAAGGTTCAGAATTGGGAAGTTTGAGGTATGATTCGGGTATGATTCGGGCATGATTCGGGGTATGATTCGGAAACCCATCTTTTTTTGAATTCAGGAAGCTTTGTTGCTTGAATCTCTTTTTCCCACCGTGAACCTACTACGATTGCTACTCAATGGCTGCAATGGCTCGACCTGCCAGACGACCTTGGACAGGACCTGAATATGAAGAATGTGAAGATCTAAATGCACATCTATGATTTATATCCGACGGCCTGCCGGCGTCTCTTCTGGATGTTCTTCTCATGTACCTTTAGTTCAGCTACGCTTAGGCTTATGTTCCTCTTCGACGGATTTTTGGTTTGGTTGCCAGCCAGCCAGCCAGCCAGCCAGCCAGCCAGCCAGCCAGCCAGCCGCACACAGAGTCATCCCGCTCATCAGCCTCATCAGCAACACAGCAAGCAGCCAGGCACGCAGCCAGCCAGCTGCAACTAGCCAGCCCTATACCAGCAGCAGCAACTGAGCCAGCCACCTAGCCAGCCAGCCAGCCACCCAGAGCCAGCCACCCAGAGCCAGCCAGCTTAGGGATAATGATGAGACTCTGTGCGCGTGGAGAAGATTCGCCACTCCGTGAAGGTATGTGAAGGTAGCCAGGGATCATCGGGTCTGGCCAACACTGGTCAATTAGCTTGTCAGGTTCATTATAACAGGTGAGGCCAATGCAATCCCAAACGATCCCAAAAGAAACATTCATAATAATGATTTTTTGGGGTATGATTCGGAGGTATGATTCGGGGGTATGATTCGGGGTATGATTCGGGGGTATGATTCGCACAAATCGAACTTCCTGCCTTTACTAAAAACTGCACCCGTTAAAAAAAGACACAGCCATATATATATATATATATATATATGTCATATCTATCTATCATATCCCACATTTCTCTCCCAAACGAAGTCATGGTCCATCCCCAGTGGCATGGAATAGAAGGGGCAGTCTGCCTCACCAGCAACGGCCTTGCGGTTGGAGAAAAATCAAGGCCGTTTGATCAATGGGAATTTCCGGATCCTAAAATGGAGGTACGTTAGTACCATTTTGTTTGACCATCTTGTGTGGGGATACTGTATCCAATTTAGGTTCCTGAAATGGTCATTGAATTTATATTATCATAGTAGATGATCATAGTTGATACCTATGGCTACTTGATATATTTGATAAAATATCTATGGCTATAAACTTTAGTATGGACATGTCTTGGTATTGAATGACAGTTCATTGGTTGATAAAGTAGAGTATAGTACGTTAGTCAATTATTGACCATGATATAGTAGAGATGTAGCTATATTCAACGACATTGGCAACTATGTGATATGTATACTATGCTAAATATATAGTTGCTGCCAAGGCCTATGAGAGTATAAATATCACAGACAAATATAGTTCATGACACGAAAATAACCATAATATAATCATATGATCATATGACATATATACCTGATACTAGTATAATGATGATATCTAAATGATATATCATGATATATCATGTTATGAATGGTGAGTCATTGTTAGGAACGTTGTTTTCAGTGATTGTAACATGGTACCACATTGTGAACAATGATATTATAACATGTTAATAATTGTGTTTAACTTTGTTTATCGGCTTAAAATTTAATCTTCCAAACTCTGTTTATTCATCTCGTATCTCATATGAAATGAAGTGATGAAATTTGTTCGTATAACTAGTGCACATGATCTTCATGATGAAATGTGTTGATGTGGCTTATCATGACTATATGGAGTATATATGGTTTGTAAATTTGTATAACTGGTTGGTGGTTTCAACCACCCTGAAAAAATATGAAAGTCAATTGGGATCAGTTGGGATTATTATTCCCAATATGGAAAAATCCACCAACCAGATATGTTTGTCATGATCATCACGGTCCCTTGTTCAAACTGATGGGGGGCCCCCTTTTGGGCACCTTTGCGAGGAGGGTCTTGCCGGTACCAGGTGGGCCAACAAACAAACCGCCTCGGCATTGCCATGGCCAACGCCGGTGGTCGGTTTCCGAAAAAATGGTGGGAACCCAGTAACCGTTACCTAAGTTCGTTGATATGTACATATATATGTGTATATATACATATATATATATAGCATGGCTTTATGGCAAAAGTACTAAGATACTAAATGATATATCAGATCTACAATTCACTGGCTTTGCAAACCAACTAATAGCTGGGGGATACCACCTGAAAGATAAACAAAAACCTAAATCACTGTAGGCACTAGCCGAACCAAGCGACTCATCAAACCTGGGGAAGTATGGTGCCCCGCCCCGAACAAAAAGTTAGTGGGACGACAATCAACTCATGAAAGAGGGGAGGCACAAACCAACAGAACCTGTGATTGCATCTAAATTTTCGTAAATAAGGTGGCGAGGTTGTATTTAAGGTCTGTCCCCGGAAATAAGGTGCATGCAGTATGCAAATGCATCAAATCAAATGTGCGGGGATCCTTGGCTGAAAAATGGTTGCGCAACTAATTTCGAGACATGGCCCCGATTTCGTGTTACTTTTTATTTTTATTTTTACACTGATCTTTTCAATGTAATTTTGCTTTATATTTTTTGCAAACAGAAACGCCGCCGGCTGCTCAAACAAATACTTTCTATGACTCTTTTGAAAAGGCCCGCCGCAGGTGCCACTTTTGAGTGTTTGCATCGTCGCCAAAAAGAATTGATTCCATCAATCTGAAAGCCATTTAAAAATAGACGCTACACATAAAAAATAAAATATATTTGTTTCTTTTGTTTTCATTTTTTATATTGTTTATTTGTTTTTTTATTTTATTATTTTTATTTTGATTGCAGCCCCATCTCATGGCAGATTTGTTACCGAATGTGGAAATCATTGCCCCCGAGAAACAGCGAATGTCCTGAAAATTATAGGACCGGATAACCCCACTTCACCAGACTTAGACTGAGCATAGAAAAGCAACAAGGGAAGAGGAAGTATGAGAGTGATGGAGGGGTGATGGTGGGTGAGTTTGTGTGTATGTATGTATGTGCATGTACAGGTGTGTCACTTTGGTAGTGTGTTGACGATATGTGTACCGGGTGTAAGAGGCAGTTTGTAATATATGTGATGTACATGCGGATGTTATACGTATGTGTATGTGTGTGTGTGTGAGGTGATATTGTTTTCGTGTGATGTGAGGTTGGGTGGTAGTAATGTAAATGTATGCAAGCGTAAATATACTATAGATCTTGTTGCATGTGACGTGAAGTTATGATGTGTCAAGTGATGTTTTGGTATGTGATGTTGTGATGATGTATATGTGCTGTGTTCGTGTTGTGCGTGTCTGTGTACATATATGTGTGTGTACGTGAGTGCGTGGTTGTGCGTGTGTATGGTCATATGGTGATATGGTGATATGTTTGCGGCATATATACAAAAATCCGATGATGCATGTTTCAGTTCATATGTATATATAATCCTCCCATCGCTTTGCAGAATTTTTTGTTTCTAGGCATATCGGTTGTCCATGTGCCATAGACCAGCATCATGACCTGAGCAGACACAATGAATAGACAAGCCATGATAAGCTCACAAGCAATCAATCTGAATGAGCTGAGTTGATACATCGCCGTGCCCTGTCCAACTGTCCGAATCAATTCCAATGCAATATGCACACACACACACTCTGCCTCATCCTGTAAACCGCAGCAAACATCGTGAACTCAGCAAACATGTAAAACTGTGATATCTTCAGTCTTCACGTTACCAAAACGAAAACGTGAAACCTCAGCAGTGCAAGATGCATGTTACATCATTCCACACAACCTGAGCACAAAGAAAGAGTTGTACAAGACTCGCCGAGCCCCTGACTGAAAGAATTGCACAGTTATGCAATGGAGACAGCTGCTGTTTAATACAGTTCCAAAGACATCCACGCACAATCAAAACAACAGCAAGAAACAAACAAATACCATCTGAATCAATTCCAAGTTGGGTGCGTCAAATCCAACTCGCCGAGCCTCTGACCGAAATAATTAAAAGGCTATGCAATGCAAACGGCTGCTGTCAAAATGCAACTGCAGACAAATGTGTTTTCAAACTCCAACTCGCCGAACCCCTGACTCAAAAAATTGCGCAGTTCTGCAATGGAGAGAGCTGCTGTCACCATGCAGCAGCGACACAAGCCAGAGATAATATAAACAAAATACGGTCCGTAAAAATGAAAATGTGAAGATGCTAGTCTATCTATCTGTCTGTCTGTCTGTCTGTCTGTCTGTCCATCCATTCATCCATCCATCCATCCATCCATCTATCTAAGCTTTAATCTTTCTATCTAACTAACCATCTATCTAGCTATCTATCAATCTCTCCGTCTATCTATCTATCTATCTATCTACCTATCTATCTATCTGTCTATCTATCTATCTATCAATCTATCTATCTATCTATCTATCTATCTATCTATCTATCTATCTCCTCTACCCAGCTGGCCTCTCTCTCTCTCTTTCATCTAATTACCTATCTATTTACCTATCTATCTACCTACCTATCTATCTACCTATCTATCTATCTACCGATCTATCTATCTATCTCCTCTACCCAGCTGGCCTCTCTCTCTCTCTCTCTTTCATCTAATTACCTATCTATCTACCTATCTATCTACCTATCTATCTATCTACCTATCTATCTACCTATCTATCTATCTACCTATCTATCTATCTACCTATCTATCTATCTACCTACCTATCTATCTACCTATCTATCTATCTACCTATCTATCTAGTCTATCTTTCTAGCGCCAAGTCCCACGCCTACCACGCAAAAGCCACCGGCAGAGCGGCGGAGACCAAGGGACGCCAGAGGGACGCCAGAGGGATGCCAGAAGGACGCCAGACAAACGCCAGGCGTACATCCGACCCCTTTGCAGTGCACCAAGTCCCGCGCCTGCCACGCAAAAGCCACCGGCAGAGCGGCGGAGACCAAGGGACGCCAGAGGGACGCCAGGGCGTACATCCGACCCCTTTGCAGTGCACCAAGTCACGCGCCTGCCACGCAAAAGCCAATGTGTCTGGGAGTGTGTGTGTGTGTGAGTGATGTGTGTGTGTGTGTGAGTGTGTGGTGTGTGAGTGATGTGTGTGAGTGATGTGAGTGATGTGTGTGTGTGTGTGTGGGATGTGTGTGTGTGTGCGATGTGTGTGTGTGTGTGTGAGTGATGACGTGTGTGTGTGTGTCTGTGTGTGTGTGTGTCTGTGTGTGTCTGTGTCTGTGTCTGTGTCTGTGTGTGTGTAACATCTGAATAGATGTAAAACTTCTCCTTTTTTCTTTTTCTTATATCCTTTTAATAAAGCAGGGGGACCATCCATGTACTGTGTGCGATGGTCCAACGAAGCGGCCACAGTACATGCGGATATCACGGCTGATCACCGTGACGTACCTGCTTCAATATTCATATCAAGTTTCCTTGATGGGATGTGGCTAACCCAAGAACCACTACGCCGTTTCCAAACAATTGATTTTACATGGTTTTACACGGTCGCCGCAATCTGATTTTGGATGACTATTTATTTGCCGATTTTGGAGTCTGGTTTGGACTACATTGGGCATTTTCGGAGGACCGTCATTATATTCACGAAGTACAACCATGAGATCTACTTTAGGTCTAATGTCTAGGCTTGTTGCACGTTACAGGACTCAGTTCCTGATGGATCTCTTCAAAGATCCAATTTTGTCTAGTGTGTGTGTGTGTGTGTGCGAGTGATTGTGTGCAGTGCACCCAGGTGTGTGAGTGATGACGTGTGTGTGTGTGTGCGAGTGATTGTGTGTGGGATGTGTGTGTGTGTGAGTGATGTGTGAGTGATGTGTGTGTGTGATGTGTGTGTGAGTATGGTGTGTGTGGGAATGATGTTGTGAGTGATGACGTGTGTGTGTGTGTGAGTGCTGTATTGGATGTGATGTGATGATGTGATGCTTGATTTTGTGTGGGGAGGATGGTGGGAGGACAGGCGGGAGGAAGGAGGAGCGGATACAGCACTAAAAACAAACCCCCACACATCAATGTGGGGAACAAAAAAAACATTATAACATATTACCCATAGGATCCAGGTATGGAATATTTACCAACATTTGCCCTAAAAATCATTAAAAATCACCCAAATGTAGGTAAATATACCATACATGGATCCTATGGGTTATAATTATAACTATTTCTTGCCGCTTGCGCCTATGGCTAGACATAGGCACCATTCACGTTACGTGACCCTTTCGGCGCCTTTCGGCACCCGCGCGCCCAACTTCTCGTACTTCCCAGGGCTTTTCAAAAAGTCCACAAACTCCACCACTTCGGCCTACGAATGCAGAGAATTTCGCGGACATTGATTGAATGGTGTGGTTGTAGTTCAAGGAGAAAAGAATATACAATATATGAGTGATATATGATATGAATAGTAATATATGTTCTATAATGTGCGTGGTACTTTTGTCAGTGGGTAACTATAGACGTTTAACTAGTGAACCGGATCTGTTGTTAGGATATGATATTGGAAAACCTCACCGGCTATTTCATGACCCGAGTGAGGTTTCGCCAGCGATCAGTACTCTCCCATTCCATAAATTCTTCCATTATCCAAACAGCTATTTACAGTCAGCAACAAGAACCCAACTCGCTCACCTTCCAGTTCTTGCTTTCACTCCCAAGTCTTCTTGGTTATGGTTGGGATCTGCCCTGTTCCTCATTGAAATCCTGTATTCAATCGATTAGATATTTTAAACATGTCTAAAGCACATCGATCACCAACTTCGAAGTCGCCACCGTTGAGCTCCGCATCTGATACAACCAGCATCGGCACAGCCAGCCTTGGCTTGCTCCAACCCGGCCACGTCGGCGAACTTCACGGTGGATTTCAGATCCTTGCCCCGGTTCTTGCGGATGCCAAGTCCGTTAATGTTGGTTGATGTTGGCTTGAACTCCACTGTTGTGGATTGTATGCTTACAAAACGTGGCTGATCCTGGATATATCCAGTCTGAAAGTTGATTTCTAGGTGGGTGTGGTATTCATTCCTTTGTTCTCGGCTAGAAATACATAGAATTTCACCTATCAACCCAACCAAGGGCTGATGACATCCTGGGCAGCCTGTCCTTCTTCCCAGATGGGAAGGCCTGTCAGGGTCACGGCAGTGCAACGTGACGCGTCCAAAGGTGGGGGTTTGTCATGGTTTGTCTAGAAGTGGGGTACCCCCTAAGTCCATTGATTCATCACGATCCATACATTACATTATATTACATTGCTATTAAAAGGTTGGTGGTATACCTCGCCATCACCAAACACATCCATGTGTTTCCTGACTGGTCAATGCCTTGCAGTTCAAGCTAAGTGTAATGAGTCTTCCCATCATTGAAGATGCCACACGTTCATGACTTAACTGCTCAATCACTGACAGTAGGTTAGATAGTCTGATTTGTGGTCCAGGAATTCAACATCAACGGTGGAAAAGAAACAAATGGGAAATCCCGTTTTCATTGGTTACCGTCGGCTACACATCCCATTCTATCCCAACAACATGGTTGGTAGATGTGTTGCAGAACTATCCCGTCCATTTTTGTTTGCCTAAATCCCCATTCGAAATGTGCGCTTGCATGCGCTTGTTCAATGTCTGGCCACACACCTCACCACATCCCCAAAAGAGGGATTGAAAAGCATGTTGTATATCACTACGTATATCTCATATGTTCCCATGTTATCCCCCAGAGGGTATATAATATATATATATATGCAATCAAATCTGGATAAATCATAATACTTCACTTACCTGAAATAGGCGATATTTCCCCATGTGTCCCGGTATTTCCTATGATTCTACCATTGTCATATAGGTATGTTGCTGAATCCCTCGTGTCTGGACAAACCTTGTCGGGTTTCTTGGATGATCGGGCCCCACGAATCGGAAGTGGCTTATAATCCATATACAACCCGTATTTCATCCCATAAGTGGGGATATTCCATTAATCAACATTAATCTAGATAATTTAGATAATCATGAATCATCATGAATCATCATTAAGCACCATTAATCATTAATCTAACTGGGGGTATGACCAATTTACTAAGTGCGGTCCGCACCATCCAAATCGCTGGCCACTTGCCTTGCCGATGCTGAAGACGTTCCGACCACCAGGGCCGCCAGCGCCAGGGATGCCGCCACCGATGCTCCTGTGGTCGTTACTGGGGTTGAAGCTGAGAAATTTCCCCGTAAATATTATCATAAATGGATATATTTGTATATTTTAAATGGAGGTTTCAAGATGTCTTAATGGGAAAAAACAACTCATGTTTAAATGTGTTTGAGTACCGGAGGTTACAAGCAACGTTGAGGCTTTGCCGTAAAGATTTTCTTCAACTAATTCTGGAAAATGATGTGAAACAAAAACCAAAGGTGAGAGTTTGAAAACCCACATAGCTAGACGGTAAATCTATGCCAAACGTGCACGTGCTTTTCAACAAAATCAAAACTTCACAGTCCATTTTTCTCATGTATAGCAACAAATGGTGGGAACACTGGCCTACCAAACTAAAGTGGACCAAGTCGATGAACTTGGATTTTAAAAATGGGACTAAGCACCTATAATTCTACCCTCTAGTAATCCAGCCTTTAAAACCACGGCTGAGAGAGTCGGCATATCGTTGAGAATTACACCACTCTGAGAAGACCTGGAGTTTGGGAGCCCCAAGGTTGTCATGTTCCAAAAAACAACATGCCAAGTCTTCCAAGCTATCCTGAGATGCTCCCCTGGGATAAGAATTCTGTGGTTAAGTTTTCCATTGATGGCCTCAACGACGCAAGCCATGTCCTTAACCTCAAGGAACAATCAGTCGCACTTTGTTGTTTTTTGGCTTACCAGATTTTACCAGCACACGCCATAGTGTCCAGTGAAAATTATGGCTCCTGCTGACCAAAAGCAAAGGTATCAGGAAGAGCAGGGAAGGCACATAGGGCAGCAGTTCGCTCAAGTAATCGGTCCTCAGCTGTGGTCCTCTCTGATCATCTCATCCGGCAATGGAAAATCCACCATTGATAATTGTATGTGCTAGGGTCAAACTATGTATATATGATATTGTGGTCATCCATCTCATAATGAAAATCCAAACATGATGGGCATATAGAACCCTATGAACATGGCAGGCATGTTTTTTTTCCATGGCAACAGTTGGGATTTCCCGTTGCCAGGTTAGGTTTGAGTATATACCATCTGCCAGCTGCATGGAAGATGCCCCATCGACAAGTGATTTGCCTATTAATGCTGATTTTCTACTGTTTAAACTGCCCATATGATTTTCTACACCGGGATGATTATGCATATGTTAAGTTATATATATATATATATTTGTATATACATACACTGTATCATTGAATAGAACATTGACAGAACACCTAAACCATAAACCCCTATCTCTACCACTTTTAATGCAATATTGGCCCTACCATGGACCTGGATAAATCATGATAAATCTGAATAATTCATTAACCTCTTACAATACCACTATGAGATAGTTACCCCTTACTCACCATCATTCCAGTGACATCGCAGTGCAGCCGTGGGGATTTATCCAGATTGTTGGTTCCACCCCATTGTGTTTGTTCCTGAGTTTTCCTGAAAAAGAACCCTTTGTGAGGCAGCCTCATATTCTCACCAAGGGGCTCGTTGATGTACTGCACTGGGATGTGCTCCATGGCTGCAATGCCCAACTCGTTCTGGACGTTCCTCCGCTAAATGTGTCTGTTTGCTGGATTCATGACCTTCTGACACGGTTTTTCCTGCAAAACAATAAGCATGATAAGTTTGTTTTATCCTACCAACTCCGACCAAAATGAACTTTCAGAAAAGCATCTCAATATTTACACAATCGAGATATCTCAAGCCCAGTTTCCAACACATCATTCCATCATCTTAACAGCCCAAGGAGCTCAAGTTTCTGCTCGAAAGCTTCGGCACGTCCCAGATTGATGGTGACCTTTGGGGTTCGTCTCCGTTGAACGACAGGTATGAACCACAGGTGTGAACTCGTAAACATGACCCATATATATATATAGAGTATATATAGCATAATTATATCATAATGCAAAATAAAAACAATATAAATCAAATGCATATGATATATTACATATATCATCATATAGTGCTTCCCATATACTCCATGATGCTGGTTTATACTGTAACTGTACCCTGATTATCTTTCTGACTCCGCGATGGCTCCACCATGCCATGCTCCAAGGCACCATTGGTTGCTGAGCGGATTGCGATTCCTTCCGCAGGAAGACTCTGGCCTGTGCCTGGTTCACAATCCTTGCAGCTGGACACATCATGGCTAGTGGCTGCATGGCATGAAGTCTGAAGTGGTTTCTAAATGCATATAATTGTTTATAATATACTTGTAACTTATTAATTGTTTAGTTTTTATTACATACTTGCAACTTATTAATTGAGTTTAATTGTCGATAATTCTAGGCTGATGATTGGGTTCATGGTAGATAACCAATGGATGTAAACAGGGGGTTACAATCCAACTTATAAAACTGGGAGAGCCTTCAGGTGTGGACAAAGAACATATAATAAAGCTGTAGGTCGACATACTTGTTCGACTTGTTACATGTGTTGTTTCACCTTCCTGCATGCGTTCATACGTGCCATACCGTAGGCTCTCGATCACGTGTAAAAAAATGCAATGATTTGCACTGAGAAGGGTATATAATGGTATAATTTCCTTGTTTATAGCCAAACAAGTTTCAGCATGTTTTTCCAAAAAACAGTGCGTCCCTTCAGGCTGTATCAGTGAGGACACCTTTTTGTATCATTGTTTTTGCCACAGCTACCGTAATGGTTTCAGTTGGCAAAGGGGGGTATGATGCTCTCAGGATGTGCAACAATTGACTGAATTCCGACTTTCCAAGGATGAGTTTTCACTACCTGTCACATCTCCAAGCCAGCAGTTTTGCTACAACATGACTCACCCAACCAAGCAGGGTGCCCAGTAATCTGTAGCAGGTTGCTGGATTTTCTCCACATTGCCCTTGATCAGATACTCCTTGAGCATTTCCTGCATGGTCACCTGATCCATAATGATCCACGAGCATCACTTGGGGCTTTCAAAGATGTTTTTTTCATGTCGTTGTTATTTTCTATGTGCTACTGTGCTACAGGATGGTGCCCCCAAGATAGCTAAGTTGGATTATAACTCCAATAACTATGGTTTATAGGTGATATATCTATAGTTAATGGGCTTATAACCAATTTATAGCTGGGGAGAATGAGCATAAAGGAACAACAATCAGCTGATTCAATTGCAACTATGACATTGAACTCAATGCCCGTACTCGGATGAGAACGTGCTACCCAAGTGCACTACTAGAAGGACAGAATACCAAAGTGAAGACCAACATCTCCATTTAAGTGGTACCAGACTCTGTCCTCCTGAGTCACTAACCACTTTTACGGTAGGTAGAGGCTTCATCATATAGGCTTCATCAAGCACGTCAAGCCCCGATTAACCATGAAGTCCAGCAAAGTCGGATCTCACCTTTGCAATCTGGAGAGTTGTGTTTCATCATTTTTCTACAGACATCATGACAAATTCATAAATCTGCAAAAAATGGTAGGTATGATTCCCAAGTCTTACAATTATTATATTGTGCGACTGCATGACTGGTCTAGCAGGGCTCGGACGCACATAGAAAATTGCCAGCATTGTTGGTTCTATCTCCATATTTTGCAAATGAAAACCTCAAAACATCCCAAAACGTCCCAACATGTCCCAAACTATCCTCATAATAACATCATGTGCATCATCATGTCATGTGTGTGTACATATATATATACGTATATATAATTGATAAATTAATACCATCTGGTTATTTAACATGGCCATGGAAAATCACCATGCTATTAATAGGTAAACCATCTATTTCAATGGGCCATCTATACCATGGCTATGTTAGTCATAGCCAGAGGGTAACTGATTTTTTTCCCCACCTCCTGCGGTGCATCGTCCTCATGTCGCATGTTGAAGTAGGCGGCCAGGAATAGGGCACCTGGGCGCACGGGTACAATGGGCCCAGCAAAAAGGTAACCTGGAAAAAAACATCCACTATTCATGGATATTTATGGTTGATTCATGGTGATTCATATTGATTCACTATCTGGTTCATGTTGATGAAGCGTATTTGCTCTATTTATGGTTGACAAAAAGTGCTCATTGCTTGTACTAGATTGCTTCCAGGAATAGTTCTGGTTCATTAGATTTGGAATTCGACAATACGACGTATCGTATGACTATATGGGCATTATGGATGCGTGGATCCAGGCAACTTACGGCGCCATTCCCAAATGAGAAACACACCCATGTTGCGGTGACTATCATATATCAAGTGGAAATGCAATCTGGTTGTTGAGCCACCCCTCTGAACAATATGAGTTCGTGAGTTGGGATTATGACATTCCCAATATATGGAAAGTCATAAAACATGTTCCAGTCACCACCAACCAGCAATACTAGAATAGATACTAAGGAATGAAGTCCCGAACGGTTCTATTGGATCAACCTCGTCAATTTCCTTTCTTTAGATGGTGACATGAATCTACTTCTAGTACTGTTAGCAGTTAGGAATCTTATGCACCATCCCCAAGTTACATCATTTCAATGGATTAGTTTAAGGGCAAACCTATAGGAAACCATAGGTTTTCCCATAAAGATCATGGGGCTTTCCAGTTTCAAATTTCCCTGAAACCAATCCAATGATCATCCATTTAAATAGGGTTTTCCATTATAAACCAAGCATTTTCAGGATTCTCCATTTATGGAAACCCCCATATGGGTGGTATAACCATCAAAACATGGCCGGTTTATGACACGGGTGAGCCTCCTGCAGCTAGTCCCATCAAGCGGGTCCTGCGAGGCTTGATGTTTCAAAAAGGTCGCGGTTCTCCAAGGTCCAACAATGAAGAACAAAATACATGGAGGGGAAAACTAACTATAGTTATATAAGATGTTATAAGTATCACAAACATTCATAAACCAAAGTTGTTGAAGTTGCCCAACTTAGCTATCGTTTTGTGGGGCTCCATCTTGTACTGAAATGGATTTTTGGCAAGTCTGTGATCACCTGAGGCCTCATCAAGCCGAAGGTTTAGTAAGATATATGTTTAATGGCACTAAGTATAGAAACAAAAGAACTACTACCCTCTGACCCTCTGGTAATTATACTTGTATAAACATGGCTGGAAAACTTACCATAAACGGTTGCTTTAATGGGGAATATCATCTATACATTTGGAACTTTCCATGGTCAGGTTTGATTACCATGATCTCAGGCTTGTCACTTGTAGTGTCCACCACCGAAACAAACACCGGCATAAACATTGCCAATTCATCTTATTGGTACCTTTCCCCCGAGAAAAATCTTTAGCTGGTTAGGGTAGTAAGACTTTCCTGTTTATAGCAACAGGTTTAAAGTAATCAACTATTCACCACCACTGGTTCTTCCCATTCATGATGATAACTTCACTATATGTGGTTGGTTCAACCACCATTTCGGGTACCTACCACTTAACCATATATGTAGCTGGGGCAACCGGTTCACAACAACGGCGCCCGCTGTTGGCGGTCCCTTGATCTTGCATGTTGTTTCCATCCTGGGAGGGCAGGGCTAGCGATTAACTATAGAAATCGTCTAGCATAGTGCCATAAACCATAAACAAGCTAGTTATGTTCATCAACTTAGCCAACTAGGGGGGCCACCTTGTATGGAGGATGATCATCAACAAAAATCAGTGTTTGAACATAATTTGAAAAATACAAACATACATGCATGTACTTTATATATTAATTATATAATTATAATATAATAATATGTGATGTATATTTGACACATTTTGAAATTATCCACTGGGGTCCGAAGATACAGAAAATATCCGGACCAAGCATCCTTTCCAGGCTCCTTACCTTTGGAGTCTTTGGAGCTTTTGCTGGTTTCTTCTGCACCTTTGCTATCTTTGCCTGGTGTGTGTGAGAGCTTGTTATCACCCAACAGCTTCGTGTGCAGCGCTAATCTTTCATATCCAAGTCCAAGTAGCTGGTGGCACAATTAAAAATACATGTCACCTACCATCCCCCCAGCCTTACCCAATCGGATATGTCTTCTCTGAATGGAGGTTAAATGAGGTCAATCACATGAAATACCATCCCCCGTTCTTTTGCGACTCCAATTCATGAACAAATCCAATCCATACCAGGAATTCATGTCGGGGAGCTAATGATCGGGGAACGTGAATACTGGAAATCAACAGCTACCAGTCACCCAGTTCCAGAGATTGAAACTTCAGGATGCACGACTGCATGCGTAAATGTTGGTGCAATCGCCTTCTGCTTTTCCTTCTGCTTTTCCTTCCGCCTTCGACTCAGCCTCAGGATCTTCCTCTCACTGGGCCAAAGTTGACCAAACAATTGCACAGATCTATGCCACAACATCTATACTGATGATCTGTAAACCTTAGTTGAATAAGTTGAATAACCAGGTCGTTTATCGTGTTTTTTTACCTTTCAAAGTATCTCAAAGTACCACTGTTCAAGGCCAAGGTGCGGGTGTCTCCTTAGGGCCCTTCCTCGATGCGGCAGCAGGGCCGCTTCTGGGAAAATGCTGCTAGTTCTGGTTGTTGGTATCTCATCTCAACCTCTGAGCATTTCTGAATGATATATCAACTGGCTATTTCCACAAGAACTCAGTAGGGTATGGATGAAACATAGGATTCCAATCAACCCACTTAACATGTCCTTTTAACTCATTTTTTCCAACATACCAAAAAACTGGGCTAAACAAAAAATGCGCAAACCCAAAATGGTCACTTCCAGCGAGGTCACCACCGTTCCCTCCCCAAATCCAATGCTAAAACTTCGAGAGTTCCCCCTGAAAAGTCGCTTTTGCGCTCCATCTGGAATCACTTCCCCAGTGGGGAACCCTAAAATCCCATAGTCATCATTGTCCCACTAATATGGCCATGAGGTGTCCCCCATTTTGAGGCCAACTGTCCATTTTCAATTGGCAAATTCATGGTCATATTACTAAACCCAAATTTCTAATGGTAATGGTTGAATCATTTAAATCGCAAAAAAAATGGTATATGCTGTTTGGTCTCAGTCATTGTTGAACATTGTACCCTCATTGTTCTATTCTTCATTGGTCAATTCCCCATTGTTCATTGTTCAATCCGATTAAGTCCCATCGAATCTAATTGCATCCTATTAGTAAATATCAATAAAACCTCATTGAATCCCATTCAACCCAACGTGAGTCGCACCAAATCCCCTGTGAATCCCATGGGCAAATCTTCACATCCCCGCCCTGCTGCCACGTCACGCTTCTTTGGAGCTTTGTTCAGCTTCCTGGAACTCCATGGAGACTTCACAAATGGACACACGGTGGATGAAAGGGATATTATATGATTATATTGTGGTGTGTAAATAAACATATGTGATTGTTTCTTCAAACATGGTGAGAATGTAATACAATATGACAGAAAAGAAAAAATACTGTAAACTAATACCCAGCTTTCCGCATTTGATCCCCATTAGATCCTTGTGAAGAGTCGTAAAATCGCCATGACATCACCATACCCCCCTAAGATTACAACGAGGTGATCCACTATTGATAGCTCCTTGCATTCCATCAGTATATCAGTATTGAATTATATGTCTCATTTCATATCACTTACAAATCATTGGTGATCCACAATCTTTTTGGGGATTGCCATCCTGTAATTTAACATCGCTGTGGACAATCACAATGTTCAAGAGGTAGAAAAAATATCTATAAACGGTCCATTCCCCAAAGCTATGTTAAATTACCAAAGGGACACATAATATATACATACGAATCTGGATAAATTATAACAGTTCACTTTCCTGAAAAAGCATGTTCTAGAATAACCATCCCCTATACCATGATTCCAAAGAGGTCACGAGGTGAGGTCACCATAATTTGCCCACAAAAAAAAATTAGTTGTTTGTCTTTATATCAATCTACCTACCTACAGTAGATGGACAAATTATTCAAACCCCTATCCATGAGTTATAGGCCACCCCCTACCTCCCCCGAATTTCAATGTTATGGTTTCGTAGCGCTGTTCCTGCTCTGAGGGTTTGATTTATTTCGTCCATTCGAAGGAACGAACCAAACAAGAAAATAACATTGATATTTGGGGTGAGGGGGGTTGCTCTATGTATAAGGGTTTGAATAATTCGTCCATCTACGGTATTTATCCATTTATCTATTTATCTATTGATCTATTTATCTATCTATCTACCTACCTATTTATCTATCTATCCATCTATCTACCTATTTATCTATTTATTTATCTATCTATGTATCTATCTATCTATTATCTATCTATCTATCTATCTATCTTTCTATCTATCTATCTATCTATCTCTATCTGCATTATCTATATCTAGCTATATCTACATCTATCTACATTTATCTACATATATCTATATCTATCTATATCTATCTATATCTATCAATATCTATCTATATCTATCTATATCTATATCTATCTAAATCTATCTATATCTATCTATATCTAAATCTATCTATATCTATCTATATCTATCTATATCTATCTATTTCTATCTACCTATCTATATCTATATCTATATCTATATCTATCTATCTGTCTATCTATCGATCTATCCATCTATCTATATATAAATATATATAATGTTAACACATATATATATATGTATGTGTTGACATGAATACACATATATAATCCACTGCAGTTACAACTTCCACCAAGTGTCCACTGGCACCTCCTTGGGCCTCGGATCCGGTGGTGAGTTTCCAGTGGGAAAACTATGGGAAATCATGGGAGGCTATAGGGAACCTATTTATGGAAAAAAAAACATGGTTTCGAACCACTTGGCTTTTTCTGAAAATGATGGAAACCCAATCTAATCCTATGGTTTAGATTGATTACCGTAGTTTTTTTCCGATAATAAAATGTAGAAATTTGGGGGTATAAGTTGTTGTTGGATACTAACAGCTCTGACAATTAGTGGCTGCTAAGAGAGCCTTGCATCTCCATTAATCATCTTTTCTATAGTAAACTGCCCCTATTTGGGTGTACCCAAATTTTGATCAAACAGCATTCCGGGTCAGCCGGCCATCCGAACACCGCAATGAACCGGAAGAACTTTTTGAAAGAGCTTTTCTTAATTGGGATGCGTGGCCAATCAAAAAAGAAGCACAGTACATAAATTCCCAAAGTCTGGTAAAAGGTTGGAGCATTGCATTCAAGAAGTCAATATATCTATAGGTATTTAAAACAACCGTTTCTGCAGATTGTGTCCTAAGGAAGCTATAACGCAAATGACATGTCTATATTGTAATATATGTTCTTTGAGTTTTTTGGATAATCTTGGCAATATAGCATTGACATGTATTGAATCTATGTTGGGGCCAAGAGTAACTGATTGGAGGTGTTTATATAAGAGTACCTTGATAGATTCCCGGGTACGGATAGATACAACGTGCCCCCATTAACCATAGTTCCCTACTTCGATGAAACATCACAAACCCATAATTTGGTGGGTGACATCCTTCTTTTTATCGCTTAAAAAAGGCCTGAAACATCCTTTTTTCAACAACTTCTTCGACGCTGAGACAAGTTGCTGCTTGCTCCCTTCCGCAGGGGCTTCAGCTGGCTTCGGTGCTTCTTTGGCCTTGGCGATGGAAGTCCTGCTGGTGATTCAACATAGCTACGGAAAAAACAATGAAAACATGCCATTTAGAGATGACAAATAGATACAGATACATATATAAATGATGATTTGCATTTGCTAATTTACCTAAAACATGATTTTTCATGTCAAATTAACAAAGAGTATTCAACAACGATGGTAACGGAAATTAATTGATGGAAAATGGGAACATCATCTTCAAGAGGGTCATTTCCATCTGCTGTTTTCCCCCAAAAAAATCATATGAAACCTGGAAAAGGAGCAAGTCAGGATTTTACTATATATATATAGATATCTTTATATATATATATATATCTATATATATATCACTACTGGATATGGCCCTTTGTCGCTTCCATACTTAATTTATGTGGTTGAGGTGCGTCAGGGAAGTCAAACGATATGGGTCCTGCCATCAACTCTCCAAGCTTTGAACATACGTACGCACTGTAGGAGTTTCCCGCTTAGTCTGATGGCCAAAACAAAATCCCCGGCCAACCTGCGGAGATACTGTGGATGGAAGACATCCTGCACCAGTTGGTAACTATTGGTGACTATGAAACACAGGAAATAATGGGATTTTAATGGGGTAAACCATCTACCAACTGGTGTGGTGTAACACAGTCCTCCACTTTTCTAGGTATAATTTGACTCATTCAATAACCATTTGCCAAGAAGTATCCTCCAAACATGGAGGCATTCTTTGGACAACCATGAGCCACTAACCATAATTCACACATTTACAAACCATTAATCAATACGCTACCATTGTCATGAGGATTCAACTAGGTGACCACCCACATCAATAGCCATTGTTCACTAACCATTAGCAAAACACTGCATATTTTCACTATACATAGCCATGGAACATTGCCCATTTATGGATGATGAACCTATTAAGAATGGATACCCTCTGGTAAACTCACATAACTATTGAAAATCACAATGTTATTAATTAATGGATAAACCAACTATTTCTATGGTCATTTTAATAGCAAACTGGTTAGTTTACCAGAGGGTACCATACCATAACCGTACCATTCACCGTTAACAGCAGCCGCTCTAACAACGCCAAGTTACGCCACTCTCGGCTGGTGCGCTTTTGGGTTTGGCTTTGTTCTGCAGCATGCAATGGGGAACAAAAACGTGCATTTACATATCATACCAAATGTGTGTATCTATATCTATATGGGGGTGGCCATATATATATATATATATATGTATATATATATATGTATATGAATATGTGTATATATATATGATTATATATGTATGTATCATATTTCAGTTTAATGTTCTGACACTTTCCTTTCGCCACTAGAGTCTCAAGGAGTTCAGCAGAGCTAGAGGCGAGTACTTGAGGAACAACTCTGCTAAGCGGAAAACGCGTGTCAGCAAACCATTGAACATTAACTAAGCTAACTAAGTTTGACTAAATAAATCTGAATAAGTAAGGTAACATAAGGCAACACTATCTAAAGATACGCACAGACCCCGTGGTTTGCCCGGACTGCAACATTGAGGATTCCCTTTCGTTGAACATGAGAAGAGAAATTCCAGAAAATGCTGCGTATACGCAGTGTTTTCTGCTTTCGGATTCAGAGTTATCAGGGTTTTAGGGTTTAGGGTTTTAAGGTTTTAGGGTTTAGGGAGGTTTAGGGTTCGTCGTCTGGTAAATACCAAAACTCTGGCCGCGCGCAGGTTTTTGAGCATGTCGAAGGATACTATTTGAACTCCATTCTAACTTTGCGGGCAAACACTAGGGTCTGCCGTAAAGATAGTTACAACACTATCGTAATTCTTGTGTTACATAAGATCCAGTTTGACTAAGTGAAGGGTTAAAAAAATCCAGATTACTAAGCTATCTACGGTCTTGCGACACATGGCAAGTTATGTGCATGGCTCACGTTTCCCAAACTGGGATCGCATGTGTATATATATATATATATGTATATATGTGTGTGTACCATAAAATGATTATTATATATATATGATATATGTACATGTATGTATGTATGTATGTATGTATGTCTGTGTGTATGTATGCATGTATGCATGCATGCATGCATGCATGTGTGTATGTATATCCAAAGGTGTATATATATATATAGATTGTTAGGTATATTATGTATAAATATATATATATATATATACATATATATTTATACTTATTTAAATATATATATATATACAGATACATACATAATAAGCATACCCAGCCGTTTCCGCGCCTCGTAGAACTGTCCAAAGCCCTTGGGAGGGGACGGTTTCCCGTCACCTCGGCGCCAAAACGCCAACGCCGGAGGGGATCTTAATACTTGGAAGATCTTGGAAGCGCAATTTAGGTTGCAAATGGTTATACCATGTTATAACTATAGTATAGTCTATTTATAGTGAAATAAGCCCCCAGTAGTTGGGATATCTCCACTATAGCCTATAACTGTGGCTGTATAATTATAAATAACTATATTGAAATAAACCCTATGTTGGGATATCTCCCTCTAAAAAAAAACCTGCTATGTATCCAATTATAAGTGGAACTGCACCCCCAAGATAAGAATATATAATAATGGCAAACAAAGCCATGTGGTAAGTCCCAAGGTGGTAAAATGTGATAAATTGGAGATGGTTGATTGGTAGCATATTGATCATTATTGTAGGAAATTGCAAATAAAACGTCTTTAAAACGGCGGACCATTGTTTATATCTTCTCGTACTGAAAATTGCATTCTTGACCAGCTTGCGAGGATGGAGTGTGGAGAACAAGTCGCGTTTGCATCCGTTTGAGGAAAGCACACCGGCCAAGTCTTGACACTGATTTTGCCAAGTACCATGTTATACAGAGTTGCATCCCCACTTTCCCTCGTTCCAGCCTACAATCCATCAAGTCATCAAGAAAATGTTTCTCAACCAATAGAGAAGTTGGACACTTGCAGAAGAAAAGGGCATCACACACTATCAAACAGCATCATCTATACCAACCTATACCAACCCTAGAAGTATCACCAAAAATGCCAAAGGCGCTCGAAAATCGTAGGCCAAGCCTTCTGCCCACCCTGGCCCTGGCATCAGGCTTGTCTTGAAAATATATGAAAATATTGCTTAGCCAAGAAAAATGTCATAGGAAAATGATGCTAAACCAATGGTTTGAGGACCCATTTGTAGAAAATCCTTTCCACTACGGATGAACATCCACCCCAAGGTATTCCAGTTTAGTAGTGGGTCTGCCTACTTTGAGATCCCATTGATGTTTCTGTGATTTAGAGGGATGCGATGAACATGTGCAACTTTTCCAACAGCTACAAACACGAGAGAAAAAGTGGGCACATGGACATCCTGTTGGGAGATCGAAATAAATTTATATAATGTTTCTATCATTGTCAAGGCTGGATGAATTTCGGATTGCCAGTCTTGAGTTAAACTGTCCCAACCAAATGACTGGTTGGTGGTAGTTTCTACCCCTCTGAAAAATATGAAATCGTCAGTTGGGATTATGACATTCCCAATGTATATAATAACACACACATATACATATATCTCTATAAATATATAAATATATATATATATATATTAAAAAATAAAATTCATGTTCCAAACCACCGACCAGATGAGTTATATAACATCAGTTAGATATGGGTTCACCCCCGAATCCCCATGGACACCCCATCACCGCGCCCAAGGCCAGGTCGTCGAAACGAAGCGATGGCCTATGCCATGCCGGGTCCAATGTGTCCAGTGGAACGACTTTTGGGAACTCAAAGCGTAAGATTCAATCTACTGTCTGACTGTGCGTCTATCTATCTATCTGTCTGTCTGTCTGTCTATCTATTTAAATATTTATCTATTTTATCTATCTATCTATTTACCTACCTATCTACAGTATCTATATGTCTGTCTATCTGTCTATCTGTGGATCTATCCTGGGGAATCCTGGGGGGAATCCTGGGATTCCCAAGGCATGGAGCATCACGGCATGGAGCTTTGGGACCGATTCAACACTTTTTACCATGGAAAATGACCATTTATAGTTTGCGAACTTGAACATGGCCATAGAAATAGTGAATTTTCCGATGAAAAATGGTGATTTTCCATAGTTATGTAAGCGTTTACCAGAGGGAAACCATATTTTGTCTGGATCTAATGGTGGTTACTAATGGCGATTAATGGTTGATGATTCATGTTGATATGGAGGGGGCATTTCGGAAAATGAGAAAATGGTTGGGGTTGAGATTCAGACCCTGATTCATGGCGCCTGACGTGCCGGGGCGCGACGCAGTTTGGAGAGCATGGACGTTGCCTTCAGAAGGGCCCAGAAGGGGACCATCGAAGTATCAATGCTTGGAGGGTCATGGGGTTATAACCTATGTTTAGATGGGCTAATCCACTTAGGGGACTTACTAACCAGGGTTTTAACCACTTACTAGCTGGGATGATGCTCCAAGTGGAGACTTTTCCAGCCATAGAGCTGATGGCACCGGAGGGTATGGATATGTGTGGACTGTATGGATCAATGAAAATTACGGGTGCTTGGATTGCTACAAGATACTAACAGGGATCGCATCCAAACCGCAAACATGTTCACCATTTACATGTTCAAGTTCTATAGGGGATCCCATGATGGATTGCCATGAGTTTCTGGAAATGACCAATCCATCCCCGTTTTATAGACACCGGCTTGGGAGGCGTGGTTGCGCACACTTGGATCAAAACCGATGGCTGTTATAATTGCATGTGTTTTTCCACTAATCAGGGCGAAGCATTGACGAAGCAACCACTCATGTCTTGGTTCTTTCGCATTTTAAAGAGCGGCCTGTAGAGTAAAGATGCTACGTAATCACATCAGGCGCCGAGTTTCCAAAAGGGCTCACAGCAATGACCAAGCTTTGTCAACAAAAAACCTGCAAGGTTATCAGAAGCTGATGGCGACTGGTAGGTCTTGTAGTCTGAAAAGAACCGCCGTTGCCTGGCCATCAATACTGGTCTGGCCGTATGGCCACTATTCTTCAACTTTCTTCAACTGCCTCATGATAAACCCAGCCGCTTCTTGTGTTTACCGCAAAACTTGTCAAAACTTGAATCTTGAGCAGAACCAGCACATGCCAGATCATGCCAGCAGATCAAAAAATCAAAAGGTCGAACAGAGGCATCACAACTGGCTATTCGAGCCTCCCATCGTCGCCCTTCTTTTCGCACGCTGCGAAGTGAGACATTGACCGATGGGCACTGAGGTTAGCATTTCACGGTAAGCTTCATCCAAGGAGCTCTTGAACTGTTGAAAAATCGATGCATACCAGGCATGCCACAACCGTTTTAGGTGGGGATGCAACCCCGGGGCCCATCTAAGGCCCTTCGGTGCTAAGAGAAAATGCTTTCAATGGCGCCTGTCGTCTCAAAGAGCGCCTCCTGTGGTTACCGGTCTGGCTGAAAATCCCTCCAAGATCTCTATGACATCTTCAAATATATCCAATCTTCAATACCACCCTAAGGAATCCCCATGAACCCTGGTTGAATCTAATTTAGATTGATTTAGAGTCTATGATCTATTCATTTCTTGGGCCCATATTGATAATAGTAGGGGGATGGAGGTTGGCAGCAGTTTGGTCAATCAAATCCATCAGATGAAGTTTTTATCCCAGAACACCCGAAAAACGAAGGGCTAGAATCGGCTAGAACCTTTCAAAAATTGGTTCGTAATGATCCACATGGGTTTTAAAGTGGATTCCTGGCAAGTTGGCTTCCATCTGAAGCTATAGATTGATTCCCTGTCAGTTTTTGGGAGTTTTCATCTATGAAATTCCACGAAATCCGATTCCCGGGCCGCTTTCCGGCCTGGTTTTGAAGTTCTTTCAGTATCATCTGTTCAACCTTTTCCATGGCTCCAATGAGCTTTTGGCTCTGCGGCGGACGCAGGCACTCGTTGCAATCCTCACAAAGCCAAAACTCCCAGAATCAAGAAACATTGACACGCGGCTTAAAGATGCTTAAAGGGCAGATCTACAGGAAAGCATGGATTTTACGACCAAACATGATTTTCCATTGCACCAGTTCTGGGGATGCTATACGTGGATGGTCAACATCAAGGTTTCTGGTTTTAGAAAAACTGGTTTCATAAGCCTGAAACCAACTTTGACTCCGGCTTGGTTATGGCAACATTCATTCCATTGACGGGCATGGTGGATCATGGTGGTTTAGCGTAATCTTCCAGAATCTTCCAGAGCTGAAAATGATGGAATTGAAATGTATTTGAGAGACACCCAAGAAAAACAGACGAAAGATGACATGACAGAACTTACGTCATTTACTTCTCGTCTTCCAGTGGAGCTGAGGGGGCCGTGAAACAAGCTGAACTTTTCCAGGTGCTTTGAGCCCGTCCCAATGTCAATTTGGATCATGATAATTGGTAGGAATATGTAGGAATGACAACTGATAATTGTCAATTTATAGATCAATTGGGAACAACAACATATCTCAAAACCACCAGCCAAATACAATACACTATGGCAATAAAAAACAATCCATGGAAAATCCATTGCTTCCAATTGCACATAACCTTTAAACCAGGGACTTGTGATGACTTGTGTATGTTAGGATACCCAAATGGACAAAGTTGGACTCATTGTTTTTTTTGATGCAGTTTCATTGGAGAACGTGTGTTTTGTGTTTTCAACTAATGACAATGTATGTATACACATATATATATATATATACTGTATATACATAGTCAATGTTCCGACACCTCCGGTAATACAAGTCGGCAATGGGCAATCAACAATGGTTCGCTCATTTTCCGCTTTTGCACAAACATGTGGCTGTCCCATTGCCTCCTCAGCGATCTTTGATTTCTGATACTCTAAGGTACTCCCAAACAGTCTGGCCAAAACTAGGCCTGAGCCCAGCCCCCCAATATTAAACAGCCCCGGAAACCATGCTAACTTTAAAAATTGTGTGTATAGAGAAATTTGGCACCATTGACCATGAATGTGGGATTATAATTCCTATAATTCCCAAGCTGGAACTCAAACCACGTCTGAGATGATCCCTCACGTACGAACCAAGACTTACCCAATATGGCTATTAGTCAAAAGTCGAAAAACCCTTGCAGCCTTTTGTTCACAACCAAATAGCTTGTAAATGGGTGGTTCACCAACATATGGCACAAAATGGTAAGGATGTATTTCATTGGTTTTCATCCATCCCTATTTGCTGTCATACATATTTTGGGATACTGTATTTTGGGGCTTATTCACAACCAAGAACCACAAATAAGACTTCTTAACCAGCTATCATTGGGCTTGGTTAACTCATGATATGGCTAATAAAGTCAACTAGTTTTGGTAAATCGGCCATTTGTCCCTGATCTTTCTTACCTCCAGGCGTCAATCAGCTGTAGCAACAGCTCGTTGATCAGCGACTGTTGCAAGGAGTCACTGGACACCGAATAGGCGCCCTGCAGCCATCGTAAGGCCTAGATCGGAGTGATTGTTGCGGTGCTGAAGGAAAGCTGGGGGAAATAAAAACATCGGAACACATTAACTGTATGTATGGTATGGTATGCTATGGTATGTGTCTATGTACAGGTTTAGTAAAATACATATATGTGCAGGCATAGCATAAGTTATATAATGTTGGCTGCCTAATAGTAATTACCCCCCTATTTTTTTTTGGGGGGGGGGTCAACCTTCCTATAATAATTTTTGGGAATCTATAGCTGGGATCATTATGATATGTATCTGATAGATTCTCCATGGTTTTGTTGGGTTTCTGTTAGATTCTGCATAGGGTTTGGTTGGATTTCTGAGATGTTCTGCATAGGTTCTGCATGGATTAGGGTTGGTTTCTGTTAGATTCTGTATGGATTTGGTTTGGTTTCTGATGGGATCTGCATGGATTCTGCATGGATTATAGCGGAAGTGGACATGGAAGTGGGGGCAGACGTGGTGGAGGCGAAGGAGGAGGACGAGGAGGAGGAGAAGAAGGAGGAGAAGAAGGAGAAGGAGAAGGAGAAGGAGGACAACAAAATTGGAGTTGCGGAAAAAAGTTTCCACTATTGCCATGCCTGGTGCAGGTTTGTTATTGCTATTCTGGGGCTTGCAAAGGGGGTACCCTTTGTGGACCGGTTTTCTTGCTTTTTTAAATAAGGGTTTTATAAGGAAATCAGCTGTTTGGTAATTGGATCAGATTTCTGGAATCTAAGCTTTTGCTAATCAAAAGTGAAGGCTGCTTTGAAAAGGATTTGCTTTACTTGACTCTTTTGGCAATACTAAAAGTAAATGGAGCTAATTGACTTTTAGTATTGGAGAAAAAATTGGAGTTGGAAAAAAAGTTTCCACTATTGCCATGTTGGGCCCACTATTGGCCATGCCCTCTGGGCAAGGTCTGAACATGACTGTTTTGGCAATACTAAAAGTAAATGGAGCTAATTGACTTTTAGTATTGGAGAGATAAAACTGGAGTTGCGGACAAATGTTTCTACTATTGACAAGATATCACTATTGGTCAGACAACATTACTGTAAGATACTGTAAGTATTTTTTGGAAAAACATAAAGCCAACGGTTTCTCATCACTGTTCCATTCAAATGGTAATTCTTGGGTGCGCCCCATGTATTGACAAATCCACATATGTAAGATCGAAATGGCAAGTAATGTCCCTATGACATGGATGAGCGACCTCCGATATTGAAAGTATTTTTGGTACAGTTATCCAGATCCAGGTTAATTGTTGGGGCATTCTGGCAAGAAAAGCACATGTGAATATCCCTCCGGTTTCAAGACCTTTAATAGGTGAGTAACATCAACAACTACGGAACAATATTCATGAAAGCCAAAACGGGAAGGTCAGGAACTATAGCCGTTGGAGAATGCCGCCACAAGTATGAAGACCATGAAGGAAACAACAAGTAGAGATAATTCTATGAATCACCGGCGATGAATAACAATAAATATATTTCAGCTGCGAAAGCGAACAGTGCAAAACGCCCTGTAATGCCTCATGTTTCTCAGTGGTTAGGATATCACCCTAGAGTATACCTTCATTTATTGTCCTGAATGCCACAAACTTATTTGAATCCATTCCACAAACCAACCATTCATCAAGCTGATTGGCCAGCAACAACAACTATCATTAGTTATACATAGACTACGTGCAACTCCCCGTGTCGCCCACAGCATCTTTTTAGCCTTGCAAGATTCAAGGGTTTAAGATTTGGGGTTTCAGGGTTTAAGTTTTTAGATTTCAGGTTGTTCCTCTTGTTTTTTTCTATTGTTTTTAGGGTTTTTGGGTTTTACTTTTTTTTGGGTTTAGGTTTAGGATAACTTGTGCAGTGACGCACAGGTCCCGAGGTGCGCTTTTCCGGAATGCGAGAATGATCCGATATTTGCGGTGTTTTGAGAGGGCCACGGGCAACACGAGGGGTTTGCCCGGTACACTGCTATGTCCCCCATAGTTGTTGCTGCTGGTGATGTTGTTGTTGTTGCTGTTGTTTTTGTTGTTTTTGTTGTGGTTGTTGCCATTGTTGCCATTGTTGCTACTGTAGCTCTAGCTGTTACTATTCTGTGTTATGTTTCTGCTCCTGTTAGGATTTTCCTGTTGCTGTTAGTGTTGTTTTTTGTTTGGTTGCCTGGCTGTGTGTAAACCCATCTGCTGGCAGTTCCGCACTGCTATTGCGGGTACACTTGGGGGTGTCAAAAAAATGTGGCGTATGAATGTGTTTCAACTCACAAAAAATAACCTGCCTTTTCTACTTTTTATGAAAAACGGATGGGGGTAATCAGCTATACTGTAAATGGGTAATTTTCTGTTGCCGTGTTAAATTACTGGACAGTAGTTCCTCATTAGTCAAATTTGATGTAAGTTCTGCATCTATTGCCATGTGTTTGCCTGGCATCTAGCCAATAACTATGTGTTCCCTGAAATGTGGAAGTCAATGGTCTTGGGCTACCCAAGAACTACCCGGTACGTGTGAGGAAGTCCAACATGCCCATCCTCACCTCGAAGCAAAGTTCTTCGCCCATTTCGCTCAGAGCTGAAGCAAGAGCGCCTGCAGCGAAATGGCACCCGGCACCGGTCATCAAACGATTCCATGCCGGAAAACCATCCGTTTACATGATGTTTCCAGGCAGAAAGCTCCATTGATAGGCAATTGATAGGGTAGTTCCCATTGCAATGTTTGATCAGCGGAGGGTACTCTCCGGATCGAATCAACAATTGTGGAAATGGTGGTCATCCGCCACTATGAATGGACTCCGCCAATGAATGGACAAATTTGTTCGCCACGATAAAGATGGATGGATGAAAATGTCCCATTTTTTTTTTTACTGGGCACCAGCAAGGTTTAAAGTTTATATTCTAAACCTCTTAAGAACCTGGCACTTCGGGGGATACTCCGAAAAAGGCCAATGAGCATCATTATTTGGTGATTCTTCACTCAAGATTTACACTTTTCTCAAACCTGGAACCTGGCAAAAAGGGTTCGGATTTGGGGTCACATAAAAATGAAACTGTTTGCGTTTTGAGGAATCGATAGCCTTTGTGTCCAACATGAGATCAGTCTCATGTGTAGGTCCAAGATCACTTTTTCAAGTCATGAAACTCTTCCGAAATGAAACGCCAATCACAAAAAAAAATTGGCTGGTAAAGAACCAAACATAGATTATAGATCATTCCAGACATAATCCCACACGTGATCTCCCTTCAAATTCGCCGTCCAAAACTAAACACCATCATTATTGGGTCTTGGCCAGCCACTTTTATACCATGGAATCCCCCAATTTGTGATGTCTGAAATCTTATGGTATGAAAATCTCATGGAACCACCATTTTCATACCACAAACAGAATTGCTTGTTTGCAATCTCATGTTCTTCACGACGCTGCGCTTATGCTGTTTGCAAATGTTTGAGTCTAATAGTGGGGCCCTTGCAGATACTAATAGCTCTGATGGGTAATGAAATCATGCATGTAGTTGTAACATGTTATACCCTAGGGTAAACTAACATAGATGTGGAAAATCCGATCCATGCCTTTTTTGGAATCTACAAATGGTGGGTTGTTTGACATCTATGACAGGAGGGTAGATGCTATAGAAACATTCTGTGTAACAACATGCTAATTACTCAACCAGCCATATCAATGCACCCTTGCACATCAAAACATGATATGTTTTTGTGATTTTCAATGTTACCCTCTGGTGGTAAAGCATAGCTACGCAACATCATGGAACATGGACATGTTTTAATTAATAGGTAATCAAGACATGTATAGATGGGCCATTTTCCATAGCAAACTTGGAACATTCCTGGGATGGGTTTCATTCCTATGAGTGGGAAAACCCTATAATATTCCATAGCCATGGCAAACAAAGAGTGTATTTTTACATGATTACATTTGGTAATTTGAAATAGTTTGAAATGGCAATATCACCGCCTTCAAAATTCCTAGCAAACTATAGTAATTTCATAGAAATAATTAAACAAAAACTATCATAGTTAATTTTCTAGAGATACTGTGGTCATTGAATTTCCTTAGGATACGATTTGGAAATTACCAGGGCCTATCGAATCAGTCGAACATCAGCATGTGGACCTTGCTCCAGCAACTGGCTGACGATTGAGAGGCCGTAGCTGGGCTCACGGGGCTTGGTGTAGTAGAACCTCAGCCGGCCATTGCGAGCCCGGACTCTCGGCCAGGGTGGGCTATGTGACGTGGAAATCGATGTGTTTAACAAATTGAGGGTAACAATCAAGAATCTTGGGAATTCCGGAAAACTAACTATGGGGGTAAGAACCAAGAATTAGGTAAATTTTGAAGCAACTTTGGAATTAGAAGTAATTAGAGATTTACATAGGACTATGAAACATAGGGGCTCAATGAATGAATTACATTCAAAAATGGTTTTATAAAAACAGGTTTGATGAAGATACTTACTCGGATATAATGGTGATTTCAGCAAGAATCCCATGTCTGTCTGTCTCCAACTACGGCATATCATAAAACGATATAAAACCACTATTCTAATAGGGACAATTTGGCAGGGTAAGCTATTTTCAAACAAATCCCGTCTGATACGGTTAGAAGCAAATTGCTCCGATTGCCCCCTTACAAGACCTTACAAACAAAACCTATATATATATATATACATTATATACATACATGAATACATACATACATATATATGTATTTATATATATAGATATATGTGAATATATATATATATATATTACGCATATTACATATTTATATAGTTTCGATATGTTTCGATATGTGTTGATGACAGTATGTAAGTGCCGTCAGTTGGCCGACGTACGTACGTTTTTTAATGGCTGAAGAACATAAGTTTTGCACGCAGCACCCATGATGTCAGTAGATAGTCCTTTTCCGAGGAACAAGTACTCTGCCAGCTTTCTGTACTCAAATTTTCCTCGGCTCGCGGCTCACGGTCCACCAGGCCACCCCCGATGAATGGTGGCCTGGTAGGTTTGGTATGAATGGGGCTGGTGAACCGCACCTGGGTATGGCTGAAGAATGGACAGATATGGCAGAACTACCGCCTTGAACACCAATATGTTCAACATGTTCAACCCAAACATCACAATTTTTATGCAGCTTTCAGATGTTTGGGACTCCACATTCGTCCCAGGGTGATCATCCCTGATAGTTAAGCCAACCAGGGTCTTGGAGGATATAACTACATTCTCAATAAATCGGGAGCCATCTGAAGATGTTGTACTGTAACAATCAGAGATTCCCAACCACAAGCATCATCAAGCATCTATCTAGATACAGTTTTTGAAGATCTTGTAACAAAAACAACACCCGTGTTCTTCCCCTCACTTCCAACATCCCAAGGAGCGGAAGAGGTAGGTCACCTGTGGATCCGCTGGCGATCTCGGGGAATTCACCAAAGATGCCAGGGATGCCATGAAATGCCCGGTAAACTCACAGTTTGCTATTGAAAATTGGCCATTTACTTCTCTGGTTTACCTAAAAGTGGTGATTTGTCCATGGTTTTGCCATGTTTACTATGGGGAAATGGAGAAACCAACCATTCTGAGGTTTCAATGGCTTTTTTTTTGTTGGGGGAACAACTTAGACTGAAACCGTGGTTTTTACCCCCCAATAGATCGCGGTTTCCTGTAGAATGTCCCTTTATCCAGTTCTTGGATTGATTGATGGTTGAGCCACTCCCCAAGAAAATATGCTCATTGGGACCGTCATCCTAGGGTTGAACACAATAATGTCAACCCTGGATTAATAAACCATAGGGATCCATAGGGGGGTACTCCCAAAATAGTCATAATCTAATACTCAAATGATATCCACCCAATTAAACAGCCTAGGGCCTAGGGGTTTATTAATCCAGGGTTGACATTGCAGAAACAACCAACGATCTTGAGGGGCACTTGAACTCTGAATGGCTACCACATTACAATGGATTGGTTGAAAGCAAAATCTACAGAAACCATCTCTTTGTCATGAATTGTCCATTAAATAAATAAATATATATATATATTGATTTATTTATTTATTTGAACATGGGGCTTTCCTGTAAATTTTCCCTTAAACCAATCCATTGAACATGACACATATATACAGATCCCGTCCACCCCAACGGTTTTTTTCTGAACGTGGCTCCCAGCGCTGCGCGCTGCGCCTTGGGCTCACGGCCAGTTCGACCTTGCTGATCCACCACGTGGTCCTCCAGCTCCGGCTGATGCAAATGGCCACGTAGAAAGCCTTCCTCGCGCCTGAGGCGATAGTTATACTATGGGGATATATTCGGGATATAATCTCTAATTCTATATGGATATGTATATATATATATGGATATATACTTGGCGTATGAATCAACAGTCACACACACACATATATATATATATATTATATCTGATATTTTAATATATGTTAAAGAAAAAAACTTAAACTGCATTACAGTACTGTAACCGACATGTCTTCAAATCGGGTTATGGTGGCCGCCTGGTGGCCATTTGCATGGGGACAGGAGGTGCTTTTGGCTGGATCTATGGCTGGGGCAGGAACAGGCTAAATGCCATGGCAATGTAGAAACTACCAGTATTCCTCAACATCATGGTTCTAGTTAACATATGTTAACATCCCCGAAATATCCTCATATCTCTGTTTTTAGTTGGTTTGGTTGGTTTATACCCCCTATAGATGCTAAAATTTCCTTCGCTCCCGGCCAAGTTTCTTCCACTTTTTGCTTTTTTGTATCTCCTCGGACGGCACGGATCGATGCATCAAACATGATCAACCTGATCTGGAAGCAAAACACTGGGTGATGTCAACCCTAAAGACAGGTTGATCACAAAATGTGTTGGTACTGTGCAGTCGTATTTGCTTGCAACATCTTGGAACCTTGCAATTATATAGCACTTCTTTGCGCACCCTGATTGATCAACGAGGATTTTGTGAACCCTGGCTTTTTGTAGATTCAAACGTGGCGAGAGCAATGGCTTTTCTTCCAACCTCATCAAATAATATCAAATCATGTCTTCAGGCTTAAGTATCATGTGCTTTGGAAACTCTTAGTAGCTCCTTGGCTCCCCATCTGATTGGGAACTCCAAATCGCTCCCTCAAAAACCACCGGATGGTTAAACCATGTTAAACCATCGTGAAAAGATGGAAAAAAACAAAAACACCCAAGACTGCCGCAAAAGTTTCTACCTCTGACTCTTCCTCCTCATCGTCGTCCTCATCCTTCAATGGACCATCCTTTTTCCCTCGTCGCAACACGCGCTTGCCCACAACCAACTCGCCTTCCTGTAGCGGGGTCCATCGGCGACTGGCAACCCCACAACAATGGGTACTGGAACCTACCGAAGTTCTTGCTGCCAAAATGAGAGGTAAACTGCATACGGACATGTATTGCGGTAAGTATGAATATGGGTTTCTCTGAACATAGGTACCCCACTTCCAATGGCTTATCATATCTTATCATTTTTACTTATTAGGTTGGTCATTTTGGTGGCAAAACCATATTTTGTTTCAATGCAAACCATTCAGAACCATTCCATGGCGTGTTGGGAGAATGATTTCCTTATCGATAAGCCACCACGTGGGAGCTAGCTATGGGGTGCCCCTCTGAGGTGTCCAAGCCCCAAATGGGAATATGCGCAGCAAAAGTGCATCCCAAACTTTCTTATTGAGCAACAACAAATAAACATACATATCCAACTTATCCAACACACAATAACTATACATGTACTCCCCAAAAAATCGAAAACTGACTGCACTGAATCTCTGACCAGTGGCACCAACGGCCTTCTTCTTGGTCTTCCCTGCTCGGCTTCGGAATTGCCAACTGCCGTCATCCAGCCCAACCATCAAACCATTGCCATCCGGGCGCCAGGCAACACATGTACAGGGGCCTGTTTGCCTTAGAAACGCTGCGCCCCGCTGCGCCCGAAGTCGCAGGGGACAAACGTCTGTGTGGCAGAAGCGAAAACACAACTGCATTTCAAAAAAAGTTTAACGTGTGCCGTCAAATCTTGTTGTGCAGTGCTTTTCTTCCAGAGGAAGTAATTCCTCTCTGCCTCCTTGAATATTAAATCCCCCAACCGAAGCCACCTTTGCTTGATGGTTCAACCCATGCCACACCACCAATATTTGAATGGTTGACATGGGATGAACGCGCTAAAAATATCACTGCCATCCACGCTGAATCCACGCCACTTGTAGCTGCACAAGTGGGTAAAGTCCACAGAGTTGAAGACCTGGCAATTCCCACGATCAGGAAAGACATAACTTGGAGGGCACATTGCATGATACATGATTTGGACTGGCAACACATGGCAACACATGTGCAGTTTCGGGCATTTTGTTGGAATAAAACTTGGACAAAGCTGGGATAATCATTTACAGGATGATGTAAAAATATATATATATATATACACTTATTTATTGATTATATATATAAGAAGCACTCTTTTTGAGAAATGATACTTCTTAAAAAGGCGAAATGCGATAATCAATAATCATCATAATTTTGAACCACAATCATGATGGCACTACGTAGATGTTTTTTTCCCAAAATTGGCATAGCACCAATTATGGGCAATTAATACTCTCTCTCTCTCATTTATTGCTATAGTTCACCATTGGATTTTGGAACGATTGTTTTCCAGTACTTTGTCAGAAAAAACAAACATGTCAAATCAGATCAAACATGGTCACTTTGTTTTATAAACCCGAGTGAGCATTACTTGTCTTGTTGAGGTTTAACGTTTAATCATGTTTAATCAAATAATAACACATAGTTTGAACCCTAGTGAATATCCCTTATCTTGTTGAGATTAACTCGGATTAACCCTTCACCGTAACCCACCCATTTTTGTTTCGACCATTGCCATCTCCACAGAGCTCGCCGCCTTCACGAAGCCGTCGAAGGAGGCGCTGATCAAGGTGGCTGCCTTGTCGTCCAAGTCGAGGTCCATAATGACCTGGAAAAAACAATTGCCGGAAAACTCTGAGGAATTTGATGTTGACAAACAGAAATGACTAGGATCCCCATGGTCATCCAGATGTTGGTTTTTCATGGTTTTCCCCCCTGTTTTCATCGTTTCTTTATGTTTCTTTCCCCACAGACCCTCCAGAAAATTCACACTTCGACCCTGCCATTCGGCGAAGATGAGTTTCCACTCAAAACTTGCTAAATTCTCAGGGTCCTACAGTATTCATTTACCATCATTTACCCGTTTTTTCAAACCAGCTACGGCCATCATCTTCCATCAGCGCCCCCATCGCCATGGCCTTGGAATGGGCATCGTTCAGCTCCTGCAGCACCTTGCCGGTCATGGCCAGGTCCCACACCTTCACCGCGGTGCCGCCGCCGGAGGCGTACAACGCGGCGCCTGGGAAGGCGCAGCCGCACTCCACCGGGCTGCCGTGGTTCACCTGGAGAAGGACCGTTTTTTGGGCCAGGGAAGTGGAGATTCATGAGGGTTTATGGGGAATTGATGGTGGATTTACCAAGATTCAAGGTTATTTTTGGGGGGATTGATGAGGTTTTTTTTAGGGGGTTACCTTGTCGAAGCAAGACTTAAATGTGGAGATAGAAGTGTATGATGGTTGTAAGTGGGTACTTGAATGTGATTTGATGAGGAATCATCAAGGGTTAACCCACTAGAAAGGTGTTCATCATGGGATTTCCTTGAGGAATGATGGCATCATAGGGGATGCTTGGATCTTACTGGATCTTACTGGTGATATCATGGGCATTAAACCAACCATGTTGATCATGCGGGCTTAATGTGATAGGATTCATGGATATTTATGGATATTTGAGCAGTGATTATTCACGAAACTTGATGGATGATGACGATGAGGCAGTAAAGAGAATAGGATCAGGATTCATTTGACACTTGTGGAGGCTTAACCAACTAAAAGATTGGAATATCAGTATAACACAGCATAAATGTGATAAATGATATCAAATGATGGTTGAGTGGGTAATCTAATGTGAGTTTACGGGATCAAATCAATATCACATGTTGGGTGTGATGTTTTTTCTTCATACCCAGCCATGTTGTGGATACTGGGGTTTAATGGGATATAATACATATATATGTGTGTGTGCATGTGTGTCTAATGATTATGTCATAATGTCTTGAAAGGCACAGGATTCATGTGATGAAATTTTAAGCAACCAACTTGGGGAGTTTCACTGAGATACAACGGATATTCAACCAACACTCTGATATTTGGATGATGAAGTGGTGAAGGGAATGATTTGGATCCACTCTAATGAGAAAAATGATGATGAAGTCTGGGATTTTGGTGTGGCCGTCACGGGAAACAACATGAAATAACCAACAATCATCAGCTTAATGCGCATCCACCATCTCTTCATATCTCTTCCACCCCCCCAGGTCAACCAGGCTGCAGCGATGGCCGGTTTGTCGGGTTTACTCCTCTCATCCCAGAGCTTCACCATCTGATCATGCCCTGCAGTGATCCAGCTTCCAGCGCCCACAGGGCCGACGGCGCAGCACTTCAGGCAGTCCTCAAATCGCACCAGCTGTGCGCAGCGAAAACGCGGCAAGGAACTCTGACGTTTCATTCAACTGGACTATTTATCAATGGGAATTTCAGGATCCTAAAATGGAGGTACCTACATGTACCTACCATATATAAGGCCTATACAAGGCCTATGTAAGTGAATATCACCACAAAATATGGTATACCTGGTATTATATGGTACAGTACCTTCATTTTAGGATCCTGGAATTCCCATTGAATTTAGTTCAACGGACATCGTGTTGTCACAACCAACACTCCAAAAAAACAGGTGACCCCCCAAAAATAACAGCATGCGAAAAACACAATGGAGAAACAACCACTAATGGCTGGGCTGTTATTGGTCCAATCCCCATGAACTCACATTGGATTGCCCACTCAGACATCATTTGATGTCACTGATGTATTCATTTATCACTTGTATCAGTTATATTCCCATATGATCCCCATATGATCCCCATATGATCCACATATTTTCGTTGATTAAACCACCAGCTGCCACCAGACTTTTGCACGGCCAAGGCTCATCGTGTGCCTCCATGGTGCTTAACAACTCAGAGGTCGCTACGTCCCAGAGCCGTAGCTTGCCGTCTTTGCAGCCCGTAGCGCAGCCTGGGCCGCGAAGAAGTGGTAAAAAAAAATGCAGGGAAAAACATGGGAGGATCATCCACTTAGAATGGAATATTCGCATATTTTATCCATGATTTTAACAAGCAAACAATTGTGATCAAAGGGGATTTAACCAGTAGACATGGTGATTTAAGCAGCAAACACGATGATTCGGCAAGCAACGATGGCATACGATGGCGATTTACCCTCTTGTAATCTTGGATAGCTATGGGAAATTTACCAATTTGATCCAATTTGTAGATGATTGACTGATCTACTAAACATTGCGATTTTCCAATATTTTCCATAGCTATGTTAGTTTACTGGAGGGGACTTGGATGCGCGTCCCAGCAAGTGGGTAATACAATGTATTGAAAGTGACGGTGGCCGAATTCAACCGATGAGATAATGTCTTTTGACCCTTGCTCATATGACTCTGATTAACAGCATGTTAACAGCAATACATAGTATTTCGGGTAATTACTTGGTTTGTAGCTTATCAATTACTTGGGTTAGTTGGTCATCTTTTTTCGGGGGGTAAACATGAGGCATTGCCATTTCCCTTCATAGGAAAACGGGTCGAAATTAGACTTGTTCATAGGAAACTTACAATCTTCAGAAAATCACATAGAATATCTAAATTTACTAACTATACCATCATTTTCTGGAAGAACACCATACTATGATGTGGGACATGTTCTTTGCCAATCTTCGCCATCTAGTGGGTGGATTCCCTGAAGTCCCACGGAACACACATCAATTTTATGTATGTTCCTTTCAATCATAATTCATGTCGTTTCAGATTGGTTTCATCCCACCCATCCAGTCGATTACATCAGTCAACTAAACAAAGAATCACGCACAATTATCGATTGTCTTTAGATTGCTTGATTGCATTCATTCCTCTCAGGGTTTTTCAGTCTCTTCAATCCAACTTGCCTTCCAGACATCAACATGGCCGGAAAAATCCATCTACCTCCCATGATTTTCCAAAAAATCCTAAAATATACGTAAATGTTGCATGATTCTGCCCATTCTCCATCCATTTTTCATATTTTTCATATCTTTCATTGATGAGTTCCCCATGCCCAGCTCCACCTGAGCCCCCCCCCGGGTTCGTCTCCGGGTCCACGCAACGGCTCTTCTCCGTCTCCGCGTAGGCCGCGCATGTCACGGCATCGCCATGGCCCCGCAGCCGCCGGAGGATAGTGTTCTTCTCCACCTCGATGACCGCCTCGGTGTCCGGTGACCCTCGGTGACCCAGCCACGTTTCAAAGAGTGATTGGGATGATCATCAGGATAATAACTATAGGATGATCAGGATGACAATGACTGATGGTAGAGCCTACCCCTCTGAAAAATATTGGTTGGGATTATTAATTCCCAATATATGGAAAAATAAAACATGTTCCAAACCACCAACCAGATCCAACCAGTATGTAATGTGGGTAAAACAATGCCATAAACCATCCCCCAGTCATAACCATTTTATTAAAGGTGGGATCCAAACCATTCCCAAATGGGTGGTTTATGACATTGTTTTAACCACATTGTGTACATTCATATATATTAGATATTATATAGATATTATATAGATATAATATAGATACTAGTACTGTAATATAGATAGATAATGATAGATATAGAATTATATATCCAACTAGGCTAACCAACTATAGAGTTTATGGTAAATATATCGCACTGGGCTAACCAGGTTTTAACGAGCGTTTTACATGTTACAAACCAACAGTACAAATTCGTGGTTCTTCGACACCTGGAACATATGCTGGTGGAAACCATCATCTTATTTGGTTGAAATCCCATGTGGAGATTTAATGCCAAACTTTTTATGGGGTCTTTTTTACTTGGCTTTCTCTCTGATATCTGCGTTTTGTGATACATGTGTAATTATTAAATAAATCTTCAAAGAAATATAGGAACAGTGCAACCAGGGTGGCAGTTCGATGGTGTTTCACCTTATATATTTCCAAGTTTCCATAACTTTTCTATCTTTTTCGTCGATTCTGTAGATGATATTTACCTCACACGTCCAGGTTTCCAACTTTTCTACCGGAGATGTCTCCGAGCGTCACAGGATCCACTGGCTTCTCCCACCAAGAGCAGCTTACCATCCGAGCGCCAGGAGGCGCAAAGGGTCACGTCCTCCAAAGGTGGGGCTGTGGGGATTGAGTCCGAACAACAATGGCATCTCTATGCAGTTATGGCCCGAAATACCAGTTGTAAGTACTTGTAACCCCATTTCTGGAATGTATAACTTCATTAATATAACCTATTATTGGTAAACGACCATCACTGTGGGGTGTAGCGATATGGGGATTAAAATGGATAATCATGGGATCATTTATGCTTTTTTTATGCGTTGGAGTTACAGGAAAATCACCTGGTAATGTATATAGATAATGTAGGGAGGTTTTTCAGTGGAGGTTTATCGGGTTTCATAGTGATCGGTTGTCTAGTGATACAGTAGCGGGAATGCATGCTACAATATGCTATAATGGCACATGGGGTCATGGTCATCATAATTATAATTACCCCCTGGTAAACTAACATATATAGCTATGGAAAATCACCTATTCATAGGTAATCAACGAACTAAATGGGCCATGTTCAACGGCGAGTCCTGTTAGTCATGAATTTCGGGTGATCGCATCCCCTGGGACTCACGAATCAAGAAATGGTACCTGAACGGAAAACAAACTCCTAGTGAAACATCATAAGTCAGACAGTGACTTCGTTTGCAACCCGGTCAACACCCAAACATCATATCCCCTAAAATATCCCATTGTTTGATGGTTAAATCATGTTGCTGTAAATCACTTATAATCCCTTCACACCCTTCACATGTTGCCTTCCGTCACGCCTTGAATTTGGTCAAGGATTTGCCCTCCTCCAAAGCGCCCTCCTTCAGTGCAGCTGGCTGCCAAATCCCCACCTGGACAACATGGTGATTCTGTGGGGCTCATTGGAATTGATATCATAGAAACCCCTATTCAACCCTATTCCATATGAGAAGTGAGAATGGGAATATTCGGAATAGGGATCCCATAAATGTGGGGTCCCGAACAACAAATCCATGGATTTCAACCTGCAAAACAACATGGTTCAGCTATTTTTGCTATATATTGTCTCATGTTTGTCTCCTCCTGAGGTAGATCAAATGTCTCAAAAGAATTCTGACTTGTGACATCTTGTGACACTTTTCATGCACTAGTGATGGTCCAACTTCATATTCTATCAACCTCCTGGGAAAGGTTTCAAGGGAGCCTTGGAAAGCATCCCATCCAACAACTCAGGGTCACCATGTTCCATCATTCTTCCAGGATGCTTCTGAAAAAAACGGGGTGGCATTACATCAATCTAGATCATTTGCAACAGTTCCCAAGCCCAAAGCCAAGTCAAGGCCTTCCGCTTGGGAGAATTCATCAAGATTTACCTATCCTTCGATAATTATTTAGATATGGCAATGGACACCTCAACATGGAAAAAAAATGATTGGTGGGGCACTAAATCCAAAATGATGAATCGTCCAGTAAGTCAGCAAGCCATGTTTGATTGGAGGGTAATTCCAAACATCCTATGCAGCGGCTTGGGTCGCAGCCCACCTTTGTACCACTCACCACCGCCAGTCTATACGGTGCCACTGGGCTGAAACTAGCACTGGTGATGCGGCTGTGCTCCTGGCCGAATGGGCTGGTGAACCTCCAATGAATGGGACTATCACTATATATCACTATATAAATGGCGTACATAAACAATACCCATCTGGCCATTTTTTTATCCAACATAGCTATGGAAAAAATCAATGAACATCACCCATTTAGAATTGATGATTTTCCCATTGGAACCACCAAGCATAGGAGATTTTCTGTAGCTATGATAAGTTACCAGAGGGTATACCTAATTTTGCTTCTTAGGCCACTCCCGCCAGAGTTCCATACCACCAACGCAAATCTATTACTATTATTACTACTATTACAATTCAATTAATAGAAACACAAACATACCAAGAGATGCAAAAAACATGTATCTGACGTGGGAATTGTTCAATTAAATTGCAGGGCTATGAGACATAAGTGCTCAAGCTTATCTCAGGGCCTCTCCTTGGCTTATGGCTATGAGCTTTCCAATGAATCTTCCAACACATTCATTTTGGGTGTCCCAAAATTAGAGTACCCTCTGGTGAACTAACATAGCAATGGAAAATGGCCATTTATAGTGGATTTTCCCATGAAAAATGGTGATTTTCCATTGCTATGTTAGTTCACCAGAGGGTATTCCCAAATTCGATGTCTGTCGCACGTTCCCCGCAGCTGTCCCAGGATGCCCCAAGCAACATATATATATGGGTCATACCGCACTTTCAAACACCCACATATGAAATGGCCAGCTAATTAAAATATATCCCCATTAGTCATTAAACTAATAGACTATATACATATATATATATGTATATCCTATTTTATCTCCATTGTTCTCCATTTTCTCACTATTCTACCCCCATGATTGTTGCTTTTTCCCCAGATCTAGCCAAAAAAAACCAAAGATATGACCCTGTGATTTTTCCCCGGCCTTGCGCGTGAAGCTTGGCTTCAACTCTTTCAATGCCTTGGTTTCTGGCACCAAATCTTCGAAGCGTTTGGCTCTCAGCAAGGGGCGCACTTCCAGGGGTTCCCCCATGGCGCCGAGCTAAGCCATGCTAAGCCATGCTAAGCCATACGAGCAACCGAGCTGCGGAGATGATGAGGAATCCCAGGAAGGTTGGCTATTCAAAAGCAGCAAAGCTGGTGATTTAATTTGGCTCCAATGAGATTTAGTTGGCTAAGTTGGTTTATAACTGGCTAAATGCTATATGGTATAATGGCGTGTATTGCAGTATCTATAATTAATAATTATATAATGGGATTCATTAACCAACTTATACCTGGGCGGCACCCTACCCTACCTTATACGTACCCTTCAGGTACCGGTTGAAACAATACTCTGAGAATGTGAAGTGCCAAGCCTAACACAATTTGAAGGCCTTGAAAGCTGCTCAAATGGACATACCAGATTGAAACATGAACGACCTTGTACAAGCCCTGGTCGTTTTATGCCTCCAAAAAATCAACGACCAAAGAGTCGCCCGTCGTGATATCGTGGGGCGTAGGATGCAATGGCGGTGATATCTCCATGTTGCTTTTCTCCAACAAAATGTGCTGGAAAAAAAACAGCAGAAAACAATAGAAAACATGCATAACTTGAACATGTTCTCCATTTTTCACCCTGAACCCCGAGACATTTTTCTCAACTGTCATCAACTGTCTGGGTGAAACACATCATTTTGATTCATTTTCCCATCCACCACCCATACACCACATCGAACAAAAAGTCGCCTTGACCTACCGGGCCCGGTGACACGGCGGCCCGTTTCTCTGTTAACTGCTTGAATTCACCAGCTGCGGGATCTCGGTTTGATCATCTTAGGAGTGACCCCCCCAAAAAAAAACACAGTTGAACTGGAAAAAATAGAAAGTTTATGGCTATAGAATCCATCCAAATGATTCTTGGCCTGTGTGTCTTCAAAAGTAAATCTTGTGATGAGTCCGGCAGATATCCTCCCATCCAAAGACTAGTCTACAGTTTCTGAATCTGAGTGCGCCAACTGCGCATGGATTGGTTTCCCATTTATGACAGGGACCTGCTGCATGGTGCAGCACAAACAATCTGGGATCTCATCAAATGCGGTGTGTCTCAAAGAACCTCGATGAAGAGTGTTGGACTACAGATCCTGTTGTGGCTTCAGGAGTGCATCTTATGCAGCCAACAGCTTGGACCAAGTTATTTGATGGTTGCAGCCCCCAGAAAAGCCGAGCCGGTCACCTGTCGCCCGTGGAGTTTCGATGAACAACAGCATTTTGCCGGGGTATCCTGGGGTATCCTGCGGTGGCCTATGGGATCCGAAACTATCTATCATGATCTTCTATGGGATCCCTAAAACCCATAGGATCCATGTATGCTATATATGGTAACATTTACCATCAATATACCCCAAATGTTAGCATATATACCATACATGGATCCTATGGGAAATGATCTTCTATCCGAAACTCCTGGCCTATGAACTATCTATAATCTATCTATCATGATCTTCTCTTCTTCTATCCCTATCTCTATCTATCTAGAATCCTTCTGGCCACCAACACCGCCGCTTCGCCACCGCGCAGTGGACACCATCTGCAGAAGCTTGGGAACGTGCTCCTGGCAAGGCAGGAATGAGAAGGAATGATCACATGATCCGTGTCTAGTAGATCTACCATTTTTTGCCAAACTTAGGGGATACTTATACTTTACGTCACCCATGTTATAAAACCGGTGACCGGTGTTTTTGAGGGGTTTTACCAATAAGTGGATTGCTCAAAATTAGGTGCCCCTCAAAGGAATTTAGGTGAGAGTAAATTTTACCCATCAAGTACAGTGTTTTTGACACAAAAGAAAAGTCCAGAAATACTTGATAGATTTGATTGGATTGGGTCATATTCCCGTGTTCTGCTGGTTGGTATGAAGCTAAATTTATTAATGCACGTGTTATTTTATGGTAAATATATCACCCTCCCCAGGGGTTTTGTACACCACCCCCCCCCTTCATACATTTTTTGCAATGTATGAACATAGGGGGGGACACCGTCGATTTTTTAACATCAATTCACATATTGCATGTGAAAAGTATGAGGTTCCCCCATGGGCTTCATACATTAACTCAATAATGTATGAAACCTAGGGGGAGATGCCCCAGCCATCTGCTATTCATTTTTCTATAATGTATGAAAGTAGGGGGGGAGGGTGTTGTTTTGGTGGCATGGACTGATACCTTAAAATGTATGAAACCTAGGGGGGACACCGTTGATTTCTTCAAGCAGAAATCATGGGAACGACTTTTCAAATAACATGCAACGTCATACAACTTCCATCAACTTCCACCAGAGTACATTGGATGTATGAATGATTGGTTTGACAGGCTCACCCATCATTGGAATACATTCTATACGTGTTTGGCTGAGGTACGCACAAAACCCAATATGCTCTATTTATGTCCTGGCATACCCGAAATGCCACTTATCTGTAATCAGAAAAAGGGTCAAAACTGTATGAATAAGGAGGGTGACAGGCTCACCCCTCCTTAGAATACATGTCTGGGCTCGATATGGTTAGACTTTAGGCATGGTTGGATATGGTTGGATATGGTTTGATATGGTTGGACACACACAAAATCGAATCAAAGCCTTTTGTATGTCCTTGTATACAAACAAATACTACCTTACAGATTTTTTTGGATCAAAGGAAAAAGAAAGTTCGAAAATGTATGAATGGGGGGGGGACAGGCTCACCCCTCCTTGGAATAAATTTCTGGGCTAATTATGATTGGATGTGGTACTGGTTAGATTTGGTTGGGTACACACAAAATTCTGTTCATTTGCCCTTGCATTATTACACCAGCTTCAACAGAGAAAGTTGATTCTAGCAAAAAATGAAACACATAAAAAACAAAAACACAATCAAAACACAGAATCGCCAAAAACAACCCGACAAGATTCACCAGAAAAAAATACAACAAAATCAGAAAAAACAAAAGCCACAAAAACAATCTTGACAAGTTTTGATTATTTTGTGTTTTCCTAGTTTGTTTTTTTCTGTGTGCTCTGGTTGTGTATTGTTTAAACCGCTATATTCTTTATGCTGTTCGGCTCAAAAGCCTGGTATACAAAAAGGATCAAAACAAACTTCTTACAGTAATTTTTGGCTCGAGAGAAAAAGAAGAGTCAAAAATGTATGAAAGGAAGGGGGGACAGGCCTACCCCTCCTTAGAATACATTTTCTGAATTTCTGGGTTCGATATGATTAGACTTTAGACATGGTTGGACCTATGGTTGGATATGGTTGGATATACACCATCATACACCATCCAATCAAATCCTTTTGTATGTCCTTGTATACAAACAAATACTATCTTACATATTTTTTTGGATCAAAGGAAAAAGAAAGTTCGAAAATGTATGAATGGGGGGGGGACAGGCTCACCCCTCCTTGGAATACATTTCTGGGTTAATTATGATTGGATGTGGTCCTGCTTAGATTTGGTTGGATACACACAAAATTCTGTTCATTTGCCCTTGTAGTCTGACACCGGCTTCAACAGAGAAAGTTGATTCTAGCAAAAAATGAAACACATAAAAAACAAAAACACAATCAAAACACAGAATCGCCAAAAACAACCCGACAAGATTCACCAGAAAAAAACACAACAAAATCAAAAAACAAAAGCCACAAAAACAATCTTGACAAGTTTTGATTATTTTTGTTTTCCTAGTTTGTTTTTTTCTGTGTGCTCTGGTTGTGTATTGTTTAAACCGCTATACTCTTTATGCTGTTCGGCTCAAAAGCCTGGTATACAAAAAGGATCAAAACAAACTCCTTACAGTAATTTTTGGCTCGAGAGAAAAAGAAGAGTCAAAAATGTATGAAAGGAAGGGGGGACAGGCCCACCCCTCCTTAGAATACATTTTCTGAATTTCTGGGTTCGATATGAATAGACTTTAGACATGGTTGGACCTATGGTTGGATATGGTTGGATACACACACCATCCAATCAAAGCCTTTTGTATGTCCTTGTATACAAACAAATACTATCTTACATATTTTTTTGGATCAAAGGAAAAAGAAAGTTCGAAAATGTATGAATGGGGGGGGGGACAGGCTCACCCCTCCTTGGAATACATTTCTGGGTTAATTATGATTGGATGTGGTCCTGGTTAGATTTGGTTGGATACACACAAAATTCTGTTCATTTGCCCTTGTAGTCTGACACCGGCTTCAACAGAGAAAGTTGATTCTAGCAAAAAATGAAACACATAAAAAACAAAAACACAATCAAAACACAGAATCGCCAAAAACAACCCGACAAGATTCACCAGAAAAAAACACAACAAAATCAAAAAAACAAAAGCCACAAAAACAATCTTGACAAGTTTTGATTATTTTGTGTTTTCCTAGTTTGTTTTTTTCTGTGTGCTCTGGTTGTGTATTGTTTAAACCGCTATATTCTTTATGCTGTTCGGCTCAAAAGCCTGGTATACAAAAAGGATCAAAACAAACTCCTTACAGTAATTTTTGGCTCGAGAGAAAAAGAAGAGTCAAAAATGTATGAAAGGAAGGGGGGACAGGCCCACCCCTCCTTAGAATACATTTTCTGAATTTCTGGGTTCGATATGATTAGACTTTAGACATGGTTGGACCTATGGTTGGATATGGTTGGATACACACACCATCCAATCAAATCCTTTTGTATGTCCTTGTATACAAACAAATACTATCTTACATATTTTTTTGGATCAAAGGAAAAAGAAAGTTCGAAAATGTATGAATGGGGGGGGGGACAGGCTCACCCCTCCTTGGAATACATTTCTGGGTTAATCATGATTGGATGTGGTCCTGGTTAGATTTGGTTGGATACACACAAAATTCTGTTCATTTGCCCTTGTAGTCTGACACCGGCTTCAACAGAGAAAGTTGATTCTAGCAAAAAATGAAACACATAAAAAACAAAAACACAATCAAAACACAGAATCGCCAAAAACAACCCGACAAGATTCACCAGAAAAAACACAACAAAATCAAAAAACAAAAGCCACAAAAACAATCTTGACAAGTTTTGATTATTTTGTGTTTTCCTAGTTTGTTTTTTTCTGTGTGCTCTGGTTTTGTATTTTTTAAACCGCTATATTCTTTATGCTGTTCGGCTCAAAAGCCTGGTATACAAAAAGGATCAAAACAAACTCCTTACAGTAATTTTTGGCTCGAGAGAAAAAGAAGAGTCAAACATGTATGAAAGGAAGGGGGGACAGGCCCACCCCTCCTTAGAATACATTTTCTGAATTTCTGGGTTGGACCTATGGTTGGATATGGTTGGATACACACACCATCCAATCAAATCCTTTTGTATGTCCTTGTATACAAACAAATACTATCTTACATATTTTTTGGATCAAAGGAAAAAGAAAGTTCGAAAATGTATGAATGGGGGGGGGACAGGCTCACCCCTCCTTGGAATACATTTCTGGGTTAATTATGATTGGATGTGGTCCTGGTTAGATTTGGTTGGATACACACAAAATTCTGTTCATTTGCCCTTGTAGTCTGACACCGGCTTCAACAGAGAAAGTTGATTCTAGCAAAAAATGAAACACATAAAAAACAAAAACACAATCAAAACACAGAATCGCCAAAAACAACCCGACAAGATTCACCGGAAAAAAATACAACAAAATCAGAAAAAACAAAAGCCACAAAAACAATCTTGACTAGTTTTGATTATTTTGTGTTAACCTAGTTTGTCTTTTTCTGTGTGCTCTGGTTGTGTATTTTTTAAACCGCTATATTCTTTCTCAAAAGCCTGGTATACAAAAAGGATCAAAACAAACTCCTTACAGTAATTTTTGGCTCGAGAGAAAAAGAAGAGTCAAAAAATGTATGAAAGGAAGGGGGGACAGGCCCACCCCTCCTTAGAATACATTTTCTGAATTTCTGGGTTCGATATGATTAGACTTTAGACATGGTTGGACCTATGGTTGGATATGGTTGGATACACACACCATCCAATCAAATCCTTTTGTATGTCCTTGTATACAAACAAATACTATCTTACATTTTTTTTGGATCAAAGGCAAAAGATCGAAAATGTATGAATGGGGGGGGGGGAAAGGCTCACCCCTCCTTGGAATACATTTCTGGGTTAATCATGATTGGATGTGGTCCTGGTTAGATTTGGTTGGATACACACAAAATTCTGTTCATTTGCCCTTGTAGTCTGACACCGGCTTCAACAGAGAAAGTTGATTCTAGCAAAAAATGAAACACATAAAAAACAAAAACACAATCAGAACACAGAATCGCCAAAAACAACCCGACAAGATTCACCAGAAAAAACACAAAAACAAAAAACAAAAGCCACAAAAACAATCTTGACAAGTTTTGATTATTTTGTGTTTTCCTAGTTTGTTTTTTTTCTGTGTGCTCTGGTTGTGTATTTTTTAAACCGCTATATTCTTTATGCTGTTCGGCTCAAAAGCCTGGTATACAAAAAGGATCAAAACAAACTCTTACAGTAATTTTTGGCTCGAGAGAAAAAGAAGAGTCAAAAATGTATGAAAGGAAGGGGGGACAGGCCCACCCCTCCTTAGAATACATTTTCTGAATTTCTGGGTTCGATATGATTAGACTTTAGACATGGTTGGACCTATGGTTGGATATGGTTGGATACACACACCATCCAATCAAATCCTTTTGTATGTCCTTGTATACAAACAAATACTATCTTACATATTTTTTTGGATCAAAGGAAAAAGAAAGTTCGAAAATGTATGAATGGGGGGGGGACAGGCTCACCCCTCCTTGGAATACATTTCTGGGTTAATCATGATTGGATGTGGTCCTGGTTGGATTTGGTTGGATACACACACAATTCTGTTCATTTGCCCTTGTAGTCTGACACCGGCTTCAACAGAGAAAGTTGATTCTAGCAAAAAATGAAACACATAAAAAACAAAAACACAATCAAAACACAGAATCGCCAAAAACAACCCGACAAGATTCACCAGAAAAAACAACAAAACAAAAAAAAAAAAACACAAAAACGGCAAAAAAAACAATCAAAACCTGGAGTTTGACAAGTGTTGATTATTTTGTGTTTTCCTAGTTTGTTTTTTCTGTGTGCTCTGGTTTTGTATGTCTTAAACCCTGTATTCTTTATGCTGTTCGGCTCTTTCGGCTCAACAAGCGAGGGGTGTGGCCAAAAAAGGCTTTCGGAAGAACGGCGACCGGCAAATTAAACATGTTCTTTTTTTCAGTTCAGCAACTTGGGTGTCTAGAAAACATGAAAAGTATAAAACTAAGGGGGCAGTGAATTCCAGCTGACCTATGAATATCCAAAATAGACACACGCACGTAAAATGTATAAACCGGGGGGCTCATGGAACACTGAGGAATCCTGGGGATGCCCACGGAATGGTTGGCCAACACGTACGTAAAAAGTATAAAGGCTCAGGGGTTTAAAACCCCTAGGAACCCCAGGAATTCCAAAACCTCTGCAACATGTATCAAACTGGGGGGGGTGGTTCGAACTGCCTTTGTCCCCCCCATCCATTTTCCCCCCCCCCCCCCCGCGAACGCTACGTGGTGTATAATTTTTTTCCCTGGGGAACCCTAGGAAGAAACACGTAAAAAGTACATTTTTGGCAGCGTACACCCCCCCTCTATTGTACTTTTTTAGGGGGTGGGTGATGTAAATATACACCACACATGGACATGTTGCTGGTAGAGGCTGGTCAATGTCGGATCAATTCCCCTATCAGCAAGCAACATGTTTCCCCAAATGGCCAACAATGAATTTAAGATATATGTAATTTCATTTCGGCTACAATACTAGTAAATGATGATACTGAATTACATGGTACCTTCCACATCCCTGCATCATTCATCAACTGAGGGTGTACCACACCAGGGTTGGTCATTCCCATAGTTGACATGGCCAACCCCAGATACTCTGCAAAAGCTGATAAACTGTTCCCTCCTTAGGCCAATAGTCAATATATTCATATTGGTATCAAAAGATCAAAGTAGTAGTCCACTCTTCATCACGCCTTGTTTCCCCATCTATGTTATGACAACTTCGCGATATAGTGTGGGCTCAACCACCGTTTTTATCGAAGGTTTAGCCAGTTCATATGGTTCAATGGGTATTGGTGTAAGGGAACATTTACAGGACACCCTTTATTTCATAGAAAATTTAATGGTTGAAGTTTCTGGCAGATTTTCCCTAAAACCAAGCCCATTGATTTGTTGCTTCAAAGCATGTGAACTCCCGTCAAAATCCTTTACATCTCAGCCATTGCTATTATCATGGTTGCCGCTTTTTGGAGGGGGGCATATCGCTTTACAGTGTTTCGTGCACATCTGACAAAAGTGCTTCTGCAGTACTACAGTGGTCTTCAACCATTTTGACCGTGACTCAGTGTTGTTGGTTTTCCTGTAATCCCAGTTATTAACATCCCAATTAAATTGCCATATCATCCATTGATTGTTTATTAGAATCATGGACTATGTAAGTAACTAAGAGTACCAGTAACGTAACTAACCAATGTTATTGCCGTATAATTTATCATATAATCCTAGATATTTATCCATTAATAATCCTAATGTCAATGTCCCACATCCAACTCTCCCACCATTGATACCGCCTCCAAGAGTTGCTTAGAACACCGCAGGGACTCCCCCTCGTGGCTGAAGACATACCTGGTATCACCGGACAGGATGTGGTCGCTATAGCGTCGTCATTTCACCGATTTAACTGGTAAAAAATACATAAAAATACGGATCACACGGGTTTCACCAACCATGATTTGGATTTAACCAACCAGAAAAAAATAATGGATTTAGGCAGTTTTTACATGATCTTCAATGGATCGGCTTAAGGGGAACAACCTACAGGAAACCATGGTTCTTACACCCAAATCCGAAGTTCCGATTTCAATTTGGTGAATTTTTGCACCATCGATTTCTGAGAGCCAGGTTATGCCAGGTTTTGGATGAATGTGGATGGGTTATTCCATGATCCCAAAAAACTCGTTGGGTCGTTGGGTCAGGTTTTCTTCTGCCGATTTTGGGACTGCATTGGGCTCTTCAGTTTCCAGTTTATTATGTGACGTTCATCGATGTTCATCATCCCTTGCTAAACAGCGGCGCCAGCGTAGTCTCAATGGACAGCAATCCCAACCTTGGATTTACATCACCTTTACCAATCACAGACATAAATACAATAATTAAAACTACATAAACCAGTAACATGGTCCCATAAAAAAACGATGCATGGCTACTAAGGCTACATAGCTGCTACAGCCTCAGGCGTAAAGAGCTGACACGTTCTGATCAACTAAGCCGCCCCACTCATGGTCACCTGGCAGAGGGATGGTTGTCCCAAGTTTGCATTCCTTGTGTCTTCGGGCTGAAACGTAGCTATCTAGTTTTAGTCAGGCATGACGATACTTCACACAGTGAGTCATCATCAAATAGTAAATCACTTATAGCATCTTGTAACCAAAAGAAACCCAGGCAAACAAACAAAAAAAGAACACACCCCATCTTACATATATATATATATATATTACATATATGCATTCTCACATCTATTCCCCTCAGGTTGGACCCTATCTTCGCTTTCCATCTGTTTTTTTCGCATGTCAAAAGCGGTCCTTCTCCCTGCTGCTCCGGCAGGCGCAAAGCTTGAAATTCGAGGCCTCGACAGCAAGGAACCCATGGCGCCTGGGTGTTAGATGATCATGTGGATTGGGTCATATAATGGTTGTATAATGGTTACAAGTATATAGTTATATAATTAATATATATATATATAATGTATAGATTACAACATATAATGGTTATAGATTAGGCTTGGGGTGGTTTAACCATGATCATATCGAAATCCAGGATGATTTAGTTTGGATCAAACGTGAGGAGGTACTGATGACCATTGGATTGGTTTCAGGAACAACACACAGGAAACACATTGGTCTTGACCGAGTAAATACAATTGTTTCCGGATATGTTTTATTTTAATGTCCAAATTCGTGAGGTTGCAAGATCATTTCTTTCGCGATGAGTTTCAGAAGGTCTATCAGTCTATCATCCAAAATCTTGGAATCTTGATACAGGCCGCAAGAATGAGGGATACAACCAGCATGGGGATCTAACTTCTCAACGAAATGTCGGACCATAAACATTCCAATGATATCCCGAAACCATCAACAAAGAAGGGACCTGGTATATTTTCCCACATTTTTTTCCCAATTGCGGGGTGATTTTCAGGCATCTCTCCAGGTAAATTATGGCATTTATTTCCTGTGATCATAGGATCATTTGATCCACCTGGATCCACCTGGAATCGAAGAATGATGGGTTTGGGTAGCATCTCCACTCCTCTGCATTTTCTCCGAGGACATGAGCAGTCGGGCCAGTGGATATTCCTCCAGTAGTGTCCATATTCACAGATACAGTTTGCATGAAACCAGGAAATTTGCTGGTTTATCATCCAATGTTTGCAGACTGCTGGTATCTGCTGGTTACATTCCAGCGTGCCCTCATTCTATATATAGCCATTCTTAGTTGAATCAGATATCACCATGGTTAAAATCCCACTCTATCCAACATAAATTAGGAAGAACAAATTAAAAACCCTTTTTATGTTTATAGTTAAATCAGTTCAAGTCCCGTTAAATCCCATGAAATTCACCATTTCTCCTACAGGATGGTACCCCCAAGATAGCTAAGTTGGTTTATAGACCCCATTAACATCCATTAACTATAGTCGAATCTACCGCAAACCATAGTTAAACCACTTATAAGGCCACTTATAAGGCAACTTGGCACGGCGTGGCTCGGGACCCAGCTGATGGCGGCATCCAACTGAGCTGTACCGCTAAAGCTTTGCCTCGGAAGGGGCAAACGAATGGATGACATAGCAAACATGGGGGCATCAATGACATGTAATGTGGGTAAAACAATGCCATAAACCACCCATGACTGGGATTTTGTTTAATACCACCTATAAAAATGGTGATGACTGGGGGATGGTGCAAATGGCATTGTTTTACCCACACTATAGGCGTGATTTCAACCCAAAAAATTGGGATTTAACCAACAAAGATAGGGTTGAAACATGTTGAAACAACATGTCACCAACAAAGGGATTAACAACTGGAAATTTCACCAATTGTTATGGATTGTAACCAAGGAAAATGTGGACTTAACCAACTTAACCAACCCAAATAGGGATATAAGATGATATAAGAATCAATTTGTATAGCTTAACGGCTTAACGTGTTATATGTGTCTAGATATATTATATAGTATTAAATCTGATATGTGTATGGCCTTACTTAACTTTAAAAACAAAACACAGAACTGAACGTATGTTATTTCGATTTGCATGGATTTAACGATAACAGCATGAGATTTATATGAATACAAATTAACAAACAAATATGGGGCTTTGACATTCAAAAATATTGATTTAGCCAACACATGTACACACACACATATATATATATATACACATATGTATATATATATATATGAATCATTAATATGTATGAATATGTGTGTGTGCTTCTATATGAGGCTCATATTATGTGATTTCTATGGGATTGACATGGGATTGACAGGGGGTTCACCATGACTAATGGTGATCCAAAGTAATGAATAATAGTAACATCAAGGTATGAACCAACAACAATTGGGATTACTGGGGGTATATATAGAGGATATATAATGGGATATATAAATAAGAATATCCCCTACTTGCCAAAACTTGTTTATGCAGATATAGCGGACTAATTAGTAAATGCGGTGCACATTAACTTTGTTAATTTCGCAACAAACAACTGTATTTTACTGCTGGTTCATCTCCCACTTTTGATGGATAAATCATGTTAAATCCGTCATGGTGTGCCATTCAGAATTAACAGTCTAACTCTTGGTGAAGAATGGAGAAATACTAGAACTACATCAGTTTTCGTATAGCTTAACTATCCCTAGTCCTCCAAATACCCTCTGAGAAGGTGTTCAGACCCCAAAAAATAACTCCAAATACAGTCTCCAAAGGTGTTTTTCGAAAATAATCCCTAAAATCATCCCCAAATCATCCCTAAAAGAGTAGGGTTTTCCATTATAAACCATCCATTTTGGACAATTGGCCCCATTTCACGAAACCCCCAAAGCACTCTCCGGATTGAATTCAAGGAGCCCATCGGCCGCCAGGGTCGCCCGAAACTTTCCGTGTCCATCCTGGAGGCTTTAAAAAACATCCCTTTTAAAGAGACTTTCAATGGCTGGAATTAAAACATATGGAAAATTCATGAAAAAATACGATATGATTCTATAATGAAATATAATGAACATATGAAAATTTATGAAATTATGAAATCATGAACTCTGCAGTAATGTGGTTAAAACAATAATAAACTACCCATTGAATGGTTTACATATCACTTATAAAAATGGTGAATTGGGGGATGGCGTATTATTGTTTTAACCACAGTATTCCATATTTAAATATTAATATGAACATTATGGATGGTTTATGATTGCTTTGCCAAAAAACGCAATGTCATAAACCTACTATTTGGGGATGATATTTGATTTTGGGGATGGTTGCTTATTGGGCTCACCACATCACTATATAAGTGGGTAATAACATGTAATGACCATATACGAAAATCCGGGCTATATATGATCCGGCTTGTAGATTATCAGGCTGAAAAACAGCATGTCTGCTTGTATTCCATGAGATGGATGATTTTCAATCTTAACCTAAGAATACCTAAAACAAAACCATTTAGAATCGACGTTACATTAAGTTTCAATAATTCAAAAAAGTATACAATGTTATACAATAATTTTGTGCAGTTGAATTTAACTGTTTATATATAGTTTACAGCAGTTTATAATAGCTTCACTGTTCATCAATTGTAAATTCTAATGGCGGTTCATGATTTTTGCTGTCTTACAGCAGCATATAGATTTGCATTCATTCGCGCATTCCCACACATTTCACGTGTAAAAAACCAAGGGAAACCAGATCTTCACACTTTTCCAATGGCTTCACCTGCCTCTGACTTTCGTGGGATGCACCGAGATGCACCCAGTATGAACAGGTGGGAACCGTGGGAACCGTGGGCATGTGTTTCATCCCTGATGTATAATTATATATAGTGAAAAATTATAGTATCATGAAACATCAGGGATGAAAAACATGCCCATAATTGATATAGATGTTTCATGATGTTCCCATTTTGTCCATTTCAACCCATGTCAATCATATACAGCCTGTACCCAGCTCCAGCTCCAGCAGCATCCAGCCATGCAATGGCTGGCACCAACTCAGTTTGAACATGTTTGAACGACATGAGTTGGTTGATGTGCCAAGTGACGATAAGAAAATAAAATCAACCCTTGTTGGCAACAGCTCGTTTTTTTCCTCCTTGCACTGGTGAAACTTGGTGAAACGGATGCGTTGGACGTTAGCTGGATAGCGTGCCCAACAGCGCTAGAAGGACGCCTTGCCAAAGGGCGAATGGTGCAACATGAATTCGATGAAGCAAGGCTGCACTGACAGCAATCGCTTGCCTTTTTGTATCAATAGGCTCCGTGTTGTTTGTAGCCTGCTGCGTCGTCGACGGTGCAAAGGTCTGGTACTGCCAAGCCGGACGGTCATACACTGTCCATTGACATCCGTACGTATTGGATCGGGAAGGACAGGAACTCCAAGTTCTGCAGAAACTCCGCAGGGTATCAAAGTCGAAACCACGACAACCGACATCCTGCGAGCAGAACAACTCGCATTGCAACAGACCCTCCGGGACGCTAACGTGGCGGATCTGTCCGGATGCAACTTCACAAAGGGTGCACCGAGTTGCTGGGTACGTGCTCTCAACGAGCGGAGTGAGAATGTCCCGCCCGACCATAACACAATTCGCCTTGAGGACCTCGAGGCTAGTTGAAACCGAGATGCAGCTATCTTCTACCTTTCCAGGCCCCTGCAGCAGACATTGGACGGCTTCAACATGCCGCTGCACTGCCATACACTGATCCAACAAAGTCACGTCCTCACCCTCTGCATCTCTGGTCTTCAAGTCCATCATGGTAGCTTGCAAAGCCGAAAGGCCATCGCAAGCAACGTGGCACGCGGATCGCGCCAGCGTTGTTGTTGAAACTGTCTCTGCCAGAGATCCATTGGTGTCATTCACATCATTCACTGACAGCGTGTCATTCACTATTTGCCCATGTGCATCGGACCAAATCAAAAGACGCAGGCATACGAGTTTGAGCCACATAGCTTCAGCCACATTAGTCAGTGTGGACTGTTCGGTACCTCTGAAAGGAAAACACGCCAGCCAGTAACACATGCAGGAAACACATATATTTTCATGTATTTTCCAGATTTAGAACAACATCCCAACGGCCAAATTATGTATATGATGGTAATTATACGATTGATAAGCAGGAGTACCACATTTTTCTGAAGCTGCCAACCTAAACCAATGGCCCACACTTTTGGGTATCACATCTCCCGGACGTCCTCGGTCCAAATCAATACATAGCCCTGCAGCTGCCCAGCAACCTGCCATCTGTGAGCGTCTGACCAGCTGCATGATACATTCCCACCATATGGAACCCCCAAACTGAATTGAATACATAAACCACTACAAACTTCAAATATCTTCAAATGGTCATTGCAAACATCTTCCAAACATGAACACCATAAGTCTCACCATAAGTTTCCCCACGTGTCCATATTCTTCACACATTGATGGGGCCAGTCGCAACCTGGGATCGGTGGGAGCCGATGTCGGCGCCATCGGCGCAAGCCAAGCCCGTGACCTTCAAAAAGGTAGAGCGGTGGGTCCACTTCTGGGATCGTTTTGGAATTATTTTTGGGGGCCTAATATAATATGAAATATATATATATATGTGTGTTTATTTATTTATGTATAATATATATATATATATATTTGTGTATCTATTTATTTACTTAATATATATATATATATATATGTGTGTATCTACTTGTCTATTTATTATTTATGTATACATAAAAATGTATACATACAGTACACACAAAAACGATATGTTTAGCATTCTCTGTTTGTATAATGTTTAGGATCTCTCTCGATCATCAGCTCATTATTTTGGCTATTGTATTTGGAATTCGCAATGGTTCTGTTTGATTTTACTGTAGGATGAACCATCCACTCTTGGGCGAAGGTTCGACTTACCTTGTTGTCATTGGTCATGGCGAGCGAAAATGCCACGTTCATTGGGATGAACGTCATATGATCATTCAGTGTGCACCACTTTCACCACGACATGTGGCAAGTTTCCACAGCAGAAATATTGCACAACTGGTAAGTAGGATGCGAGAGATCACGACGCATGGTTTTCTCGGATGAAAAAAAAATACACTACACATCTGATAATGACAATTCTGACCATGGAAGTATAGAAAACTATCATATCTTATCCCTTCTTATCCCACAATTAACCAGCTGCTACACAAAGTTGCAGCCACCATTGTCAAGGTGTCCTATGCTGGTCCTTCGCCTACCTTGAGCTGGTCGGACTTTATGCGGGACCGCCATCTATCGATGTCTAATTGAACCCAACCTAATCCAACTTATCAGCAATGATCAATCATGTGTTTTATCCAAACATCTCCCCATCCATCCATCCATGCATCCATCCATCCATCCATCCATCCATCCATCTTGTTAAGAATACAATAGTTTTGATATCAACAATATCCATAGTGTACATGGCAACAATGCACAGCACAATCTGTGCTCTGGATCAAGGCCTTGAGCCTAAGACAATTGCCAGAGGAAAAAACAATACAGCGGATCGTGCACAAGACAAGGACAATTGGACAAGAGGACAAACGTGAGACAACGTGGACACAATCCATCACAACCAGAGTGCCGGTGAAACTTTACATGGTAGCGGAGCAAGGATCCTGGCAACGACAATCCAGGTGAGCTCCAATACCACAACACTCAACAAACACACACACAACAGCAACAGAAGGAGACAAGCCTTGACCCCACAAGAGGTAGCTTGTGACAACTACGGCAACAATGGCAGTAGCAGCACCGGCAGGAGGAGCATTACCTCCAGTGCCAGAAGACAATCTGGCCAACATGAACAGATACAAACTCAAGCCCCCCTGCTACAATGGAGACTACAGCACGTTTGAAGAATGGAAGTACAAGTTCACAGCATACATGGGCCTACAAGACAATGACTACACACCACTACTACAAGCAGCAGAGGCTGCCAATGAAGAGCTGACCGAAGCACAACTACGAGGAGCAGCAACAACAATTGAGGATGGTGAACGACATGTTCGCCTCAGCACCGACTTGAGGTACATCCTCATCAACACAACAACTGGGGCAGCAGCAACAGTCTGCCGACAATACCAGCACACAATTGGCTTTGAAATGTACAGACAACTTTGCATACGATTCTCAATACCACTTGGCACAAGATCAATTGGACACCTTACACGACTACTCAAACCAAAATTCGACAACAACAATTTCGAGGAGTCATTCTCAACATGGGAATTTGAGCTCCAACGCTTTGAGCGTGACAATGGACAACAATTGCCAGATGCAGTAAAAATAGCAGTGCTACTCAATGAGACAACAGGACCACTACAACAACACCTACAACTACTCTCAGGACAAAACCCAAACTACGCCAGAGTCAAAGCAACAATCATTGAATACTACAGATCGACAACAGCATTCAGCAAGCTACAACAACTCGCCACACAATCATCCAGCGTGTCAACCAACTATGCTGGAGGACAAGCACCCATGGACATTGACGCAGTGCACAAAGGAAAAGGAAAACACAAAGGAAAAGGTAAAGGCAAAGGAAAACATAAAGGCAAAGGCTACGGTGGATACAACGGCTACGGCTACAACAATTACAACAAAGGAAAAGGAAAGAATGGAGGGAAAGGATACAACCCCTACAACAACCCAATTGGATACGGCAATCCTTTTGGAGGAAAAGGCAACAAAGGATACAAAGGATACAACAAAGGAAAAGGAAGAGGAAAGAACAAAGGAAAACAAGTGACCGATACCTGCTACAGGTGTGGGCGAGCAGGACACTATGCCAAAGACTGCAGAGTAGCAATCCACAACATTGGACAAGGAGAACACAATGACAATGAAGACACAACAGCACAATGGTACACCGACTACTATGACAATGGCTGGTACCACATAGATATACACAGCAGCAGCCGCAGCAGCAATACTATACACAGCAGCAGCCTCAGCAACAATTGGCATTACCACCAATCCCACCAACGGCAGGCAACAACGGCAGTATGCCAATCCATGTCATTGCAATGGTTAGCAATGGCAACAGCAACAGCAACAACCAAATGACAACAGCTGACACAACAAACATCATGATCGATAGCGGAGCAGCTACACACGTATGCCCACTATGGTTTGCAGACAATTACCCAATACACAGGTTCGACGAAGCACAACTTCCAAACCTGAGGACGGTCACCAACAAGACCATACAATGCTATGGCGTGAGATGGGTCTACATGCAATCAAGGGGACAACCAATTGTCATACCATTCTATGTGTGTGACATACATGACCCGATCCTGTCAGTGACAAGACTGGCAGAACAAGGCTTTGACATCAGGTTCAACGACACACCCACAATGAGCCACAACAAGGGATTCGACGTCTCCTTGGTCCAACAACACAACCTTTACTACCTGCCAGCAACAATTGTGAACTTGGAACAACGCCAGCAACTACAACTTCGACAGACACCAGAGGGCATGATAGCAATCAATGATTGCCCCAACCACGCTGACACAAGCAGGACCACAACAAGTCCTTGGAGGAAACAACGACTACTGGAACTACAACAGTGAAGGATACCTGGTGAGGTACCACAGGAACAAAAGAAAGGCACTATTCGTTCCTGGTAACAATTGTCCAGTATCTCTTGGAAGATTGAGCAACTATCGAAGGACAATTGTCAGACGGCCAAATGGGCACAATGAGGATTTCGTGGAACAGTACAACGACTTGGGTAAGAATGCACAAAAGCGAATCCTACAAGGTGATGCCTGGACAGGAGAAACTTGGTTCAAAGTGACTGGACAACCAGCAGCCACGCAACCATCTGCAGCACAACCGAGGACACCTGTGCCTCAACCACAGCCACAGCAGACAACACAGACAGAGCACCAGCCACCGGTGCCACAACTGCCAGCACACGCAGAAACACGCAAGCAGACAATCAACCGAGAACCACTCTTTCGACATACAACCAAGAAGCCACAACCAACAACGACGGCAATACCAGGACCACAAACACTGACACCAAACTCTGATTACTGGATCAGAGAAGGACACTTGTGGAAGCGTGTCCACATACAACCACGTACAACACTTTACGTACCAGAACAATCAGATGATGGGCCGAACATTGAACGATTGACTTCAGAAAGAACAACAATGGTGTCACCAACAGAGCAAGCAAGAGGATGGAGGATTGACGACAATTGGAAGGAATCAGGAGCAAGACCACTTGACAGACAATGGACAGGATCAACAAACTTTGAGGAAGATGTCGAGTACAAGTATGAGTACGACACAGACAATGAGGAAGAAACGCAACAAGCACAAAGACCACGAGGAATGAAGGCCCCACAACAACCAACAAGGCAAGAAAGATTTGAGCACGAACTGACACACCTGCCATACAGAACATGGTGCCCAATTTGCGTGAAGAGCAAAGGCAGAACAGACAATCACCCAAAGCAAACAAGCAAACAACCGGTGATACAAGTGGACTTCACATACATGAAAGCCTTTGGAGACAAACAAGTACTATACCAGTACTGACAGCAATAGATGTCGAATCAGGTATGGCAATGGCAGTTCTTGTACAAGACAAGAACCAACAACAACAATACCTGGTACGATGTCTACAAACATTCATGTTTGAATGTGGACGAGCACAAGCAACACTTTCACCAACAACACTACAAACAGACCAAGAGGAGTTCATCCTGAACCTCTTGAAGACAGTGGCACAAAACCTTGGAGCCAACATCAATGTAAGACAATCACCAGCATACTCATCACAATCACAAGGCAGTATCGAACGATACCACCGCACACTGATGGGACAAGTACGAGCTTTACTACAACAAGTCACCATCAGCTACAACCTCACACTGAGCGTACAACATCCAATCCTACCATGGATTGTGAGACACGCAGCATGGCTACTGAACAGGTACGCCATTCACAATGATGGGCAAACAAGTTACCAAAGGAGATGGCAAAAGGATCACAAAGCACCACTGTGTGAGATGGCCGAAACAATACAATACATGATTTCCACAACAAGGACACTACCAAAGATGGAACCAAGATTCTTCAAAGGAATCTGGCTTGGAAGAGACACAATGACAGGAGAATCAATAATAGGAATTCCAGGCAAAATCATCAGGGTGAGAACCATTCGAAGACAAATTTCACAAACTTCGGAATGGCGACCAGCTTGTGGGGAGATTAATTTGTAGGGATTTTTGGGCATCTCAAAAAGTACTTTTTGAGCTATTTTGAGCCAAAAGTGACTCGTGCTAGCATCGTGATAACATCAATGTGTTTCACAGGTTTGAAAACGTGACATTGAACAACTTTGAACCCAAAAACCAAAAAATGAACCTTTGAAATGAAATTTGGTATTGCGTTTGTGTGTTTTCATTGGTTTTTGTTCAAAGCTTGAACTGACATGAAATATGGTGTTGTCATTGTTGCCGTTGTGAATAGCCTTTGTCACTTGGGTCAATTGTCATGAGGCTGCCACCTAACATGTGAACACGAACAAGTCAGCAACTTCAAAAGTAGAAAAAATGAATATTTTCAAGGGAATAACATTCTTCATTCGTTGGGTAATGTATAAAGTTTGATGTTTGATCGCTGCGCCAGCATATAGTCACATTGCCAACACTGGCCAGCACCAAAAAAAAATTACACATATGTCTTATGTACGCAAGCAGAAATACATGTGTAAACAAAAACGTTTTTTTAACGCTACCATGTGTACGCAGGAAATGAAATATACAAGCAGAACATAGATATGAAACGTTTTTTATATAATAAAAGCGTGCTTTTACAACAGTATCTAACCGTGAACATTGTTGAATATCTACTGGCATACCTGTTTACACTTGAGTGTATACATGCATACGGTTGTGGACCTGGAAATTGAAAAGTCAATATGTGTGGACGTGCACACATACCTATCCTTTGAAAAAGGCACTAACTAATTAGCATTTATGTTTACAAACCTTAATTACGATGTGTTTCCTTAATTGAGGTTTGTTCTTCAGTAATTGAGGTTTGTTTGCGCAAGAAACAAACTTTAGTTAAGGGAACAAAGTTTCAGTGGAGACTGTGGTTTTGTAAGGTTTGTTTTGAAGGCTCGTTTTTTGACACATGTTGGCACACATGTGTGATTCTGCGTAGGCATGCAATGGGCAAAAGGAACATATATACACAAATGTATATATATATATATTGAGAGAGAGAGATATATATATATATATGTAGATGTATTTTTACAATAATACACGCATGTTCAATAATCAACGTCGCACTTTATTTTATTTGTGGAGGATTTTGCGCATAGTCTTGTTGCATTTGTTGTTTTCCATGCCGTACGTCGTTTCCGATGCTGTATGGATAATAAACGGATAAGTTGTAAAAAATACGTTGATAACACATGGAAAATGAGTGGATGATAAATGGATAATATAAAGAAAATACGTGGACACTAAATTGATAATATCTACATATTTGATTTAATTTGGAAAATATTTGGCGAGTAAACTGGAAATAAATGGAAACTCAGGAAATGAACGGATTATAAATGGATACTCAATTTATAAAAAATTAAATGGATTTCGTATTGCCTGTTTCTACTTCAAACAGATTGGACAAGGAATTTTGTATGGCCTATCTTTCTACTTTGCTTTTGGTCCTAGATACTGGCCTTATGTTGAGTCTATACTGAAAAATGCTGCCCTTGCTTTTGGTCCCAGACGCTGGCCTTTTGTTGGAGGAGGGATTTCGCATTGCCTTTTTTCAACTTTAAACATCTTGGAGGAGGGATTTCCGATGGATAGCACATGGATGAACAATTGGTAAAAAAGGGATAGTATTCTTATATGGATAAAGCATGGATGGTACATGGATAATGCATAAAGCCAAATGGATAATAGCTGGATATAATGGCTGAACAATGGATAATATTTGGACATTTGGACGGAAATGTGAAACTTTATGGAAGGAAACTGATAATATATGGAAGCAATAAAAAAAATATTGGACGATATATGTATGGCATATGGATGAAACAATGATGACAGAATGGAAAATACATGGAAAATAAATTGCTAGTACATCGATAACAAACGGACGAGCACAAGACAATATGTGGTGATATATGGGTAGTAAATGGATAATTAATGGATGATAGATTGATAATAGCTAAATCCAATGCATGATTAATGCCAAATACATGAATAAACAATTGACAACAAATGGATAAACAATGATTAAACGGATAATAAATGGACAATGAATGGATACTATACATGGATAAAACATGGATAACTTATGGATAACACGTTGATCGCAAATCGATATTGAATGTGTTATATGGACGCTAAATTAAGAATAATAGATGGATAAAATATGGATGGTATGTGGGTAGAATTGCTCAAAATCTTTTCAATTGCTCGAAAATGGCTTGCTATAGACCAAAACAAGTATTCAAACGCAATGGGCCTGGCCAGAAAAGTTTGCTCAAAATTGGCCTAAGGATTGCGTCTAGACTAAAACAAATATTAAAATAAAATGGGCAAAAACGTTACGACCTAGCTTCAATCTCCATAATTTGTGAATTCCAATTGTGCAGGAATGACATGTAGATTGAAAGGACTATTCAAATATACAAATTGCTGGCCGAACAAATTCCGCTCAAAATCGCTCAAAATCGCTCAAAATTGCTCAAAATTGCTCAAAATTGCTCAAAATCAACTCAAAATGTCTCAAAATGTCTCATACCTGCCCCAAAAATCCGCTCAAAATTGCTCAAAATTGCTCAAAATCAACTCAAAATGTCTCAAAATGTCTCATACCTGCCCCAAAAATCCGCTCAAAATTGCTCAAAATGTCTCAAAATGTCTCAAAATGAGTTTTGAGAAAAATTGAGTTGATTTTGAGACATTTTGAGACATTTTGAGACATTTTGAGACATATTGGGACAGATTGAGACATTTTGAAGCAAACTGGTAGTTGCTGACAGTGCCAAAGGCATGAAAAAATGTAACGCTGTTGCAAACTTTTTGAAACCGAAAGCAAACAGATGTGAATATTTACAAAAAAAATTGATGAAATGGTGCTTTTGCTTATAGTACCGCAGCATGAATACTTACAGAAAAGTTTGATGAAACACTGTTTTTGCTTATAGTACCGCAGCATGAATGCTTACAGAAAAGTTTCATGAAACACTGTTTTTGCTTATAGTACCGTAGCGTGAATACTTACAGAAAAAAAAATTTTCCGCGCTTGAAGGTTGCAACATGGAAAACATTTGGAAAAGAGTTTATACAAGAGTGCCGTGGCAAGAGTGCCTGCCTGCATGTCAGGTATGCTCAATTTAGGGCTCATCTCCAGTAGTAGCGTCTTGTAAGAGTGTCCCAAAACTGTGTCATAGCATCATAGCAGAAGTGTTGCTATTTAATGGACATAATCTGCCCTAAATTTATGGACACAACCTGCCACTAATTTATGCACATAACCTGCCACGAATATGGACATTACCTGCCAGTAATTTACCGACGTAGCCTGCCAATTTATGAACATAACCTGCAACCAATCTATGGGCATCACGCCGAACCCGGGTGGATCTGTCAAGCGGGGCAGCCGTGTCTTGCAAGAGTGTCCACAAGAGTGTCGTGGCAAGAGTTTCTTGCTGTCCCGCAAGAGTGTCCCATAGCCTGCCACTAATTTATGGACATAACCTGCCACTATTCTATGGAAATTACCTGCCAATAGTTTATGGACGCGACCTGCCATTAATTTATGGACATAACCGGCCAAGAATTTATGGACGTAACCTGCCACTAATTTATGGGCATAACCTACCACTAATTTGTGGCCTTAACGCCGACCATGGATGTATCAGTCAACTGGAGCAGCAGTGTCTCGCGAGAGTGTCCACAAGAGTATCGTGGCAAGAGTGCCTGCCTAAAAGTGAGGTATGCTAAATTTAGTGTGCCTAAATGGAATTAATGGAGTTTAGGTATGCATGTTTAGGCTTGCCTAGAAGTGAGGTATGCTAAATTTAGTGTCCCTAAGTGCCATTTATAGAGTTTAGGGATGAAAAAATGGCGTCGCCTAAGATTTGCCACTCTTTGCACTCCAAGTGCTGTTCCTTCCACTGTCGCCGTCGTCGCTTGAGCCATAAAACGAAAACAGTTTTTTCAACCTTTTCGTAAAGGATGTTTCTAGGGTGTGAGGGTCTGCTTTGGTAATTTTCCCGTTGGTTTGGTACTGCTTTGGGGATTAAAAAGGGGCGACTTTTTAGCCCCAAAAAGGGGCTCCAAAAATAGGTCAAAAAGGCGCCCCCCAAAGTCCCAAACCAAACGGAAAATTACTAGTCTGCTTATTGGTTCTTTCGCTCCCCTCATCATCCTAGCTCCCCCTTCTGTCGCTACACGCATTACAGTGGCAACGGCCAGATGAAGTGAGGATGCAGACAACCGTATTAGCTAACCAAGTGAAGCCACGAACCTGGATGCCAAGAACAAAAATCCTACCCTGCAGAAAAAGGATCCTAAATAAAAAATATATAAAAACAAATCTTGTAACCCTCCTAAAGGCTCCCGGCGGAGTGGATGAAGACGTCCCTTCTGACAGACAAGGGGGTGACACAATGGGGTAAGGGAAGCTATTAATAAATTAGTGGCAAGTTATGCCCATAAATTAGTGGCAGGTTATGCCCACAAATTAGTGGCAAGTTACGTCCATAAATTAATGGCAGGTTATGTCCGTACAATTAGTGGCAGGGTATGTCCAGAAATTAGTGGCAGCCTGTGGGACAACCTTGTGGTGTGGACACTCTCGCAAGACACTGCTGCCCGAGTTGACTGATCCATCCGGGGTCGGCGTTATGTCTGTAGATTAGTGGTAGGTTATGCCCATAGATTAGTTGCTATGCCAATCAATTAGTGGCAGGTTATGTCGATAAAATCTTGGCAGGTTGTGTCCATAAAGTAGTGGCAGGTTATGTCCAAAAATTACTGGAAGGTAATGTCCATAGATTAGTGGCAGGCTATGTCCGTAAATTAGTGGCAGGCTGTGTCCATAAATGAGCGGCGCTCCTGCTATGATTTTGTGACACTCTTCTGGGACACTTTTACACGACACTCGTACTGGAAATAACCGCTACATTTTGCATACCTGACTTTTAGGCAAGCTTGAAAATGCAAACCTAATAAGTAATATTATATTAAACAAGATCTATGTGTTTTGACAAGGGACATTCATGTTCTGGGAGCAACATCGATACTCATTGTTTTAAGACAACAAAAGATCACAAAAATGACAACAATGACAGCACATGACAAACAAATAACAAACAAGGACAAAATTGACAACCCTGAGGCTCGAAGTTAAGGCCTCGAAGTTAAGGTGTGATTCCATTTTGGTGATAAAAATGGAAAATGGATGGACCATACGTGGTTCATGCAATCATAATTTCCATGCTAAACAGGTCAAATCCATGCCCAGTTTCTCTCATCAG